CGCACGCACGCACGCACGCACGCACGCACGCACGCACGCACGCACGCACGCACGCACGCACGCACGCACGCACGCACGCACGCACGCACGCACGCACGCACACACACAGAGGTCCGCACTAGGGAAACCCTGTGTCGCAGGTGCCATGGCCACACACATATACAACCACATAGACAACCACAAATTACACCCAATAAATATAAATATATGTAAAAAAAAAAATTGTATGCCACACAAATATTTTTCCCAGGCCGGGAATCGAACCCGGAACCTCTGCGTGACAGACCAGAACCGTTTGGCCAAGGCAAAGTTGTAATTGCATGATAATTTTTGATTAATCAAACATTGTTTAAGCTTGGAGCGTTTAATACTGAAAATTCAATGTGACTCGGGATTGAACATGCTTATAGACTAAGGGTCGTACTCCAGAACTCTACTCAATACACAAGTCAGGACTTGAGTATTGCAGTGAGCCCTGAAAATCATACTCAAGTCCTTGCCATTATTTCCAGTGCTTGAAATCATACTCAAGTCTGCTCAAATCCTGACTTTAGCATTGAGTAGAGTTCTGAAATACGACCCTTAATGTATTACCATCGAGTATATAACCAGAAATAGAGACGAAATAAGGGCCATATATTCCTGGTAACACATTATCGATACAGCTCTTATAAATATCAACTCTCGTTTGCACTGAAATATGGACAGTCCAACTACTGACCTGTGTGTACGTCTCCGTATATTCCAAAAAATATTCTGTATTTATTGTACATAATAAAGATAATATCTCTAACAATGCCATGCTGTTCTATTCGGTGGTGTGGGAAAAACAGCTAAACACCCAATTACAAAACAAACGGAATCACATTTCATCGGTAATTAAATATTAAATATGTAATTTTGCAATCTTCCATTATAGTAAAGCTCAAGTTAACTGGTCGTTTTGAAGTGAAACAGTTGACGACACCCATTGACGACACCCATTGACGACACCCATTGACGACACCCGTCAATTGTTTCGAACTCGGGCTAGCCAATCGGAGCGTAGTTGTCACAGTAATGATATGGCAGAATAGTTGTCAAACAAATTAAATGACATTTCGTCTCTATTTCTGGTTATATACTCGATGTGTATTACAGACAGGACACCCAAAGAAAATACCGTTAATATCGTTATTCGATATGAGTGTAGTGAGTGAGTGGTGATAAATAAGCTTTGATTAATACTCACTGTCCATCTCCACACGAAGCCGCCTCCCCATTACAAATGGCAAGATCAGTCAAATTATCCTTATGGTTCTTCACTTGGAACAATTCCTCTCCCACTTCCTTTATATGTGTAGAGATGGCTATAACGAACCCAGCACTGAATCCAATGAGGATGTACCCGTCGCCATACCATTTGTATGATACTATGGACCCGTAACGTTGTTGGAATGCTAACTCTATTGGGTTTTCTGGGTTTAGCAAGTTGTACAAGTAGAGTGTTCGCTTGCCGACTATTAGGCTTATCTTGAAAAAAATATATAAGAAAAATTATTTTAATTCAAAAACAACACAATTTATCTAAAATATAAATTATTGTTATTATTATTATTAAATATCACGACGATTTAATAATAATAACGCACACACTCAACATAGCCACGCACTAGAGAAGCCCTGTGTCGCGAGTGCCATGGACACACACTTAGACAACCACAAATTACACCCAAACTCACGAGATAAATAAATGTAGGCCATACAAATATTTCTTCCGGCCCGGGAATCGAACATGGGACCTCTGCGTGGCAGTCCGACGGCAACCGTTCGGCCATGGAGGCAGTTAAATATTTACAATCATAATATTCAATTCTTGTTGTGAAACCACTCAATGAGATCGAACACAAAGAAAAGTTCCTTCTGTCCAATTGGACTCGAATCAGCGTCAAAAATAAAACAGAACCAACATCATATTAGTCAATAAAATAAAATTGCTCATTTAATGTTGAATTTTTTTCTCAGTTTCATTTAGCAAACATGTTATGAGTTTGTATATAGTTTAGTAGGTTCTGAATTTATATTTAAGTCTCTACATACTATGGCGTATCTACCATTTGAAGCCTGGAAACCATCAAAATGCTGGAGGAATAACTTTTTCATAAATAGGTACAGTTTTTTTATTTATTTAATATCATTTTGAAAATTTTACAACCCACCATTAAGTAGTGTTTTGTAAGACGAATATTGTATCTGGTGATAAAATATTCGTTTTACAAAAGAAAACACTGGTGAATATATATATTTTAGACCTATGGCTTATGAAAAATGAGCTCCCTCATGTTGTGGTGTTAGCTCTGAATCATGGGAAGATATTTCTTTTTTAACTTTTATCTTCTTTTTCTTTTATAATACCAAGTGACGGACGTGACGAACAAGTCGTGCGCCTGGTGGTAAGCGTATTAAATCGCAAAGACCTTAGGGTCATTACTACTGTGTCCTCACTCTGGGACATAAGTTGACAGGTGCCATGTGTCTATTATTTCACCAGCATCCTTACCCTTCCCAACCGAAACGCAGTAATGCTACATTACTGCTTGGCTGCAGAAATAGGTAAGGTGGCAGTACTTCACTGGACGAACTCTTTCACAAGGAGCTCTACTAAAGCCTCTCCTTTTACCTAGTATAAAAAACAATACGTACTGTATTCTCGCCCGCTACCCTCTCATCAGTCTTCATTTCGGAGAACTGCAGATCATTGGGAATATCCCTTAAAGAAATAACCCTCAAAGTATCCCCATCAGCATTATTTATTGATAGACTTTTATCTTCAGACGCTAAGACCAGAATACTGTCTTTGTTCCATGCTGCACATGTTATCTTCTTTGTGTGCTTACCTATTATTGGTATTCGCCTGAAAATTACCCTATTCTTATTTTTTCTGGATTCAAACATATTTTCAATACAATAACGAACATGCATGGCTTGTGGACAATTGCGGTGAGTGCATATAAAGCTCAGTTTAACAGTGTTGATTTCGGCCATGTGTCTACGAACACCCACCAACCATGTAACCATTTACATTGCCATCAATTCGAGTAAAATCGCAACACCCAAATAGACAAGCTATTGATGATTATCGTTTGGCGACCGGTTGTATGAGGCTAGCCTCTAAAATTGACTATTAAATAATCCGACATAAGCAAACGCTTGGCCCTTGAAGTTTTAAATATTGGCACAATTTCGACATTAGCAAGTAAAATATCTGCCATGCTCAACATTTTCAACAAAATTAGCTAATCGTATGAGATATTTGTTTTGTCAAACCAATAACGAACGTTTCAATCAATTTAAAATCGACATATTTATTTATTTATTTAATCTTTTTGCACAATACATTAATGTCCAAAGTGCGGACTTAATGCCATAAGACATTCTCTACCAGTCAACCATTGAGCCAAACAGAAAAAAAAACAAAAGGTTGGTGCTACACTTAAAACAGAAAAAAATATCATAAGCTTAAATTTTATGGCTAATTTATACAGTATAAAATAAACATAATATAGCATAAATAATAAACATAATATCCTCCATATAAGTATATAATAAATAATACATATATATAACAAAAATACCTAATATATATATACATATATATAATATATATAGTATACATAATATTAATTATTAATAATACATAAATATCCACAGCAATTATGCAGAGTCTTGATCTAGACGATTATCAAAAAGATAATTGCGCAACATGTGCTTGAAAGATAACTTAGTCTGAGCTTGTCTTATATTTAGCGGGAGCGCGTTCCAAAGACGGATTGCATGAAGGGTACAATTGGATACAAAATCAGTACGGTGAGAAAGAATAGAGAGCTTGAAGCTACGGCAAGATCGAATTTCGCAACCCGGCCAAGAGGTTTCAAATTGAAATGAGCATCTAAGGTAATCAGGCGCAACCAGATCGAACAAAATGAAGAAAAGGGTGGTTAAAATTCTTAAGGATTTGCGTTCACGGATGGGAAGCTAGTTTAGTTGACATCGAAAAGTAGATATGTGGTCATATTTTCGCAGACCAAAGATGAACCTAATGCAATTGTTAAGAAGACGATCTAACTTCAAAGAAACTTGAGAGATATTACAGTAACACACATCAGCTTAATCAATTACAGGCAATATCAGTGCCTGAACAAGGAGAGTTTTGGTCTTAACGGGAATAAAGTGCTTAAACCTATACAGAGCTCTTAGTGTGTTTGTTACCCTACAGCAAACGTCGGAGACCTGGGGACCTCATGTAAGACCCGAGTCAATAATTAGCCCCAGATTCTTTACTTGATTTGATAGAGGAATTACAATGTTCTCAAACAATATCGGGGGCGTGCGCGTTGGAATGTCAAAAGACGAAATAAGGCGTGGTCTTTCAAGGAAGGAAGGCTTGACACTTGGAAGGGTTAACATTGATGCCATACCTTTGGGACCAAACCGAGATTCGATCAAGGTTGCCATTAATTAAATCAATTGCGTCACAGATGCCTCTGATACTAAACCCTGGTGTAAAGCTGCAAATCGTCAGCATACAGGTGGTAAGAACATTTGATGCTAGATGAAATCAAATTTATGAAAATGCAAAACAAGAGAGAGAGAATGTCGCCCTGAGGTATCCCTGAAGTCAGTTCACACCAGCGAGAGAAAGAACGGTCAATACGAGTAGCTTGTTGATGACCGCGGACATATTATGTCGATTGAAACTACTATATCTTTGCTTCTGAATCTGTATTCTTCTGTTTGATATTTAAAATCTCGTGCCAAAACACAAATTAACACTTACTTAGAAGTATGATGATTATACAAAGCCAAGTTCCCTTTCTGAGTGCCAATAGCCAGCAAAGGTTCCCCATACGCCCAAGCAATGCAAGATGGTGGTTCCCTTAATCCTGTCTCAATATTCAGCCGTTTATTAGCGTGGTATTCCCATAGTAATACTGAATTACTGTTTGGTGTAATCACTGCTAAGTAATCACCATCATTGTCCCATTGCATGTCTGCACAAAGTCTACAACAACACAAACATTATTGCTTAAACCATCTGTTTAAGGATATTGTATTCCTCTGCACAAGTAATGTTTCATGCATAATCCAAAATTATAACAGCTAAAGAATAACTACAGCTAGAATGAATTTCAAAAGTAGTTGATTATTTGAATTTTGTAACAATCGGATTATTTTTTAAGGCATGAGTTGTAAGTAACAGGTCAATAGTACAACAAAAAGTTACCCTTGCAATTTCATTCGCTCCATAATTTGTCCACTCCGGTCATGAATAGCCACTGTGGCATCTGTTCCCGTGGTAGCCAGCACTGAATGTGATTCTCCTTTTTGCCACTGAAAATACAATTCGCCTAGACCATGCGGCTGTTCGATAGTGTACAGGAGCTGAAATAATGTAAAATTAGTAATAACAGAAATTTATTCTACACTACCCAATTTTAAAAACAATCAACTAAGATACTTTACATCTATGGTGAATATCAGACTTCTATGATTCAAATTAAGTTCAGATACAATATAAAAGAAGAACAATGTGACTATGTCCCAAAGCTTGTTAAAGAAGTTCTAGTTGGCAAAAAACTAAAATGCCGTAATGAAGGCCTCCTGAAAAGAGTCTTACGACAACTGTGCCTATGTACGGCAGTGACATATGTAACCTTAACTAGTGGCAAATCAATATCGCTCCCAATGATTCTGCAAAAGAATTATTTATTAGCTAAGGCTAGACACTACACATCTTGATTTTATACGTAGCTCTACATGACGGTGAAAGATAAATCTGAAGTGGCCCTATACGTAACCAGATAAAATAAAGCATTTCATGATACTTCAAACTTGTTATAAAAATATTTACAGTTGAATGTTAGAAAAATATAAGTAACAACAAACTTACTTTCGGAATAGACATTTTGGTCAAAAACTTTGCTTTAAAAGTTGTTATTGACTCAACAGAACTTAAATGAAAAGAAATAATTATTACATTTTCATTTTTACACTTAGTTGCAATAAAATTCAATTATCACACCTTCTGTTTCTGTTCAAACACATGTTTCGTTGCTTAGCAACAAAACAGCCAACATTGCATAGCAAAACAAATGTCATTCTACAATCGATCGATTTAGATTGACGTAATTCAATATTCCCAACTACTACATAGAACGGAAACAGTACAACACTTTAAATAAAATGTCGTAAATGAATTGCATTCTAGCGCGATAAATGCGCTAAGTAAAACGAGCAAAAAATATAGCCTTACATTTCTTAACTATATTACTTCTCTCAGTTATTTCATTTCTTGTTCCATATGTGCTCCAAAGAAACTTATATTATGGCATTGTCGACATTGTCGTCCTATACCTTAGAGGATGGAAAAAAATATACTGTTACCACACTGTTACTGCTTACTGACAGTTGCGAATTTGCGAAGTGCCGTGGAAGTGCCTCGACAATCCAAAACGAAGCTCGATTTTAGCTAACCTATTTACTTAATAATTAATTGAATAACTTCAGTAATTCATATATTTCTGTGTGATGACTACTAGGCTGAGGGCGCTGTTGTTGGATAAGGTTATAAAATTTATATCTGCAATGTTCATTTAAGTGGTACTTATAGCAAGAATACTTTTTTTTCAGGCGATACCTCACGGTTTGCACGGATATTCGACTTTATTCAAGCTTAAAAATGTACACATTTCGTACGAACATAACGAGAACCATTTTAAATTGTACTTAACGAGTAAAACATGTCAAAATTTCGGGGATGTAGATCAGGCGACGTTAGCTGTTAATCCAGAATTAATACAAGTAAACGTAGATCGAGGGACATTTATACAAGACACGTTGGAAAGTATAACATTTAACAAACTTCGATCATCTAAAGACCCAAAGAAAATAGTAATAGATTTCAGTTCTCCAAATATAGCAAAACCTTTTCATGCGGGCCATTTAAGATCCACAATCATTGGCAACTTCATTGCAAATATAAACAAACATTTCAATAATAAAGTCACAAAAATTAATTATTTAGGCGATTGGGGCACACAGTTTGGGTTATTACAATATGGGCTGAAAACAAAAGGTATTAATGCAGAAAAATTGACTGACAATCCAGTAAAAACTTTATATGACACATATGTCTATGCAAACCAAGTAGCAAAACAAGATGAAACTGTACATGAAGAAGCAAAAAAATACTTTTCTGACATAGAACAAGGAAAAATGGACTTAGAAAACTGGAAGAAAATTCGGGAACTGACAGTACAAGAGCTACAAAATGTTTACCAAAGACTTGGAATACAATTTGATGCGTACCATTGGGAGTCAGATTACAACTATTTAGCTATAAAGGACCTAATGACCTCATTAGAATCCCAGAAAATAATTACTGTTGACAATGCAGGAAAGAAAGTTGCCAAAATAAATAACAAAGATGTTACAGTTTTAAAAAGTGATAATTCAACTCTGTATCTTTCCAGAGATATTGCAGCTTTATTAGATAGATACAAGAGATACAATTTTGATAAAATGCTTTATGTTGTTGATAATGCACAAACAGATCATTTTGCTGCAGTATTTGATATTGTAAAAAACATCAATAAAAAATGCACTGCAGGCTGTGAACACATAAAATTTGGAAGAATCAAAGGCATGAGCACGAGGACTGGAAATGTTGTATTTCTAAATGATATACTGGATGAAGCAAAGCGAAAAATGCATGAAAAACAGTTGCAATCCAAAAGTAAATGATTTTTTCCTACATGTAACTCTCTCTATGAAATACATATTATCCTTATTTTTTACAGATACCAGGAATACTGCAATGAATGAAGAAACATGTGATGTTTTGGGTACAACAGCAGTCATAATTAATGACTTGAAGCAACGCAGACAAAAGGACTACATTTTCAAATGGGATAGGGCATTACAAAGTGAAGGTGACAGTGGAATCAAATTGCAGTACCTACACTGCAGACTTTGGAGCTTAGAACAAAATTCTGGAGTCACACTTCCAGCACAGTGTGAACCTAAATGTGTCCCTGAGGAAGTTGTTGGTGATGTAGTCACAGAATTAGCGAGATTTGAAGACATTTTACAAAGATCTTTAGATGAATATGAAGCTTGTATCCTAGTTAATTATTTATTTAGACTAGCAAGACATGTCAATAGAATGTTCAATGAGTTGAAAGTAAAGGATACCGATAAAAATTTAGCAGAGCAAAGGCTGTTAGTGTTTCATGCCGCAAGAATAGTAGTTAAAACTAGCTTGGAAATATTGGGAGTAAAACCTTTATATGAAATGTAAATTGAATACAGTTTAATGCAATACTCTGTATTTTATTTCCACAGAAATACCTCCTCGCATTAAAGTTACAATAATTACAGAGCCTGATATAATATCATAAATGTACAGTAGATGGCGTTACAGTAAAATCTAAATAGTCTAAAAGAAAAGCGCCAAATTAAGTTGCAAAAAGAATTCATTACTTGAAATCATAGATATATTCAGCGCTAATGCGCTGAATATATCTTTCAACTCATATTATACTAGATTATGATCGTGTAAAATTTACAACTTCTGATAATACGTAGATTATTTTAAAACAAATTATATTTCTGCTCACCCAATGTAGACAGTATGTATGTACCTATTATAATATATCTTTGTATTTCTTTTCTTTTAATAGACTTTTTTCTGAAATCGATGTTTGCATTGAAAAATTTAGTATTTATATTTCCTCAATTAGGCTAACTAATATTTTTTAAACTGAGTCTTTCTGAAGGCATCTCTTTGTGTAATTTATTTTAAAGCCTGTATATAAAATTTTTGGAGCCATACATTTTTAAAAAGCTTGTAATTTGTCTATGCCATTCTACAGACACGTCGTATTGATGGTGACCACTCCCGATTTGGCGGGATTATTTGAGTGGTGGCACATTTATACTGCTTAAATTTTTTATTTACCACTTGTAAGAGTTTAGTGTATTATTACATTTATAACAACTTACTAACATTGCATTAGAACTTCGTTTTGTGTGAATTTATCAAAGATATTTGATAATATTTATCATTACATGAATACTAAATGTTCGGCTATCTTCGGAAATGTTCGTATTCGAACGCGCTGACGTCAGAAAAAATTGGACCGCTCCTGCGTCAAATCAGTACTTCCGGCAGTCACGTGGTATGCGCCGACCAATCCGAGCGCGTCTGCTCTTTATAGGCCGACATTTTCTGACAAGCGTAGAAAAAGTTTTCATCAACAGCCGCCATTTTGCGCTGGAGAGACTGAGAAGAATTTCGGAATTTGTCGTGTAAATTTTCTGTTTTTTCTTACATCATTTTATCATAAACTGTACCATTCCGTGTATTTTAAAGTGTTAAGTGAAATCGTGTTGTCCGATCGGTAAAATAAGTTCTATAAAGTCGCGAAAATCTGGTGATATTGTTTTCATTTATTGTGCTAGTTCCGACGGAAGATGGTGAGAGGGTCTGTGTAGCTCTTCGTTCGATTCGGAGCTTTGTAATGGCGAATACTTGAGTGAGAAATTCTAATATGTGCCTTCAACGGTGCGAAGGACATCGAACGATCGGGATGTGGGTGAATTACATTATGATGGATGACAAATCGCTATAAAATGTTATTTCTTGAAGAAATAAGACATAAAAGTGTTATTTGAATCGGCGGGCCGAAATATTCACGACGGCTTACGTTTAGTAAACAGAGCCATGGCCGATCATCATGTGGACGAGCCGCCTAATAAGCGGGCTAAGATGATCCGGGACCCGTTCCAGGGTCCCTCGGACTCCGCGGGTAAGTGTTTTAGCGCCTTACACAAGTTTGGCAAGTGTTGCTCCGCCGCTCTGTCATTATTATCTAGCTACGATTTTTGACATTTTGTCTCGGCTCTTATTAGCGCCTTGCAAGATTTGCGTCGTATTTATTGCTGTCGAGCATGAGAAATAAGGAAAATAGATGCCCTAGGATGATTGCTACAATATTTGTCTTCAATGAAAAAGGGTTTCTGTTAGAACACTTGTTTCAGAGAGCTGAAAAAAAATTAAATAATTTGACGGCCCTTTGCGCTAGGGACTATATATTTTTAGGTTAATTCTATATAATTATTTGAGAAAATGGTTAAATTTTGTTTTTGAGTATGAACAAAAACTTTGTTTATAAACATAAAACTATCTTTGGGTTTTGAGGTCAACTTTGACATTACATACTTTTTTACTTGTTCATTGGTTTTAAGCTGTAGAAATAAAATATTAAGGTTGAAATTACTTAAAAATAAGCAAAGTCTATTCATGGTTTTGTTCAAAATTACGAGTTTGTGTCACAAAACTGAAATCTAACATGTGAAGTTTGTTTGACCTACATTTTGTTTCAACTATATTATAAAGCTCTTAGTCTTAGAAACAATTATTACATTTAGTATACTTTGGTATTTTTTTAAATCAACATTCATTTTTGTTAATGCAAAATAAAGTTGCTCCTTTTAACATACATAATGTTGACATTTTAGATTGTTGAAGAATGTGTGTATTATGTATATAAATTAATAAATATGTATTAAAAACTCAAGTTGTTATATTTTTACTATTTCAACTGTGTTTTGTATGTATTATTTTCACAGAATGTTCACCCATAATCTATAGAATGCAAATTATTTTGACATGATAAATATATTTCAAGTAAAGATGAAACAAAGTTGACATGTTTCTTACAATAATCGGAAAAAAAAATAGTTCTGATGTGTTAAAAATTCATATGCATATGTAGTAGACTGCTCTATGAACCTCATATTATCGAATTGCATCTTGGTCGTATAACTAAAATGCTGTAACCAGAGATTGGAAAAGAAATTTCCTAACATAGAGTGAATACTGTAACGTTGTAGAATTATTGTATTTTGTTCTAAACTTTTTTATTTGTAACTAGTAATTACCATGACATTGTGTTTAGAAGAAAAGTTCAAAATTATAAGTAAAAATTTAATATAACCATTATGTTTTGGTTTTTTGCTTATTATTTTTAATAATTGTGGTATTTCAGTGAGAGGTTTTCTCCCTGAGTGTGTTTTTGGTTGTTCCAATATCTGGTTAGACCACACATGTGGGTTTTAATTTTAATAAACTCTAGTTTAAGAGGTATGGTAGAGTATTTTGTAGAGACAGTTGGAATAAAAATCATTAATTATCCCTATATAATGTCCCTAAAAATTATAATGATTGACAAATAGGAGTATTTTTATTTTGTCAATTAATGATTTTGTGCAGATTGTAATGAAAAATATGTAATAGCAAATAAATTTGTATAACCGAATAATATATATAGTATAACTTCATGACAAGATTTGTAACATAGATTATCACGAATATCATTTATTGTACTCATTTAATATTTATACACATGACGTGTATGCTATATTAATATAAATAGTTTATTGTAATTTATGTTTTTTATTAATAGTATGTTTCATTCAAATAATTCACTTCCTATAGCAGTGTTAGTAGTAATTATGAAATTAATTAGAAACATTTTGACATACAATTGAATTTGTTAAAGAAATAGTTTCTGTAGACCTTTGTTAACCCGAAGATAAATTTTAACTTTAGTTAAGTATAAACTTAATACTTCAAGGATTAGTGTTTTTTAATTGCTAGTCATACTCTAAGCTACTGAATGTTTTAAAGAAATTTGTCAATTGGAATGATAATACATACTTTTAAACATAAATTGAGCACAACTATATTATTGAACTGATTTTGAGTAACTCTTGTGCTAAGTTAACATTTTCTTAACCAATTACTACTTTGTATACAATAAGGCTGGTGTCACAGCTGTGTGTACGATCTGTACGGAATCCGCAGTGCTCTGAATCGAGTATTTAATTTAGTGTGGATATTCACAGAAGCCAGTCGGCTACAATGAACGCATGGTGGCCAATGAGGAGCAATCCGCGTCACTGTAAATCGATGTTCTGACGCCAATGTGTTACTCCTTACCGGTTACTGGTGCTCCGTGCGGATGGACCGCAGATAAATCTGCACTACTCTGAAACCAGTCTAAACAAATGCAACAATAATATATTGTAATGCAGCTAACTCAGATCATTTGACATACACAGTGTACAGTATACATTAAGTCTTAATTTTATTTACATAGTTGTACAAGTGATGCATTCACTTTCCATTGCTATTTATCCAAGCCCAGCTTAATTTTTACTATATAGCCTTTACTGGCTTCTATATTGAGATGTTAGATATCCTGATATCCAAGATATTGTCTAGCAAAATGACAATGCATAAAACTTTTTTTGACTACAACATTTTAAAAAGATACTAAAAAATATGTTAAAAGTGCCTTCATGATATATGTTAAAATATTTAACATAAATCATGATATATGTTAAAATATTTAACATAAATCATGATGATTTTTTAACTAATTGAATTGAAAAGAGAATTTTGAACTAATTGGCACTTACTAATGGGTAAATATAAAATAGAAAGAAAAAAATGTTATAAAATATTATGTAATGGAAATTCATCTTAATAACTTGTCAACTTAACATAGAACATTGCAAACACCATAGATATTGATTTCCTGTATGGAAATCAATATCTGTTTCGTTTTTCTCTGCCTCAAAGGTTCTAATTCTAGTTCTAAGTTGTTTATGTATAGACAACAGCACATCAGACTACATATTTTTGTTCAAAAATCGCCTCCAGTGCAATGGAACAAGATACATAGATAGGTAGCTTGATGAGCACATCTTCAGCAGTTGACTCTACTGTTTTTATTCTTGTGTGTGTATCTATCTACCAATAGCTTTGTATACAAAATTTTTGTATAGTCTGCTAGTTCAACAATTTAAATCAACATCCAAACAATTTATAGAAACAAACCACCTGCAGAGCAAGGACATACATTACTTGTTACAATTTTTAACTGCCTCCGTGGCAGAACGGTTACCATACCGGACTGCCACGCAGAGGTCCCAGGTTCGATTCCCGGGCCGGGAGAAATATTTGTATGGCCTACAATTATTTCTCTCGTGAGTTTGGGTGTAATTTGTGGTTGTCTATGTGTGTGTCCATGGCACCCGCGACACAGGGTTTCCCTAGTGCGGGGCTATGTTGAGTGTGTGCGTTATTATTATTATTATTATTAATTTTTTTATGCACAACAAAATGACTGTGAACTCAGAAATATGCATGTAATTGACAATTTTTTTTTTACAGCCGAGGGATTCTCAGAACTCGACATGTTCAGCCTCGAAAAGGACCTTCCTGATGAGTTGATGGTAGGTGGCTGGGGTGAGCAGACGGGTGTCACGGGCCCTAAGCCTCCAGCTCAGGGGCCAGGGCCTGGAGGACAAATGGGACAAATGTCCCAACAACAGCAGCTCAATGGGGACGACCCAACTGCTGCTATGCAAAGACAAATCAATAATCACCTTATACAACAAGTGAGTACCTGGGAGTGTTACAGTTTTACATCTGAAAATGCTACTTAACTCTTTTCAATCCTGATAAAAAAATTGGAGATAGGTGTTGTTTGTCTGTGTAATACTATAGTGCAGTATTTTGCCTGTAACATTCAAGTGCTGGAATGGGTGAACTAAGGCATTTTTTGGTTAAAAGTAGTTATGTGACTTTCTTCCATGTGTATTTGCTGGCAATAAGTGCAACTATCCTCATGATCTTCAGCTGTTGTGAACAGATCACAGACACTATTGCAGCTAGAAACCCACTCATTCAAGTAATTAATTTCTACAGCATTTGCCACAACCTCTTCTACTAGAAATGTTAACATGGATAATATGTTTAATATGTTTGAAAATCAAATATTATACAAACAGGTGATACTAACTCAACTGAACATTTTGGCTTATCATCTGATGAAAGTGAATAAAAATTCAAACTATGAACTCTTCTTTTTTGTTTTGATTCAAAATATTGGTATTTAACTACAGGTTGCCATTGTAATTATTTAAAATACTTAATATTTATATTAAACTCCATATTCCTTAAATAAATGTTAATTGATCTATCTAGAACTGACAACCAATGACCCGAAAATAATCGAAACAATCACAGCCTCATAAAATTTCGAATCAATTTCTCGTGAGAATCGTTTAATATGGTTACCAATATGTTTAGCTTATATTCCTATTTACGTCGTGTGACAAAAGATGTCTCTTATTTTGTGACGACTATAAAGAAACGCCTGAATTTATTGGTGGTTTCACCAATAAATTTATATTCTCGTTTATTAATGGGTAATTAAATATTATGTATAAATCCAGTCAGCATTTTTGTTTTACTTTCAAATTGTGTTTTCTCAATTCCACCAAATGTTGAGTTACGACAGTAATTGGTTTCTAGTGCGATAAATATGTATGAATGTTGAATGCCTAGGTTAAATAATTAACTGGACTGAAATGCTGCCTATAATTTTATTTCAAATATGAAATGTCCAATTCCATTTGTATATTAAATCAATTACTATTTTCTATTATGTCCTAATTAGAGATTAAAACTTTTTAACAACAGCATCAAGTTTTTATTGTTTGTTGTTGGTTTGAAAGAGATGAGTCTGCATTTAAAATCTTAGAAATACTTATAATTTTGTTGTAATATTCTATACTAATAAATTATGTCGTATGCTGGTCTTTTCACAGGGCAAGGGCTTAGTAAGCCACAACAATCCGTTAGGATTGGGTAGTTTAGGAAGTAAGAGTCCATTACAGTCTCCTCCCAATGTTTCTGTACCCAAGGACCTTATGAGTGGAATGCACACACAACTAATGCCAAATACAAGTCATCCAAATCAACTACACTCGACTATGCCAATGAGCTCTATTCAAGGTATGTACTATTGAGCCGAATCCCCTCATCTTCTTCTTCATTTAATTATATAAAAGATCAAATCCTAAGTTCGGGAAAGCATTGTTGCATATCTCATATAGGAGAGTAACGTAAACAGGTGTTTCAAAACAATGTTATCTTTTTAGGAGGAATGAATGTTGCAAATGTAGGTGGCAATATGATAGTGACAAATAGTAATATGGCTGGCGCTAATATGCTGAGCAGCGGACTCATCAACAACGTGAACAAGTTGCCCACCCTCATGGGGAACAACCACCATCCCACGCAGCAACATCATCCACACGCACAGGTCAGTCCCTGCCTTGTTCCCTGTTGTTTCCTGAAAGTTATAACTTGGGGCTTTTCAAGGCGAGAGTTAATAGGCATTATTTAGGTGTGTATACTCCATCTTAGCACTTATTATTTATAAAAAAAACAGTTCACTGAATAAAATGAGCAAGCAATGATAACTAGAGTCACAACAAATATTTGGTAGTAATGCGGTATTTGGCTTATTCGGCTTATTTTTTTGCTATTCGGCCAAATAGTTAAAAACAGGAGAAAGAAATAAGAAAAAACACAAAATTTTGATGTAAATTTTATTAATGCTGAATATGCATTGTAAGTGCGCGAAAATGATATTTTTCAATTTTTTTGTTTTTTCAAAGAATAAAGAAAATCTCACATAAATGAGATATTTTTCTAATAGATTAAAAAGGTAACATCAAATGAAAACATAAGTAGTTATGTAATTCACTCATGGCTAAATAAACACTAACAAAATCAACCAAGGACCTATTAATTTGCAAATCAAAGTGAAATTAAATTTTAAAAATTATTGTTGATACACTACCAGTTGGAGCACTTTCTCAAAAAATATCATATTAATATCATGGTAGTAAAAACATCATGATATTCAATAAAAATTAAAAATATAGCAATTACTTTCTTCATTAAGTTATATGTATATTTAAATTATAAACTTGAATACTTATTATTGAACATCATGCAATATGTAGGTACTAGTCTTAAAGACAGAATGCTTTACAATGTATTAAGAGTGTGTTGTGGTATGAAAGACGATGTAGTGACCAGGATAGAGAGGGGGATGCTTCGATGACCAAACTGTCATGTTGAAAGAATGAATATTGGTAGATTGACGACACAAATTTATAGAGCGAATGTGGATATAGGCATGGGGAGTGATACACCTCGGAGTACATATCTCAATCAGATTTTAACTCCACTAGTTTGTTATAATTATAATACATTTAATACAAAAAACAAACACTAAAAAACATTCCTTTGATATGGCTGGATTCGGACCAACGCCTTCAACATGTCGTACCTAACACGGTGACATACTATTCGTTGCAATACTAATAATAACGATTCGCTTAGTTAGGAATAACTGTTAGTTTACAATAAATGAATATATACGTGGTGAATTGTGAATATTCCATGTAATCGTATTTGAAAGTAAAAAGTCTTATGAATGTGGTGTTTTCCCGTTCTGATGTTTCAGCCAATGCAAAACGGCCCTATGGGTGGGCGAGTGGGCGGCGTGGGCATGCAAGCACCGCCGATGCGGACGACGTTGCAGCACCACCCACGCATGGCGGCGCCCGGCGGCGGCGGCCATCCAATGGCGCCGTATCACCCTTCGTACGGGCAGTCGCCACAAGGCCCAGCCGTGCCGCCCGCGCAACGGCCGCCTGGCGTGCGCTTCGGGCCGCCGGGTGACGCGGGCGGCGGCGGCGCGGCCCAGGCCGTGCCCCCCGCGCCATCCCCGCAGACTCCCGGCGCGCCGGCCGGTGGTCAGTCGCAGCCTCAGGCGGCCACACAGGCCGCTGGCGCCGCACCTCCCGCGCAACCCTCTGCCTCCGGCTCTATCGCCGACCCCGAGAAGCGCAAGCTCATCCAGCAGCAGCTCGTATTGTTACTCCACGCACACAAGTGTCAGCGCCGCGAGTCGCAGGCCAATGGTGAAACCTGGCACTGCACGCTGCCGCACTGCAAAACCATGAAAGGAGTCCTTAACCATATGATGTCGTGTCAAGTGAGTTCGTCTCGCCGGTTCTAATGTTAGAGCTCGTATCTTCTCGATCGTGTAAAAGTAACTCTATGTCTACTTTCAGGCCGGCAAAAACTGTGGGGTGCCCCATTGTTCGTCGTCGAGACAAATAATTAACCACTGGAAGCACTGTAACAAAAATGACTGTCCCGTATGCTTGCCTCTCAAACAGGCGGACCGGACTAGAGCTAATAATATGAACGGTAAGTTGTAAGAACATTCATGTTATCAATAACACTTAGGGAATTCGATTCTGATATAGAATCCAAGCAAGTGACTAATAAATGTCGCTTTCCCAATCTGCAATTTGAATGGTGACATGCAATAATATGACATTTGTGGCAACTATACCTCTGCGACCACTGGAATAATTGTATTTCGTTCTGTTGCGAACGTTCGATCGGGAAGCGAGTACACGATGCAATGAGGTTCGCTGCACTGTGCCCAACGAGTATATAATCTGAAATAGAGATGAAATAAGGAGATCCATCCCTGGCAACTCATCAGGCAAATTGACCTTATATAACAAAAATATTCTGTATTTATTGTAATGAAGATAATATCTCTAACAATGGGGGGCTGTTCCATTCAGTGGAGTGGGAAAAACAGCATAACATCTAATTACAAAACAAATGGAATCACATTTCTTTGGTAATTTTTCAATTTTCATCCATTATAGCAAAGCTCAAGTTAAACTGGTCTTTTTGAAGTGAAACAATTGACGACACCCGTCAATTATTTCGAATTCGGGCTGGCCAATCGGAACGCAGTTGCCACCGTAATAATTTGGCAGGATAGTTTTCCAACAAATTAAATAACATTTCGTCTCTATTTCTGGTTATACATAGGGAGCACTATAAATTTCCGGAACTGGCCACTTACATAAACAATATTTAAAAAGTTATTACAACATTTGAAAATGGAACTCTTTGGCTGTAGAATACAGTTTGTTTGTGACGTCATTTTAGAAATTGGTTGTCTACATCACCATGGATTTAACGTGTGTGAAAATTTTCGTAGTATGATTTTCTACAACTTTAAGTGTAATTCAACAGCTCAGCGGAGCTTTGCTTGGCTTCAAACTGCTTTTGGCGATGAAGCACCATGCAACACGACTATTTATAGCAGGTTTGCAGAATTCAAACGCGGTCGTGTGATTCTCAGTGACGAATTTCGTGATGATCGGCCGCCCACTGCTGTGAACAACAAAAATATCGATGCTGTGCGCCGTATGGTCAAAGCAGACAGGCATGTGACATACCATGAGATTCAGGCATCTTTAGGCATGGGCATGAGTATGAGTCAAATACAATCAATACTACACAAACATTTGGGTGTAAAAAAGCTGTAATCTCGGTGGATCCCACACAATTTGACTGAGGCTCAAAAAACGGATAGCGTCACTTGGTGCAATGCCATGCTTACCAGATTCAACGAAGGGGTGTCAAATTTGGTGTGAAACGTAGTAGCAAGTGACGAAACATGGATTTATAGTTACGATCCCAAAACAAAGCAGCAATCGAGTGTATGGGTCTTTCGAGATGAGCCGAAACCAACCAAAGTGGCGCGCGTGCAAAAGGCCTCTAAGCGAATGATTGCTTCTTTTTTTATTAAAACTGAACATGTGGCTACTGTTGCTTTGGAGAATCGCTGTACCGTGAATAGTGATTGGTACACGACCATTTGTTTGCCGGAAGTTATTGACAAACTCCGTAAAAATAACCGTAAACGCCATATCATCTTGCACCACGATAATGCCAGTTCTCACACGGCCAGACAGACTAATGAATTTTTGAAGGTGAACAACGTTGACCTTATGAGCCATCCCGCATACAGTCCCGACCTGGCACCTTGTGACTTATTTATTTCCACAAATGAAGAACCAGTTACGCGGTCAACGATTTGCATCACCTGAAGAGGCTGTCGAAGAGTATGAAAATATGTTTCAGAGATTGTCACGGAGGAGTGGCATAAATGTTTTCGAAATTGGTTCATTCGTATGAAAAAGCGCATTAACGCTAACGGAGAATATTTTAAAAACAATAAATTCATTCTGACCATTAACAGTATTTTTTTCTTATTCATTCCGGAAACTTATAGTGCGCCACACGTATACTCGATGACTGTGCCTAACGACTTTGTCAATAATATTTTACAATTTTGTATGGCGAATTGTGCCAGAGATCATTGTCTCAACGAGAAACAACATTTTACGACACTAAACTTATGTATATAGGTACTGATCTGCATTTGTCCTCAGCGGCAGCTGTGTCGCACGCGACGACGGGCGTGGGATCTGGGCCGGGTGTGGCAGGGGGTCCGGGCGCGGCCATGGCGGGCGTCAACCCGTTAGCGCCCGTTGCTCCTGCGCCCCCCGTCTCCGCACCCCCAGCGTCAGTCGCCAGCACGCAAGGAGCCGATATGAAGGTACGTCTCTTATTTGTTATTTTGAACACAACTCACTCGACCGGTTACACCTTGAAATATTACAAAAAATATTTGTAATTTTTTTTGAGATCGCTCCTACCTCACTAACAAAAATAAAATGGTGCAGATATATCATATCATACTGCAACCACTACAACTAGGTAGGACCATCTTTATTATCTTGATGAATTCAATAGATATTTTTTAAATTTGTTTCTTTTTTGTTTACTAAAGTAACTTACAAGAAAATTGCAACCACATCAACTAGGTTGTTTCTTGTTGACGCTGAATCCTTATATATCGCTGAATTCTTTGATCATAAATACTAGTAAGTGGACGGTATCCGCTCAAAAATCGAATTAAGGGATAAGATTTCCCTTATTAAGCTCTCATTCGCTTGTTGGTCGTGCGCGTAGCGTTAGCATTACTTTCTCAGTACCATTTAAAGTGCAAAAAAGATTCGTTCTTTCAGGAACTATAATATCTTTAAATGTTTCCTTAATTTTCTTTTTAATTTAAGGCGTTTTAATCGTGATTATTATTACTAATTTATTTATTTAATCGTATTATTTTATATTAATTAACACCACATTTAATTTACGCATCTAATCTTTCATACATGCGTCGTTCATAAGCGAAACGAAATGACACTACTTCTTGAGAACAAATTGAGTAAGATAATACATGGAATTGTTATGTTCACTTTCTAGTGTTTTGGATTTTAAAATATCATTTACTTCAAATAGATTTTTTCACAACATAAAATTGAAAGAGATAAATTGGTTATAATCTATCGTAATCACGAGACAGAATTTTACAAACCTAACGCTGGAGGCGTTAGGTCTGTAAAATTTTAGGTAAAAAGTAAAAAGTGTAAAACTTTAGGTAATTACATTGACCTACCAAGAAATGGACGTCGGGTTTACGCTAAAAAGTGTCCGCATCTATAGGGCGTTAAAATCGCATACAGAGCGTCAATCGCGCAACAGTCTTCGTTTGTTCAACTGACAGCGCGGTTGCAGTACCAATGATAATGACTTGTAAAAACTACTGCAGTAAAGTGTAAAAATAGGATTTGTATCATATTTTCACTAAACAAATATATTGTGTTACCATAGTTCTCATTTAAAAGTCTTATTTTGTACAGTTTTATAGTATTTAATTTAATTTATATATAAATGAATCGTAAATATAAATTACAAAAGCACACAAAATAATCAAATAGCTAACTGTCCTTTATCTCCACATTGCATGCGCAAAAGATGGAAAGAGACTCATTACGTCAGTTTCAAGAAGCTTATATAAACTTCTTGGTCATTTTCAATTGTTCGAACCACAAGCGATTGAAACATTTTGAACAAAGAAAGTATAGAGTGGCTTTCATTTCAATCATTCAATTTCAATATTTTTAAAATGATTTTTTATTAAACTTTAGCAATAACTAACAAAATATTGTTGTACTCGTTTTACAGCTTGGGATTACCTTAGAAGTCAGAAAATACATTTGCCTGAAATAAAGTTAGCTCGAATTTTCATAATGTCAAATGCATTTTTTTAGGAAGACTACAAAACAAAAGCTAATTTTGTTTTTGTGAAAAGCATCAAAATTACTCGAAAGCGTAACGGTTTTATTATAAATCGGTTTTAGTTGGAATATCGGTACATTTCTTATAGTACACGCTTATTTTCACATTTCTAGTAATATTTGTATCTATGTATCCGCCAAACTCTTTATTATATCTTTAAGTGAATTTGTACAATATTCAACATAATAATATATGTAAAAGGCTACTCTAACTACTCTTATATTCAAGTAATTTTCAGTCGAAGCTAAATATGGTGCATGGTTTGTATAAGTTAACTTACTTTTTTCGTGGTTTTTGTATTACACCCGATGTCCATTTGTTGGTAGTTCAATTGGTAATTAACAAAAAGTGAATAAACTTCAGTTGTCACTTGGTTAACAGGTCAAAAACAATTAGTAGAAACTTTCATACGTCGTATTACTGCTATACTCTTTATTTTGGGTGCGTGTTATTAACTGTCATCTTTTAAAAGGCTGGATTTTAGGTTGTTTATCGTAGGAAAGTTGTGTACGTATATACATATATGTGTGTGTGTGTATATTATATATATATATATATATATATATATATATATTGTATACATGTGTATTTAATATAATATTTAATTAAAGGTAATGAATGCAATATAATATTTGTATTATATATTTAGTAGTATTTTAAATAGGTAGTTCTACATGTTGTCTATTACTTGAAAATGATATTTAGAACCACTTTCATAAATTTCATTATAATTTTACATGAGTAACCAGGTAATGCCTTATAAAACATTTCATTACGATTTTTTTACATTTACTTAATTACCTAAACTTAATGGGTCGAAACACAAAACTGCGAATCGGCGCGATGCGAATTCGCCACGTCCAAAACTGTGACGAAGATTAACATCACAGGAACGTTTTAGTAGCAGTAAAGCTCCCTGTGAACGAGTTCGTCCAGGGTAGTACTGCCACCTTACCTATTTCTGCCGCTGTACCTATTTCTGCCGCCTTACCTATTTCTGCCGCCGTACCTATTTCTGCCGCCTTACCTATATCTACCGCCAAGCAGTAATGTGTACCTTACTGCATTCCGGTTTCGAAGGGTAAGGGTGCTGGTGAAATTACAGGCACATGGGACACATCGTCAACTTATGTCTCAAGGTGTCGGGCGCAGTGGCAGTGCCTCTCAGATCTTTGTGATTTAAAGGTCTGAGTGACACTGCAACTGTTAGGGACAGACGTGACGCTTGCCACCAGACACACGACTTTTTCGTCCTGTCACTTAGTATTATAAAAAAAACGTGCAAAGCGGAGCAATTCGCAAATTGCGATGCGCCATGCGATTCGCATCGCAGTTTTGTGTTTCGACCCTACAGTGTGATTTATTCGGAATACTTTAATGAAGATGATAATTGTATAAATCAGGGAAAGGATTTAAGACAATAAAAAAGATCAACCATACAGGTAAACATGATAAAAGTATTTATAAATATAATTCAACATTTTTGTTGCTTTTTAGCTAGCAATTTTCAGAAGTAAATAATACTGATATGACTGAACCCACGACCATGCTGCACCGTAGTATTATACTCTTACGAACTGACTTAGGCTAAGAACTCATGGAGCGGTTTTCCCCCGCGCCCGTCGTGGTTGCGGGCCCGCTTCCTCTGAAGAATGTAGAAATGTTTGCAAAATTTAGTAGCACATTTCACGACGCGTTTTACGCCTGCAGCGGAGACGGGTGCTCGCGGCGGCCGCAAACCGCGCGGGACGCGTTTCGTAAAAGTTCTGAATGACTAGATACGGACATCCGAATAAAATTAATTAATTAATTTGTCTTCTTTTTTTTTTTTTTTTTCTTGTTTTTTTAACTCATTAATAAGAACAACGAATAATCCGTAACGATTTCTTTTCCGGAATCAGAGGATGCACCCTGAATCTTTTAGGCATTCTTCTTTTAATTCTTCGATGTAGTAAGTATAACGCGATAGCTCGTTTTTGATGTGAGTCCATGGCGACTTCTGAGACTTAATTGACGATCTCAATCGATCGTAGATAACCGCGCGCTTTGCGATCCTCTCCCGCTATGTTTGTGGGCCGTTCCGCAACCGCGGCGGCTATATGTTGAAACAAACCAACTGTCCCGCAACCGCAGCGGACACGGGTCAAAACCGCTTCGTGAGTTCTGTTTCTTACGGGTCATGTTATCGAAATTCTCCTAAGAGTTTTTGTTAAAGATCTTTGTACTGGGTATCAGCATTCTGCGCCGCTAGTGACATCTAGTGAGAGATTATTTATTTATTGCATATCACACATGAAGCTGCCCTATATTGTAAGTACTATCTGTATAGTACTTACAATATAGTACTATCTGTATAGTACTTACAATATAGGGCAGTTAATATGTGACGCCCTGCAAGGGCACAGCAACTGTGGAAGACAGTCAGACATTGACATTATTAATACAGCAATTTAATGAATATATATACAATACAATTTATACGTTATGAGTTATCAATCAAATATTAGAACTAAATAATCATTTTATCAAATCGTCAAAAGATAAACATCTTTCTAATTGCACTAAATAACATATGTCAATTAAACATTGTTGGATCTTTGGATCATTGGATCTTGTTATCTGAGAAAATAAATAATTTGAATTTGAATTTGAATTGTAGGTAATTAGAATCTTTAATTAATTATTTTAAATGTAAATTCATTGTAGCAAATCGTCAAAAAAATCTTTTAAATTATAATAGCATTTACGAATAAGGAATATTTTTAATACTTTGCAAAACTCTGTAAATTTTTGGAGATTTTTAATACTATTAGGGATATGATTATAAATTTTTATTAACATAGTGTGTGGGCCAGACGCAACTATTTTCATTTTGGAAAAGGGGATTTTAAGTTTGTTCATGTTACGGTCATTTATTATTCTCTAGAGGTAAATAAAATTGGGGATGCTTTCTAATGAATTTACACGATTCCAGAATGTAGATGGAAGTAAGTGTAAGAATTTGATTTTTAACAAAATAGGGGCGACAAGATTACATTTGTTTAATGTTGATTATTATTCTTACCCACTTCTTTTGTAGTATGATTAACCGGACTGATAACTGTTAGTTTCATGACGTTGTGCGACAAGTAACCGCAAAAACGAGATTTTTCAGTACCTACGTGTAGATTAGTCCACATTACCTTCGACCGATTTGCAATAAGAAAATAACTACTTTATTATATTTGACAAAAAGTTCCCGACATCAGAGATAGATGGCAAATATTTTCCTCTGTGCTTTCGCCACAGCACAAACTCACGCACCATTCAGCTTCTATTAATTCTGTTTAAGGCTTCTGTAGTTTATTTTAATATATTTTATTTAATTATGTAAAATATTAAATATAACTCAGTTTAATTCCAGACTTCTCAGAATAGTAAACTCAAAACAAAGTTTGTTCTGGAATTTAAACTCTTTATTTTCACATATTTTTCATAAACATACGCAATATAATACAAATACGTCCACAACAATTGTAAGGGAATTCGCTATTGCTCTTTTTTTTACTTTTATAGGTCATGTAAGAAAAACCACAAACACAAGACAAACCACACATATAGTAAAAGTACATCAAGCACTATTACTATGCTTGAAAATAACACCGCTCAGTATCGAATCATATATGTTTTGTTAGTAATCTGCAGCGAAATCGCAAAAAGAACTGTTATTCCAACTGATTCGATTAAACAAATCGATTCATTCAAGTAATTAATTGATTTGTAGTTGGCAATACAACTAACTGGCCAATACTAAACTGTCTGGTCGGGTCAGTAACGTGCTGGTTTACTTTTTTTTGTAAAATGAATTAAAATTAAAGCCTAAGTTAGCCTCCTATTGAGCACTACATGTTACTTTAGTATGTTACTTGTCCGCGCCCAAAGAGCCGAAATAATCAGATTTTAGAATTCGTTGTATGAAATCATATGAAACCTCACACTTTAACCGCAGTTACCCGCGCGAACTGGATGAACCGCCGGAACAATTCGGAAGGTACTCAAATCCTAAACTAACTAATTCGGATGATGTCACAACATTCGACGCAGACAATGTGTACTGCGCGCTCGTATTCCCTTCCACCATCACTGTGTGCCACCTTTCGGTATTTTCCCTTAAATTCAGGGGATTTTTTTGACGTTTTTAATAATTTATATTTTTACTATAAATGAATATATAATAGTGAATTGTTCATTTTTTCATATTAATCCTAACGTATTTCACTTTCTTCGTCGTCCATCAATGAGGAACTGATAATAAAAACCGTCAAGATCCAATACAATGTACAGATATTGTTTGCGATCACTTGCACAACTGTGCGATCACCTTGATCAGTCTATGCAGACTCCACTTTTCACTAGAGAAAGTAAAATAAATAAACATGATATTATCGCAATTTCGTGCCAGAAGAGGAAAATTAATTTTTAAACATGTTTTCCTTATTCATTTGGTAAATGATGACTTGATATTCTGAATTCTCAGTAGTTGGTTCAGTGCAGGGGAATCGAGCAGTCTGCGTCCGACCGCCATCCGAGATACTCGATCTTATTCACTTTTACGTCCTCACGAAAAAATATTAAAGAACGTGTTTACTCCAAGTTATTATTGAAAGTTAATGATTCCTTCGTTAGACAAAGTTAAGTCGTGTCGTTTACAACAACAAAGAATACGCTCCCACAGTCTGTCAATTCGTCAGGCCGACGCCAAAAATAACTACAACAATTGTGTGCGTAATTTTTTCGTTAAAAACAAAATTAAGCAGTTAAAAATAACTATTACGATTCTATTAAAGTATCAGATAGTTTACCTTTAATTATCGAACGTTCGAAATATCGGAAATGGTTACGTTCAACGTTGCGATAGGAAAAACGGTGCGATTGCTCTACGTCGCGGTATTAAAATGGGTATTTTTGTCATGCGACACGATAAAACGAGTGATGTGCTCACAGCGGGCGTACGAGGCGCTGGGCATCGCGTGTCCGACGTCCGTGTCCAGCATGGGCGGCGTGGGCGTGGGGCCGGGCGTGGGCTTCCCGCGTACGCCACTCACGCGCATGGGCGTACCGCGCCCGCCCGGCCTCACCGACGTGGTGCCGCAACAGCAGACCATGCAACAGCAGCTTTTCCAACAGTCGCAACCTGACTTGCAACAACAGCAGCCTCAACTGGTGAGTGTCGTTCTTTGGCCAAAGGACCCATGTTTAACGGCCAACTCCATCGCTCCACCTTGTAAAAATTTTAATTAATTAAGTTTAGTAGAATGAATCTTGAACAGAGATATTTTTTGTAGATGGGTACCGGTACACTGCAGCTGCCTGGTGGCCCCGTGACGGCAAACCCTGTCTCCGGGACGAAGGAATGGCACCAGTCTATAACAGCCGATCTCAGAAACCACCTTGTTCATAAACTGTAAGTGTTACGAAAGTCGTGGGTTGTTTTGACAAGTTATTGTAGACTATTCAAAAGATATTGTTTATAATTCTCTAAAGCGTTGCTACATGTTTATATTTAGTTATTAATTAATAAAGTTTCAAGAACAGATATTGCTTGTATTGTAGTATGTATCAGAGATTTTGTTTGCATAATTTAAATTATTTGTAAATACAACCGTTTTATCTCGTAGGGTGCAAGCAATCTTTCCGACCCCGGACCCCACAGCTATGCTGGACAAGAGAATGCACAACCTAGTCGCGTACGCGAGAAAAGTAGAAGGCGATATGTACGAAATGGCGAGCACACGCTCAGAGTACTATCACTTGCTCGCCGAAAAGATATATAAAATACAAAAAGAGCTCGAAGAAAAGCGCCAAAAGCGAAAGGAGCAGCAGATGCAAGCGCAGCAACAGGCTCAACAGCAGGGACAGCTTCAACCGGGTGTAATGGGCGGGGTGGGGAACGTGAATGCCGTGGGAGGGGTGATGGGCGTGCGCGCGCCGCAACCGCATCCGCGCGCGCAGCTGCCGCAACAGCCAACGTTGACCGCCATGCGCATCCCTTCTCCCGGCATGGCGCTGCCCATGTCCGGCAGCCGCATGGCCTTCCAGCCCGGCCTGGTGGGCCCGCCCGGACCCAGCCCAAATCAGCTGCCGCAAACGCCCAATGGCGGCGTGGGCCAGCCGGGCATGTCGCCGTTCGGCCAGCCGATGACGTCGCCGGCGCCGCAGTACCCGGCGCTGCAGAGCAACGGGCCGGCGCCGCTGGCGTCGCCGAGCCACCAGGGCGAGGTGAAAGCACGACTGAGCGGCGGGCCGGTGAGCTCGCCTTTCATGAACCACGCGTTCCGCGCCGAGCCGGCCGCGCCGTCGCCCAACACCAGCCTGGGCTCGGCCGGCGCGCTGCCCGGTACGCCCTGCACGCCGGCGCTGCAGCCGTCGCCGGCACCCGAGCGGCCACTGTCGCGCGCGCCGCCGCCACTGCCGCCGCCGCCCGACTCGCCGCGTGACGAAGTTCGCATCAAGCAGGAGCCCGACGACTCGGTCGTTAAGGACGAACCCGACGACCCCGACGTGGGCGGCAAAGGCATGCGCGACGAGCGCCCCTCCGACGACATCAAACCTGATTTTTCCGTCAAGACCGAAATTAAGCAAGAAATCAAGGAAGAGCCCCCGGGCACGCCTGCCGTCGCCGAACCCGGCTCCACCGACCGTGGCCCCAAAAAAGCCTTCGCCTTCAAGCCGGAGGCACTGCGAGAGGCGCTCATGCCCACACTAGAGAAACTCTTCCGCCAGGACCCGGAATCGCTTCCCTTCCGCCAGCCCGTAGACGCACAGGCGTTAGGCATCCCTGACTATTTCGACATCGTCACCAAACCCATCGACTTGTCCACCATCAAATCCAAGCTGGACTGCGGCGAGTACAAGGACCCCTGGGAATATGTGGACGACGTGTGGCTCATGTTCGAGAACGCCTGGCTTTACAATCGGAAGAATTCCAGGGTCTACAGATATTGTACTAAGGTAAGCCTATAAGTAATCTAATAACGAAAGACACTGAAGTATATAATATCACAAAGACTAAAATAACCATGTATTCCATTTTCACATCACAATGTATAAACAACATAATATTAGAATTAATTAAAGTTTGCTTATAACCCACCATCTTGTGACAACAGATATAGTTAATATCTAAACAAAAGTGTATGTAACAAATGACAAATCCACAGCTATCCGAAGTGTTTGAGCAAGAGATTGACCCGGTGATGCAACGACTGGGCTACTGCTGCGGGCGCAAGTACACCTTCAACCCGCAAGTGCTCTGCTGCTACGGAAAACAACTTTGCACCATCCCCAGAGACGCCAAGTACTTCAGTTACCAGAACAGGTTAGTTTTAATGCATTTAAATCTACTTGTACTTTCGTTTTCATTGTTCCCACAACTTCATAGGAAATTAATTATTGATTTATAATCATATAGTTTCAATCTTCTAATGCTTTAGGGCTAACTTCATTTGTGAAAAAGTATAGATTCTTTTGCTGTGCCAATTTGCTGTTTGGCAAATATGAAATAGTGTTTCACAGTTTTAGTAGTCCAAAATTAGTAATATTATTACGTACCTTATTTTTAAATGCACATATTTTGTTTTTTTTTTTTTTAATCATTTGTAGTATGTTTTGTCATAATTTTTCTGAACAGCTAAATAATACAAAATGAACGACTTTTTTTTGTAGTACTAATTTGTCCCACGATTCTTGTAACTATTTATTAAAAATTGTCACTACGCGGTCGACGAATGCATTTCTTTCTGTATAAATTATTCATTTCAATTTCTGGTAATTCAACATACTATATATATATATAACATTATATATATTATATATATATATATATAATATGTGTGTATAATTACTAATTAAATAAGACACCTCAGCGTAAAACCCCGTACCAAAGTAAATGAACTGGCATTGTTTCATCAAGAACTAGTGTAAAAACGAAATTGCGGGACACGCTGAAACTCGAGCGGTCGTTAGATGCTCAGATCGAGTTCCCTCAATGGGTTGATCGAATTTCTTAAAACGATACATTGGTGAAGCTTTCTCTTGGTTATTTTCTTGTAAATGTAAAGTTCTTTTTACTAAACTATCTCACGACTTTGTTTTAATTACAAAGTCCAAGTTGTTTTGAGTTGTGCCCGCCTACTCCTATATTGCTTTTAATATAATCTTAACAACGCAATTTAAACTAAGCTGTTCACAAACGTTAAGATAATACGATATTAACCGTGTTCATTATAACTTCGTTTCAAAACATTGTGATCCTTGTGTAAATAATGTAATAAAAATATAATGTAATGTAGTACAAGTGGTGAGATTTTGACTTGTACATTTTGCTTTCTCATTTGTAATATTCGCTAATTTAATCAAAATAGCATCAATTTTTTGAGAGTTTAGTATTATCGCTTTAACTAAATGTTGACACTTAAAATCTTCATTATTCAAAGGAGGAACTTAGAGTCTAAAACTATTACTAGTTAAGATGACCACATGAAACAATGGGACTGGTATATCAAGTAAAACAAAAGTTAGAAGTTGAACTAGTTATGCTAAATAACTACCTTTCTCACATATGGTTTGAGTTGTCTGAAACTAAAGTGGTTAGACTAAAAAAAATTTTTCATTCCGTAAACGAAAAAATGAATATTTAACTTAAATATTGTTTAGTAGTTTCTTTATAGGTTATCTTTCGTGACCTGTGTATTCATAAATTTTATAAAACCTTGCATAATGCCTTTAGTTTTGTTTCCAACTGCCTTCATGTGATCATTTATTTTATTTTGTTGTACGATTTGGACCATAACACATCGACATTACTGCCTTCCTTGTCCCAGCTTATAGCAAGCTTCCTATCGCTTAATTGACGTGCCGCAAACCATACACGTTCTATGCTTCCTTTTTCTTTTATTTTGCACCGTCAATGCGAGGACAGATATAATCCTTGAATTTCTTCAAGAGTTTGACTTAAAAAACGCAATGAAATCATACACTTGACATTCTCACCTAAATCACTAAAGCTGACAATTTTTATATTGTTCAGACGACAATTGATTCGAAAAGATATCAATGATGATTGAAAAGAACTCATTTTTATTAAAAATCCATTTCTGACTCGATAAGGTAAACATTATATCCATAGACATAGAATCTTTCTTTAGAAACACCATATCTTCAATAAAGTATGGTTGACTGGTAGAGAATGCCTCACGGCATTAAATCCGCAATTTGTACTATATTGTATTGTGTAAAAAAGGTTAAGTAAATAAAATTCGACTTTGATACAATTTTTTACATAATGCCTCTGTCATTGACAGGTATTTATCCAATCCCATAACAATTTTGGTTATGTCATTGTGTTTTGGCTCAGCTGTGACTGTTCACTGACTAACCCTTTTATGTTCTCATTGCTTACTAAATTTTTTTCGCCCCCCACGCACGTCCTTGCACTGTTCCCGTCACGCTCGCCCGTTCACCCTGGATGGTGTGAATAAAGTCTAAAAGCGTATGGGGTTGTGTCCGATAGATACACCTTCTGCCAGAAATGCTTCAACGACATCCAGGGCGACACTGTCACGCTCGGCGATGACCCGCTGCAGTCTCAGACGTGAGTATTACCTTTTTTTTTATTACAAATTATAAAATAAATAAATTTATTATAAAATAAATTTATTACAAACATACAAACAAAATACAATTAAAAACAAACAAGTTCATTTTTTGACCCTTAAAATATTTCTTTTTAAAGTGTTGATTAACATTTGTTTGCCTGTAGAATTAAATCTCTCAACTCAGTGATTATAAAATGTACTTTTTTATGTCCTATCTGGTTTTATTTATTTATTTTTTTACGTCATGTTAGAAAAATATATCTCATACGAACAAGGACCCCGACAGGATACTGGAATCCACAATAAATACCCAACAAAATATACATTGTACTTGTGTAAAAACATTCATTACAATCTCAAACTATTCCAAAATGAAAAACATACATTGATATCTCTGGTGATGATGGTGAACTATCTGACAAAACTCTTTGTAAGGTATAATAACTTAAGAAAAGAGAGATTTATAATATGTTTATAAGGTATTTACGGCGAAGTTATTTATATTTATTGTATCTAGGAGAAATTTAGTTATTAACAAACCTCAAAATCAGTTGTCCTTGGCGATGTTGGAGATTTATAAAATACTAGAAAATACATTTTTTTGACACAACTACTCGTCAACAATAATGTTCTACTATTCTAGAACACTAACAATCCTAGAATATTAATGTTGAAATATATCAACTAAGCTAGGCGAAACACTTAATAACTAAAAATCATATATATATACATTTGCAGTGCTATCAAAAAGGATCAATTTAAAGAAATGAAGAACGACCACTTAGAACAAGAACCATTTGTAGTATGCATGGATTGCGGACGGAAGCAGCATCAAATCTGCGTACTCCACCATGACCAAATATGGCCGCAGGGCTTCTGTTGTGAAAATTGTTTGAAGCAAAAGGCAGCCAAACGAAAAGAGAACAAGTTTAGCGCAAAGAAACTTCCTACCTCAAAGCTTGGCATTTATATCGAGACGCGAGTTAATAATTTCCTCAAGAAGAAAGAGGCTGGTGCTGGTGAAGTGCATATCAGGGTGGTCGCGTCCTCAGATAAGGTACGTCTTAAACAAAACAACACACCCACATACATCTGTGTAAATAATCTCATGTTGGTCCCAATTTTGTTTATTCGTCCTGGATCCAGACTTGAACTTGTTTCCCTTCTGGCAATATGATGGGCATAAATTCAACATTAGACATGTTTTCGAACTAAGCGACATAATTCCTTACTTAGTAAGTAGACTTACTGAGATCTACATTGTTTTTTATTTTAATATTGTTTTCGTGTCTTTATCCAAGATTGCTGGAAGATAGGACAAGTTTTATTTAATCTTTCTCTTGTGCATCTAGCTAAGGACTGACAATTTTAACACTTAAACAAAATGTATGGTGTACAGAACACGGTTTTAGGAAATCAATGTAAAAATTGTTTTTCAGATGGTAGAAGTAAAACCGGGAATGAGATCTCGGTTTGTGGAGTCTGGGGAACTATGTGCTGAGTTCCCGTATCGCGCCAAAGCGCTGTTTGCATTTGAGGAAATCGACGGAACGGATATTTGTTTCTTTGGCATGCATGTGCAGGTATGACACCTTTATACCTTAACTGCTAATCTAATTCTCTCTAGTCTGTTAATCTAAATCTCAGAGAAAAGTTTAAAGAGACTGGTGTCATGACTGAGGGTATCACTACATTTACTCAAATATTTTGTGTGCCCGTAAAAATATACATCATTTCATTAAGAAAAAAGATGTCGATAATATTAACCTTAGAACTAAGTCCCAACACATGGTACCACAATTTCGTTTAACAAAGGTACACAATTCTTTTATGGGGAATTGTATACATTTTTAAGCTATATTAAAAATATTTTAATTGAAAAATCATATTACAAAATTGAAGACTACATGTTAGATATATGGAAAGACGACATGACTAGATTCCACACCATTCCTTTCACTCTAGATTCCATATATTGGATAGAATTTAAGTACAGTTGAAAAGAAGAACAATCCCTAGAGTTTATTGGTCGTTCTGAGAGAAGTTGGTGCAGTGAACAAGCAGTAGCTTAAAAATGACGTTTTCAAGCGTACATTTTTTTTATATTAATGGCTTTGTCTTCGCCTTTAGCCAATCAAAAGGTTAAGGAAACAGAATTACAGATTATAGAAAAGGTACGGGATTTGAATGAAATAAATTACTTACCTGTGGAATAAATGATAATTTGGTTCAAAAATCGAAAAAAAAAAAACTAATTTGGTTTGATTTAATTTAATACAGAACTTCGACGTACAGGGCCGTTTGGCATTGTCATCTCGATTCTTTTTATAGTTAATACGATGATACGCATTCGTCTGAAAAATGCCTATTAACTTTACCCTACAATTGCCCAATTTGGGATTTTAGTTGACATTCCTTATTTTTCTGCTGTAGTCTCAATTTTGTCCCCCCACACAATCCCCGAAATGTATGCATAGTCCAAGCAATCGTTTTGTTGTACGAAAGTGCAAGGAATGGCTTCTCTTGCAACAGAACTCGTCGTGTAGCTCGTCTGTTGTTGAATAGCAATCCGTAGTCATCTGGTATCAGCCATTTGTACCCTTTGTCTGCCTGATTTAATTTGTTTTGCTTGTCGTTGTAAGGTGCAACTATATCAAAATATATCACTCGTAACCAGTAAATAAATAGTTAGATTTAAATAGAATTAACGCTGATTATTTTTGATGTAGACAGAATTTTAGTAGTTGTGTTCCGACAATGTCCGACAGGGGAAAGACTGAAAAACAGCACTATGCAGAGGAAGAGTGTGTCTGAGTGTGTGTCTTTTTGACGAATAAAGTCCAATTTATTTATTTTTTAACGCGATATCAAAATCTATCGAAATTGGTTTAGTTGTCGAGTGTTAATATTTTGACATTGCCGTTGGAACATCTCCTTCTTTAATTTGGCGTATGTTTGAAATTACTCGCACAGGTAGAAGTTATGTGTGTAGACATCACTTTCATAATAACGCTCTTTCCAAACACTTGATCAGAAAAGACACCATAGAATGATAAGGTTAGGGTGTTAACGAAAAATAAAAGTGTTAAAGAAACATCGTTGTAAATACAGCCTACAATCGAGGAGACAGTAGTACCATACTGTGAGTAGTATTATGAATGACAATGACTTAATGTTACACTTTGTTTCAGGAATATGGCAGCGAAAGCCCATCACCAAACACAAGACGAGTATACATAGCATATCTAGATTCAGTACATTTCTTCCAACCACGGCAGTACCGGACTGCCGTTTACCACGAGATTCTCCTAGGCTATTTAGACTATGCCAAGCAGCTTGGCTACACGATGGCTCATATTTGGGCTTGTCCTCCTTCAGAAGGCGACGACTACATATTCCACTGCCACCCTCCCGAACAAAAAATCCCTAAACCTAAAAGACTACAGGAGTGGTATAAGAAAATGTTAGACAAGGGTATAATAGAAAGGATAATTTTAGACTACAAGGATATTCTTAAGCAAGCAATGGAGGATAACATCTCTTCGGCGGCTGAGCTGCCGTACTTTGAGGGAGATTTCTGGCCCAATGTACTCGAGGAATCCATCAAAGAGCTGGACCAAGAGGAAGAGGAGAAGAGAAAACAGGCTGAAGCCGCAGAGGCAGTGGTCAGTGTTCTGCTATACATATTTCATAACCGTATTACTCACATTATTATGTAGTGCTTTTAGTATTAACCCTGTAGATATTATTAAATTCGTAGCACATAGAAAAATTGGTAATGTCCATTAGTTCGTTCCGTGGCTTAGTTGGCATAGCGACTGGCACGGTTTGCTGGAAGACGTTGGTTCGAATCCAGCCGGATCGAAGGATTTTTTTGGACTAATTAATTTAAATTTAGAATATCGAAAAGTGAACAGAGGATACTTTAGTACGTGGCCGGTATGCGCATGTAAACAAGTAGCAGCACGTTGTTTGCTTAATTCACTGTAAATGCTCCAATAAAAATGCATTTTAGATATTCCAGTCGTCGGAGGAGAACGAGCAAGGCCCTGACGGTAAAAAGAAAGGTCAGAAGAAGGCGAAGAAGTCGAACAAGTCGAAGGCCGCTCAGCGTAAGAATAGCAAGAAGCAAAGCGACCAGCAGCAGGGTAGTGATCTCAGTGCAAAGATATTCGCCACCATGGAGAAACACAAGGAAGTATTCTTTGTGATCAGGCTACATTCCGCGCAGTCCGCTGCCAGCTTAGCAGTAAGTATAGTATCATCATTAGCATCATTATCATATCAATAGTGCATTACGTAATCTAAACAATTGTACTGTTTCTTACAGCCTATCCAGGACCCGGATCCGCTAGTAAACTGCGATCTCATGGACGGCCGCGACGCCTTCCTAACAATGGCGCGCGACCGTCACTACGAGTTCTCGTCGACACGACGCGCTCGATTCTCGACCCTCTGCATGCTGTACGAGCTCCACAACCAGGGACAAGACAAATTCGTGTACACATGCAACACCTGCAAGTCGCATGTGGAGACGCGTTACCACTGCACCGTGTGCGACGATTTCGACCTGTGCGTGCCTTGCCACGAGAAAGAAGGCCACCCACACAAGATGGAGAAGCTGGGACTGGACCTGGACGTGGGTTCGTCACCGGGAGACATGAAGCAGGCCAACCCTCAAGAGGCTCGCAAACAGTCCATCCAGCGCTGCATCCAGTCGCTGGTACACGCGTGCCAATGCCGCGACGCCAACTGCCGCCTGCCCTCGTGCCAGAAGATGAAGCGTGTGGTACAACACACCAAGATCTGCAAGCGCAAGACCAAGGGCGATTGCCCCATCTGCAAGCAGCTGATTGCACTGTGCTGCTACCATGCAAAGCATTGCCAAGAAACAAAGTGCTCAGTGCCGTTCTGCAGCAGCATCAAGCAGAAGTTAAAGCAGCAGCAAGTGCAGCAGCGAGTGCAGCAGCAACAGTTGCTGCGCCGGCGAATGGCCGCCATGAACACGCGCGGCGCGGCGCCCGGTGCCTCTTCGCCGCCCGCGCCGCAGCTAGCCAGCCCGCCGCCTTCCAAGCCGCAAGCCCACGCGCTACCTCACAACGTGCAGAAGGCGCTGCAACAGGTAAGGCGCTTGTACGATGTTAACAGGGTATACAATAGGTAGCAAAACTTAAATTAATTTTACAACGAGAGCTTTCTACTCTTTAACTTACATAATTTTCGTAACACGAGTCACTTTACCCCGCAGGTGCAGGAAGAAGCGGCCAGACAACAGGCGCCGTCGTACGGCAAGCAAGCGGCCATCGGCGGCATGGGCGGCGCGCGGGGGGCCGAATGGGCCGCGCGGTACCGTGCGCCGCCACCGCTGCACCACACCGCGCACGTGACGCACCCCACGCACGCGTCTCACGCGCCACACGGCGGCCACCCGCCGCACGTGGCGCGCCTGCCGCACCACGCCGCGCACGCGGCGCCGTCGGCGGGGCCCACGCACGCGCCCGTGGCCGTGGCGCTGCAGGGGCCCGCCGCGCCGCCGCATCCCCACCCCGTGCCGCAACCCCACGCGCCCAACCAAATGCAGGTCGGTGCTTCACTCCAGTGCCGAGTACCACCAGTAATCGATCCAAGCCGATTCGATATTCACCGTGACTTACGTCAACAGCAACGAGCGCCCGCGCCGCAGCAGCCGCAGTCGCAGCCACAGATGCACCAACGCGCGCTGCAGCAGCTCATGGCCACACTGCGCTCGCCCACCAGCCACAATCAGCAACAGGAGATCCTGCAGATTCTCAAGTCCAACCCGCAGCTTATGGCTGCCTTCATCAAGCAACGACAAGTCAGTTGAAATTTTTTTTTGGATTTCTTACACGTTTCTCACATCCCTTGGAGCTGTTACTGATGTATTTATTATTTTACTTATTTCATATTTCGTTACTCGGACATTGAAAATGTGGTTGTATAATTCTTGTTTGAATATAGTAGCGAATGTTATTAAATTACTACATACTCTTATTTAACTTAAGTGTATTGAATTATCGTTTTATTAGCAAAACGCCCAAAATCAACAACAAGCCGCGGGCGGCGTGGGCGGCGTCGGTGGCGTAGGTGGAGTAGGCGGCGTCGGCTTAGGCGGCGGTGTGCCACAGCAACAGCACATGCTGCAGCCGCAGCAGCAGCAGCGATTGCAACAGATGCAGCACATGCACACGCAGCAAACTCAGGTAAGTACGAAACGCTCTATTGACGTGCCGATGCCGGCGACGGCGACGGCGTCATGGCTCAGTTTCTCACGCAAAAGCTTTTCAGCAGATCGGCGGAGTGAGCGGGGTCGGAGGCGTAGGAGTGAGCGGCGTGGGCATGGGCGGTGTGGGCGGCGTGGGCGGCGGTGGTGTAGGGTCGGTGGGCATGGGCCACACACAGGCCGGTTGGTTCAAGCAGCAGGCGCCCGTGGCCGGCGGGCTAATGGGCATGCGCGCGCCGTACGGCGGCGCAGGCGTGGGCGGCGTTGGCGGCGTGGGCGCTGTGGGCCCGGGCGGCGCCAGGCTCAGCGCCCGCTACTTCGGCGCGGGTGGCGGCGTGGTGGCGCGCTCCCCGCCCGCCACGCCGTCGCCGCGCCCGCCCACGCCGTCGGAGCTGCTGCTGCTGCGCCAATCGCCCGCGCCATTGCAGCCGCCGCCGCCAGACGACCAGCTGCCGCCTATGACGCCGCAGGACCAGCTCACCAAGTTCGTGGAGCAGTTGTAGTGTACATAGCCGAGGGGTGGCGCGTCGCCTTGTAACATATAAGCTAAGCTGTCGCGACCGTCGCCCGCTATCCCTCGTCCGATCCTTATTTATTGAAGATGAAGTGTAGCGAGGGCCGTTAATGATTGAGTATTACGAATCGAGCGCTCAATGTACAAAATGTAAATATGAGAGGAGTGCGTTCTGTCCGCTTCTGCGTAGCGTAAGTTGTTCGTAGTGTAGGTACATTATGATACTTATTCTGTTTATTGTAATTAAATCATTTTATAATATAATTATGTGATCATTATAATACTGTTGTTTTTGTTCAACCTACTTCAGATATTTACCTATTATGTAATCTACGGACATTTTGTGTTTCGGCTGTCGTCGGGTTTCTATTCAGTTGCACGGCCTTTTCTTCATTATACAGATACGTATACGGACTTGCTACTACATTTTATGCTATTATTGAATGCTAAAGTCACAGGCACAAGGACTACAAACTTTGTTTGCTTTGTTATATTTGTATTACATAATATAATACTTTATTGCACCAAATAAATACATCAGAAATTCATACATTAACAGAAAGTGAGGCAGTGAGAGCTAAGGTTATAAGCGGGCAATAAATAGCATGCAAGAGATAATGCGGAAGAAATAAAAATTAGTAAACTTAGTTTTTTCCAAAATTTTAAAATTAATCATTTGTATTTTCTCATTTTATTTTGATGTTGTTCCATGGCATTTTAATCTTTATAATTTTTGTGTCATCTAAATCGTTAAATTTGGAAAAGCCCGTAAAAACTTGCAGCAACTTGATACTGGTTTAATCTTAAAAATAGCACCGCCAGTAAGCAAAAATACATGAAGTTAACATACGGATAGCCAAAATACCCACGAAAATGTAAATTTTTTCCATGAACAGGTCACACCGCGCGCGAAAGAAACTTTGCCTCAAGTAGCCGCGGCTACTAAGCTAACCGAGCTAAGGTCGCATAGGTGGTTGCATGCAGCTACGTCAGTTTAAGCTAACTTAGCTTCGCTCGCGGTGTGTCCTGCGCTTAATTTTGATCCATTTCTAGAAGATATAATAACACGACGCTCTTTTTATGAATATTAGCCCCATCGAGTATATTATACTGTGTTGGTCATACCGGAAAATTGTAGGTTATTTAAAATAAAATGTTAAAAGAAGATATTATAAACATTTTATTCTCAGTGGCAACATCTGTTGTCTTCTGAGGAAACCAAGGTCGATTTAGTTCCTTGAGTTACGAATCAATATGAGTCTTCAAATGCAGAATTTAATCAAAATTCACAAAAAAGGGTCAAACACGGCACGGTAGGAACATCAAAATTTGGGGCTTATTATTGGGTCTTGGAGTAGGACCACTTTGGGTAGTTAAAACTGCTTTTTAACCGACTTCAAAAAGGAGGTTCTCAATTCGACTGTTTTATTTTTATGTATGTTACGCGATAACTCCGCCATTTGTGGACCGATTTTGAGGATTCTTTTTTGTTGGAAAGTGGGCACCTCAAAGTGGTCCCATTTAAATCTGAAGAAAATAATCGACCTTTAAGGGCGGCAAACTAGGGGTTGAATGACTTTTGAGGTTATAACTAGAATACTTGAAACGAATATTCGACTTATTCGGTCTGCTTTTTGCTATTCAGCCGAATAGAATCACATCGGCTCATATATTCGGCTCAATACCGTTTGTATTTAAGTTCATGAAAGTTAATAATTCTGAAGTCAAATGAGGCTATCAGCGATAAATGGTGTAACCATAGATTTAGTATATGGTGTAACATAAGCACGTAATAATTATTTGATATTTTTATGTAAAAAAATTAATTAATAATTAAACAGTTTTTATACAAAAAAATAGCATCCAAATATCTAATATTTATACAGTTACTTATAAATCTGCCAACTACTAAAATCACGGAAATGTGCGATGGAATTGCATGATTTAATTCCACCTGTCCATCATCGGGGGACTAGACATAGGCTGGGGTTCCACCCCTATGTTGTGTATATACACACGAAGCGTTTTGCTTCCATATTTATATGATGAGCAGCTAAGAATTACACTGAATTCTCTGCCTGCAGACTTATTCCCCGAATGCTATAACTTGTGTCATTATTTTAGTGTATGCTACATCGTCGACCTCGTCGTCACAATCAGATGATTTGGAGGTCAAATGCGCATTCTTTTTTATTAAAAAATCTAGTGGTTGTTACCATTTTCCGTAAACAGTTTTTAAACAAAATAATACTAATTAGTATAAAAAACGATTTAATTATAGTCTTGTGACAATGTTAAAATAAACATTAAGGTATTGTTTAATATTAGTTTTAACATGTTGATGTAAGGCTTAAAAAATTTCAACTTAAATATTCATCACGATTTTATATTCATATCATACATTCCTTTCCCATACAGGACGCGACAGAAACTTAGAATTGACACATTATTATAGGACAAAATAATATATGTATTTTAAAATTAAGAGTCACTACAAAGTGGTAGCTTACGAGACCAGTGCAAATAAATGCTGATAAGTAATAACGTGTTAACTCGCAAAATTGAGAATTTAAAGCTAATTTGTTCTTGTCGTCTTGTCCACATTATACAAACATAGGCTAAGTGATTTGAAACGTCCGAATATTACAAAGAAACAGTAGACTTCATTAACCAAACTACGAAAAACATCTTTAGGCGCCATTTTCTCAAAACTATAATCATGTTGGTTGGCACGTTGTTGCTTATCAGCATCATTACAAGACGCAGTAGTCGTGATCTCTCAACATATGTTTTCCTCTAACCACCTCTAAACCAGTATGAACATCATCTAGAGAAAATTTAGTGAAACATTTTTAGTTTAGTTTATATTGTAAAGGAACATACTAATAAATATAAACAAAAAATGTAAACATGCAGTCTGGTATTTAAAGCTAAAAGACAATAAATATTAATTTTTACATAAAAGTTATATGATGAAAATCACAAGAGAACACTATTATGTACATACATTAGCAAAAGCTTTGTGACATCTTGTACGAGAATGCCTTAATTATTTCACACGCATAATTTAAAAAAATGCTGGCCCAGAACAAGCTTTTCGAGTACTTTAATTTAAAAAAGTTAAGTATCAAAGTATTCCACAAATATTAAAGGTAACCGTCTTACAATTCTAACTTTACCACTCAAAAGAGTTCCATCGCAATAAGGCTCAATTTATATTGCGGCGCAACGGAATGGAAGCGAATTTTTGTAACAATATTATACATTGCATAATGAACTTTATGGTCAATTATGTAACGTACAAACTAGATTTTGGTTCGTATCTAGTTTGTACGTTACGTAATTGACCATAAAGTTCATTATGCAATGTATAATATCGTTACAAAAATTCGCTTCCATTCCGTTCCGCCGCAATATAAATTGAGCCTAAATTACCAATATCTTAAATAAAGGCCAACTAACACTACACCCATTTCTTAGCAAGGCATCTACTCACCAGTTAAGTTTTTTTTTTTTATTTTGCTTCCCAACTATTGTTGGCAACTTTTTTCTTAACTCTGTATACATCATTATGAAAAAGATTATAATCTACGTCTGAAGCTTAAGTCATGATTTAGGCAGACTGCTTAGTGAATACCTCGGCACAGTGTTAGTCGATCTTTATACTTCTTCCGATTTTAAGTAGCGTTATTTAAAAATATTTTATACAAAGGTCATTTTTTAATACTTAACGATCTAAAATAATCGACGCCACTCGAAAATATATTGAGCATTAATTAAAACAAATCGTTTCTATACATGGCCCAACTGTATAAATTATAATGGCGTGATGTCAAAACGAAAGTTCAACAGAACTCCTGTATCCACAATTGTAGTCTATGTATTCCGTGGGACCCCTGACCATTTATATTTAAATTAACAAAACGTTGTATAAGAAAGAGTGAGAATTAAGTAACAAAAACTAGAAAAAGCTGAGTCGGTTTTCAGTACATCTTAGTAACACATTTAAATAACAGCATTTTTGCACAACTCATATTTTCATTGAACGATTCTAACGTTATCTATCATAAACACAAGTTAAAATAAAACATAATTTATACACCAGCGACCTTAAAAACTAACGCAATGTATTAAAACAACAAACAAAAATATTACAACAAAAGGAACAATTTGGCCGTTTGCCGCTTCAAGATGCATGGCGAGATAGCTCCACATACATTGTTTGGTACGTATAATTAGCAAAGTAAAATTCAAAAAGAACTCAGGTTTACCTATATTGTTGTGGATATTCTAAAGATTCGCACGAAGCGTTACGCTTCCACATTTATATAGAGAAAGGCTATGGTTTGGCTACAGAGTGCAATTCCTTGAACACTATAAACTTGAGCCTTGTAAGGCGACACTGAGGCATTATTTAGATGTGCATTCTTCATCGTCAACCTCATCGTAACTTTTTATCAGGTGAGTTGGAGGTCAATTGCGCACTTAGGCGATTATCACACTGTGCTGCACCACGCAGCGGAGTCCGCGGGGCGACTGATCATGCACCCCGCAGACTAGTACGGCGCGTGTTTTCTATACCAATTGAGACATTTCGGTACAACGTTAAAAAACGCAGGTCCGCATACCGTTGCGTGGTGCGAGTATCGCCTTATTGTACGACATAGTGAATAATAAACTACGTATTCTACTTTGAAAGTCCGTAAGTCTCCGGAGTGCAAAATTAAGTATGTTATTTATTCGCTGAAAATGTCACATACATTTTCAGCTACAAATTTATATCGACATTAACAAAAGCTACTTAAAACAGAGTTCGCACGCGATACAACCTTGAAACATATTGCGGCCAAAATCGTAGGCAACGGCGATTTCAAGCAACAAAACGCAGGTTTTTATTAGTATTTTATTTGTACTTGAAAGCAAGAGACGAATATTACTCAATAATTATAGAAAACACTTGAAATCCCCTATCGCCTACGATAAATAAGAGACAAACAAAAACATATTCAAAAATTTCACACATCATATTTCATTAACCACTTATAAGATCCATAAAGTTATTAACTACATGTAAACAGTAATGTATTATGCACATTTCTTTATTTATTTTTTGTATTTTTTTCTTCTTGCTTTTACATAAACACACCTGCTAACATTTAAGTACCAAATCAGGTAGCCGTATTACCGTGTCAAATTTATATCCCCGATACAAATAACAGTGATAGCGACTGAGAATAAACGGACAAATGGTAAATGCAAGTTTCACAATAAATACAGAGGCAGTTGCTTAAAAAGATCGTCCAAACAATATTGGGAATGTGCAGTTATATTATCAATTTTGTTATGTCCCTTGATATAATAAACTTAATATGCCATCACTCAGTCTTTCAATTCATGAACTGTATATAATACATATATCCAAAATTCAGCAATAAGCAATAGATAAAATGAAAATGATACAGTAAATTTCATTACATATTTACAACAATTCTCGTTGAATACTCGCACTGCGGGACTATGTGCGGTGGCGAGTTTCGCGTATATTATTTGTAATTATTCTACATTGTTCTGGATTCTACGTCATGAAGTATGGCTCAACGGTACATATAATGCTCAGAAAATTATTGGTACAGTCAAGCACGCATCACGCCTGACACTACTACTTTGGACCGTTCTTATCGCAAACAGCATACAGTTGAATTTAAATCTTAAGTGTCAAGTTTAACGTACTCATATGTACACGGTACTAATGGACATGGATATGAAGTTGCGAATACAAATATGCTGAAAACTGGAAACTAGAATTCTATAATCTATCTTATTTGAAGGTGGAATAAAATAACATTTCATTGTGCGAAAGTGTTTTCCGCATGCAAGCAGCTAGTGAATGCAGTCGACAAATATTATATCTATAATATTCTATCGACTATTAGTCACGCTTATGCGATAGCCGAACATGTTTCATTTGAATCATCATCAGCCTATTATTCGTCCAACTGCTGGGCACAGTTTCATTTAAATTGTCAATTTTTGTAAGTTCACATATACTAAGTACATACATATACTGTATTTAGAACTGTCTATTAAAAATACAAAAATATTTAAAACTATTTCATTTTAACGCTATGTAGATAATCAAATCCACCTGTTTTTATTAAAAGGTATATTAATAAAACTTGATTTCGATACTAGTAGGCAACTATAACGTAATTAGGAATCATAAGAACGTCGTAACATTCACAATTTAGACATTTTTGGCAAAATCTTAGCTTCTTTCACATTTTATCGATAAAACTGTCGACAACAACTACATGACTATTTAAAATATTTTTATGAAAACTGGCAACCCTGCAAGTGTCATTTTACTCCGTCTTCAAAAAAGACATACTATAAGAATGTCTCCACACAAGCTGGTAAAAAAATGCTTTATGTTCATGCTATAAGAGCCTCTGACCGGTTTACTGCGATTCTTTGTCGATAGCTGTGGTGGCTCCCTTATTACCTGCAGCATACTTATACGCATTCAGTATGATTAGTATTGCTTGATGGGTACCAATGTCAAATCTGGATATTGTGGACACGTTTCTTCAAATTCAAAATATATATAGTGAAGGCACAGACCACATACGCGAAACTCTAGTAGCTTGCCTTGTAAAGCGAATCGTTTAATCTTGTCAGACACTAACTGTGCAACGTACTGGTAAAAGGTACAAGGTACTAGATTTTGTTTAAAAACTAAGTCACCGAGTAAAGGATGATGACCATTACTGCTTTCATTCTACTTTGCATGTCCCGCAAATTCATATTTTTAATTATCCTACATTAATTAAAACTACATTTTGATAATAGTCTCGAACCCATCAAAGCAGCAGTTTATTATAAATTAAAAATCTAATTCATTTCCGGTTCAGTATTAATGGCGACGAAAGGTGACAGATTGCAGTTCATTAAATTTATATTATTTTAAAATAAAACTTATTTTTAAGGAAAAATTTTCAGAGAGATCACAACTAGGCAGAAGAACTTCCTTACGTAGCGCAGCTGTATGCTGAAGCGCTGCTGGATGTTTTTTTCCAATATACTTATATATGAAAGATAATTCTGTAAGTTTGTTCGATTATTAGGCAGTTATAGGTTAGGAAAACTAGCTGCTTTATTATCAAATACATAAAAATCCGCTGCTTTAAATGAAAATCTAGGAATAGATTCAGAATCTAGATCTTCTGTGTTAAAATGCGCCATGTGTAGCTCATGGACATGCCAGTTTAACGTTAAGGCATGCCTCCTTATTGCACCGTTCATCGTCCTTTATCGAGTGTTTTGTGATGCGTGTTTTGTTCTATTCTGTTCAAGGTATAGCATTTTATAAATGCCACGGACAATGTCGTTGAAAGTGCAGGGCACATATAAAATTTTACTGGCTGTCGAAACGATAGAAGAATAAAATAGATACCTACGGATAACGATGGTACGCATAGCGCGTTTGAGAAACTTAGGAAATATTTAAGTACAATTCTTGGACAGATTTAGTTTGGATTGTTTGAAAGGACAGAACCAGGTTTTCAGTCAAAAAACAGCAAAGTTGCACAATTAGTAAATAGCTAAGCTTATTCCCTTACTTTATGATTCGAGTAATCTTGTAATGTTTTTACAGGTACGTCGTAATTAATTTAGTTCTTCTTTGAGATGACAATGACTTATGAAGAAAAACTATGTATGATTACGTTGGTCATAAAGTTAAGTGAATTAGCTTTCAGTTGTGTATGTGAGCGTCTGGGAGAAGACCTCCTCCTTCCGGGATGGATGCCTACTTTTCTTTCTTGTCTGTGTTGTTCGTGGAGTTGTCGGTCTCTTCTGTCTCCTCGTCCGAGTAGTTAATTGGCTCCTCGCCTGGCTTCAGGAGCCGCCCGACAAGGTCGTATTTCTCTGGAATAATAGAAAAATAATATAATATATGGATTAGAATGTTACAAAATATCCTTCACAGCTTTGATAAACATTTTCACACGAACGTGTCACAGGGTTAAGTACATGTCACCGTAATTTCATGACAATTGTTGTTGCAATTTCGTGTTAGAGTGGTGATTACACACGGCGACTTTATATGCAGTAGCTAATTCTCTACTAAACTAGATAAGAGCCAAAACCTTCCGCGGAATGCGCGAGGATTCTCGAACATGCGCGACAATTTCACAATTGACCATAAAGTTCATTATGCTATGTACAATATTGTTACAAAAAGTCGCTTCCATTCCGCTCCGACGCAATGTAAATTGAGCCTTATGGAATAAGAGTTTTAAGATGGGAGAAGCGATGACAGGCTGCAACGTGTATTGGCAGTGGATACAACACTTTACAGCGAATTACACATCACATACAGTGAATTACACACAGGGTTATTTTTAAAATACTAACAACCTTTCAGGACTGTATTACTAACATTATAAACAACAACTTTTGTTCCATGAGTTTTAATAACTTATCAAATTTTAAATTTCATACAAAAATAAATAGATCACTTTAAACGGTAACAACTCTGTGCAGGACGGGGGTGGAATTCGTCGCGGAGGACATTTTGGACTTTTGGACTTTGTACATATTTAATTTTTGTAAAAAGTCATGGAACAAAAGTTGTTGTTTATGACAGTAGTAATATAGTCCTGTGAGGTTATTAGTATTTTAAAAATAACTCTGAATATACCACGTCCTACAGATCTCCGGTAAGATCAAAAACTTTAAAACGAAATAAGATAAAATGTATTTTCATATAATGTTACAAGTGAACATTTTAAATGCCCAGCTAGCTGCAAAACAAATGTAGTTTCGTCACACACAATGGCTATAAACAAAGCTCTGTTAATAGAGTAATTAGTCTAGTTTACACGTTCGAATCATTTAGCCAAGGTGAGGTCTGTTCACTCTGCGTACTAAATACTATCTGTTGTCTTTTATTTTAGTAGCCTCTTCCTGTGCCAGATATATGTATACATGACACTAAACCACGGATATTCACTGGCTACGATATGCTGACCTGCCTCCATCGCTTCGTCAGTTCTTTTCAATCATGTAGTTGTGTGGTTTTATTAAAGAAGTTTTAATTACAGTTGTACGTACGCCAAGGACTAAGCATCGACACAGAACAGTCAAAAGTTAAGGGTAAATATGAGAAAAACGTTTTCCTTTTCTTCTTATTTGAAGCATTATTCTTTATTTATTGTAAATATCGCACGTGAATCCAAATACTGTCGTAACTCAAAAATGATTGAATTGAAAAACACAATTTAAAAATTAAAAAAAAAAAAAACAGAATGAACCATATAGCGAATAATGGGATTCTTTTTATTTGTACACAATAAATAATCATCGACTTTTGGTAGTACTTTCATGAACTTTCAAATTGTGTTTTCTCAATTCCACAATTTTGCGTTACGACATTATGTGATTCGGATACTATATTAATAACACAATTATTTCCTGAAAAAGAATGAATATTCAAAAAACAAACTTATGCAAAATAAAAGCACATACTGATGAATGAATGAATATATTACAAATGCAGTAAGTTATATAATTTTCATGGAAATTGAACACATACATGAGATTTATGAATGGCAGTAGGAAAATGCATTGAGGAAAACCAATTCTTTGTTATTATTTATTATTCCTATAAGTATATAGTTATTATTCCTATAAGCATGAAATAAAAACCAAGATTGAAGAAATTCCATTGTATTCCAGTCAATATAACAATATGATTGATTGAAATAGTGAATATTTTTATTGTTAGTCAGTGGAATAATGTACGGAATCACATTCATTGTCTTATTAAAAATCAGCAGTTTATTATTAAATATATATAATATAATAAATAAATATTAGACAACATCACGTACGTTGCTCTGATCACAAAGTAAGTAGCTAAAGCACTTGTGTTATGGAAATCGATATCCATGTACCGACTGTACCACAAGCAACCAGACCCAAGACAATATACAAAAGTTAGTTTCTACGCTGACCCGGCCGGGGATCGAACCCGGGACCCCAGAGATGGCGACACCATGAAAACCGGCGTGCAAGCCACTCGACCACGGCGGTCGTTCAAGGATTTATAAAAAAAACCCTGAGATAAATTGTTGCAAACGCAACAGAATTATTGTGACTTAATTGAATGTAATTTTCGAAGCATTAACAAAACGCTCGTCAAGGGCGCATTACGTAGGCCGGGGGTTCTATTTTGAACCAATCGACTAACGCCACAAACATGTTATTTCATCCCTACGATATTATTTTTACATTATCTATTTAACGAACTTTTGCACGAACTAACAAAGGTCAAAAAGGACGTTCACCTTTGAATTGTACTTTCATAAGAATCTACTACTGTTTAGCAATTAATGGCTAATAACTACTGTAAACCTGTAATCTATTGCCAATATTTTACTTTCAACTATAAATCGTCTTTAATTTAACGAGCTTGTCGAGATCGTCTACATCTTCTACTTGGGTCTGGCAGCTACATAAATAATATGATCAAAATGCTGTAATGGGAAAAATTGTTGTTTTTTAATCATTTTTATCAACATGCACATATAATTTGTGTGCTTTAAAGTTGACTATATAGTTACACCACATAGTTGTTTATTGTTGTATTTAGAACTCGTAAATATTATTGACACTTAACAGGTTTACATAATCTCATGTTATATCAGTAGATTACATACCAAACCCACTAGATTTATCTATAGGCAATAACAATATTAATCTACCTAATGTTTTAACTTATCGTTACAATTTCCTTTTTATAGACAATTAAGTATTAATGAAAAATATCATTCTTATATCAGCAAGTACACATTAAAAAACAAAATATGTGTATAACATTAATTCTAACACTACTGTATAGATAAAAGATGTAGCAATGCCTAGTTTGATGTTAGTTAAGTAAGCTAAGTTACATAATAGGTGAGGTGCATAGAGAATGTAATTGACTAACTTTTCAACTTTTCCCCAACTTTGTTAATGGTTCAATGTTTATATTTTCTTCTGAACATGATGATAATGAATCGGAAATTCCTTATTTAATGTCTCGACTAACACCAGAGATGTTAATGGTTAAAGTCATTGGTGGGGGTTTTTTAAGTAGTAAAATAATCTCTGTACTAGTAAAATAAATCTAAGTATGTGGAGGAGCCATTATTGTTATGACGTCACAAATAAGTACAATTGTTTTTTGTAAAAAACGATTTCTACTACCTACTTATTACTACTACTACTACCTACTCATTTTTCAACATTAGATTGTCTTGTTGTTGACTAAACTTCATTCATGTCTATTTTTAATGCCAAAGAAAAGCTCTAAATTAATACCATGTTTTTCAAGCCTTTATTAAATATGGTTGAATCTAATATCAATGGTGCGGTTTAAAATGCTGCAGACTTTATTGTCTCTATATGGTTTAGAGTATTAAGGTACTAGCATGTGATGTTATGTTGTACTGCCTGTACTTGTTTTAAAAGCATTACTTTACAGATAAAACAATTCATTACACACCCAAAAATAATAATATCACAATCATTCGTGTTTTTCTATATTTCAAGGTGTGATATCTTAATGACATAACACAGATTGATAACAGATAAAATGGTATTTTATAAGCAATTTTTTACAAGGACATTGATTCAAAAATACATTCTCAATTATAACAATATATTAAATTGCCTCTTCTGTCCATTATTTAATCAATCAGTCTGTCAATTACTTATACACTTGTTATTGATTGTGTTCAATTATTGAAGTAAATAAAGACAACTGAAAGAAAATTGCATTTTATTCTTTTTAAAAACAAACAATTGCATCTGGGAAAGAGCATTGCGGAATGATTCCTCTGCCCACCAAAGAGTGACAGTTGATCAAAAAGCTTTCATATAGGGTATGTTGGAAAGATATTATTGCCTCATAAAAGCATTCGGAATATTCAAATCCTTTTTTTTTTAATTTATTTATTTAGGAAAACATAGTCTTATACAAATCTTACAAAAAATACATTAACTTATTAACCAACCCAGATGGTTCCATTAAATACATACAAGTACTACAAAATATGAATTTGTACAATGGACACCAATCTAAAATGAAAAGAATTGGTGACACTTATCAGAAAATAAATAAACAATATATTGTAGACACTAATTAAACCAGCTGTCAGAGGTCTGAGTTTATTCACAGGGTCCTCTGTCAAATGTAATATCTCCCACTTTTTTCTTGTATCATCAATGATACCGAAAAAATGTCAGTGTCTTTCTATTTCTTTTTATAGTACCTACATGAGCGTCAAATAAATATGTTTTTAGGGTAATTTGTAGAACTAGAGCAACATAAAAATGTATTTTTGGTAAGGGAGGAGATACTAGGAATATTAAAGTTAATTAAACAGAGTCTGTACCACCGTTCACTATTTTAAAGAAAAATTTCATCCAAAAAGACATGTCTGTTGATTAGGGTATCCATAACCTTTTGGCGGCCATTTTATAGTCCACAAAGGAGGGTCCGGATTGGTAGTCTAAAGATTTAAGAAATCTATTTGGGACTTTCTCTAGGTGAGCAATATGAAGAGCGTATTGAGGCTCCAAATGACGCATGCAAATTGTAAAAGCCATTGTAAAAAAGAGTAATATAGGATTTTATAGGTAAATATTTTAGTGAAAGGTCTAGTATGGCGAAGAATCATTCCAAGTTGCTTATAAGCTCTGTTAATTATATTATTGATATTAATGAGCTTGGCATCGAGTGTCACCATTAGGTCTCTAATTTCATGCACTCTCTTTAAATTTTAATGTTTGGTGTAAAAAAGGCTGATTAACATTTGCACTGCCTCATCTCGATCAGAAATTTTCAAATGAAAAACTGACCTGAAATCATAAGTTCCAGTAAACATTCGTAATTTTATGGAATGTATATGGGCCACTCACCTTCACTGTCTCCGAGGAGTCTTCCCTTATTCTTCTCCCATAGCATACGGGCATGCTCGGGTGTTAGGTCTATATTATGGCAGAAAGTCCACTAAGCTTGAATCACGGCACATGACAGTTAATTTCGAGTTTAAAAGCATAGACCCCTTGCACAATGTGATGATTGTTAATGTTAGAATTTGTAATACTTGGTGGCTATGGTGCTGTAGAATGACTGAATGAATGCACTTTAAATGAAGTAGGATTTTGCAAATGATACAATCCTTTTTTAACCATAAGCTAACATTGCCATGAACTATGGAACAAACTTGTAAGTAGGAGTAGAACAAATTTGTGTTAGTTACAACAATAGATCACCTACATATGATACACCTGAGCAAGTCACAGCAAGAGTAAGAAATGAAATGGTACAGTGTTGCTGGTATTTACCTCTGAACTGGGCTTCCCACTCTTTCACGGATTCCATTTCCAAAGAGTTGAGATCACTCAGATCATCATACTCTTTGTCAGAGGATGTTACTGAGAATGTGGCTAGCCCCCTCGATGCATCCTTTCCACCAAACGCCGCATATGGCCCACCTAAAAAAGTATCGATGTGCATTACGTATGTATAATTTATTCGGAAATGATAATGACGCACAACGTGTCCCTGCTATTTATAAACAGAGACGCCTTAAACAAAATACTTACCGGGCCCGTAGAAGCGGCGCCCCCGGGTCACATCGAATATCCACCCATTGACTGCAACCAAAACTCTGCCATCAGGCTGCGTCCCGTCGTATTGACGCAGTTCTGCCACCGTCATGTCTTTACGTATCTTCGGCAACTCGGGCACCGGCGGCTCCATATATACCATTCCGAATCTACTTTTCAGTATTTTATACAACAACAAAGCGATAATCGCGGTCAGCAGCAAGTTTATAGGGCTGTAAATGATCTCATTTATGATAGTAATAACTGCGCCAGGACTCTCGCCCTCGCTTGGTACCGCTTTAGATTCCGGTGCTGATGTCATGGTCGAAACACGACGGAATTTATATATGGAAACTAAACTTCTACGAAATTTATATAAATTTCTGAAAACTCCAATCACGAAATTAGTATGTAAAGCAATGTAAAGAATTAAAAAATCACAGACGGTCTGACGTCAACCATCAATCAACGATAGTGATGTGCGATCGATTTATCGATTATTCAAATAATCGGTAGGGATTTCAATTTTTGATCCATACATTGTGAAAAAAATCTAAAAAACAGTATGTCGCATTAAATGTTTGGCTTAATTTCGTTTGAAAAATGTAATTAAATGAGTAAAATTTTTATTTAACATATAAGTAAAATAAAAATACGATATAATACACATACGAACAAAAACATTAAATCAGAATAATTGTTACTAAACTGTCTCTAAATATCGAGCTTGATATGCTACTGTATTTAACCATTAGTACAAAAAGGCCATTCAGTTTTTTTCTGTTTTCTTAGTCGTTTTAGCCAATAAAAATAAATCGTTAATGTTAAAAACCAAAATATGTCATCAAGAAATGAAATTCCGTGGTTATAAGCTATGTTATTAAAAACCTTTTAGTTTATAAAATAAATATATCATTTATAGAATAAATAAATCAAAATAAATACAGAATGGGGAAAAAAAATCTGAAAAAGCTCACTTTATTAATTTCCCAAAAAAATGTGCTTTAAAAGAAAACTGTAGTTGACATTTCCTTTTAAAGGAAAACATTGCAACCAAAATGTAAACATTTTAAAAACGGTTTCATGATAAATATGAACTTTGTAATATGATATTGATACTAGAAATACACTGCAATAATTTTAATGTTTATAATTCAATCATTAAGGAAAAAATTAAAATTATTATCTAATAAATGACTGTGTTATTGTCTTTTTATAACAAATATAATAGTTTCTGCCTGTCCCAATGAAAGACAGAAGGGATGGTATGTGTTTAAAGGTACAATAAGCGCTATCTAGTTAAGAGTATGAGTTGACAAACAATATCACAACCATAGGTCGGAAAAAAGTGTTCCAAATGTAATACATGTATAGATGTAGTAGCTAGACATGCCTTTAGAGTTGTTAAAACCACAGTATACATTACTTTTTTCGAATTCCTGATTTCCGGAAATGGTTTTACTACTTCGTGAGACAAAAGCTACTCACCTAGTAGTTTTATCTTACGATATTGGACGACGACGCTGTAAATGCGATGTTGCAGTAGATAACTAACTTTTCATTACAGTAATACTGCTTGGCGGAAAAAATAAGTATGGTAGCAGTATTTCCCTGGACGTTCGTTCACACAAGGAGCTTTACTGCAATGCTGATAATGACGAATAATGCTTAAAACCGTTTTCTGAAATCCGGAATTCTTTTTTTAATAATGAATTAAAATTTGGTGGTTTTAACAACTCTGTATCACTCTTTGTAGCTATATTTATACAATATATGTGGAACATCTTTTTCCATCCATTGGTTTTTTTCATACATTAATTGTAATTAATTACTTGCATATTTCGCACGATGAAAATATTATTATCTTATGCAAAACGTATAATTTATGATGATTTCGAACGTTTCTAAATGTCAAAACCACGGCCTAAAATACCGATTATTAATGAAAAGGTGAAATTTAACTTTTTCGATTACAAAAGAAAATGGCAGCACATCACTAGCTACGGCGACACATGCATGTTGGAGAGATAATAATACTTGAAAGTCAGAAACGTGAAAGAAATCGATTCTTAAAATCATATTGACTAAAAAAAAAATTATATAATATTATCTTCTTCTGCAGGTTCATGAGTACTGTTGGGTAATTTTCAGAAAAAAAATCAAATAGTGGAACTTTCAGGTTATCCTGGTATGCCAGAAAAACTGGAGAAATGTAGTTTGGAATATTTATTCATATAAATATAATATGTTCTACGTTTAGAAATATCTTTTGAAATTTTATTTAGCGTGAATTATAAAATGAACTTGTATAGATCTATGAGCTATAACTTAAAATGACCGAAATTTAAAATGACTTCACAACTTAGTTAGAGGATGGAAAAAAATATAATCTAAGCTTCACGACAGTGAAAAAAACCTCCAATAACCAAACCACTACCACTTGTTGTTCTTCTTCTTCTTTTAAATGTTATGGCTCCATCGAAATAAGCAATGATTTTGCCAATGTCAAGTAAAAATAACTATGTACGGTAGTTTAATATTATTATAAAAATTATACAAAAAAATGGCGATTTCGCCAATGTCCTGTGAGAATTTCCAATTCATTTCCACTTGTTGTTAGCTCCATAGTTTTTGTTCAGTAATTTCAACTTTTGATAGGTGTCAATGTCAAATGTGGAAAGTATTGGAAAAATATCCGGAAAAAGTATTATTTTTCCGAGAAATATGACTTTTTCAAAGTACAAATTTTTCCATGACCCTACGCTAATTGACAGTGAGAAAGAATACAGTAATGAAAATAGACAACTGGTTATTAATATTTGCTGCAACATTTTGTTTATTTGACAATGAGTGAATGGGGAAATGAATCTCGATTCTCGAGTGTCGACTGAATGGCAGACGCGGAGCGTATTCTAGTTAACTGTTTTTTTCTCTGTGGGTAGACATGGGGAATAGCGTTACATTTCTATCGCCGTGATTGTGGTTCCAATTCCAAAAAAATCACAGTGATTAATCGTCGTGATTTTGTCACGACTGTTACTTCCGTGACCTTGTCACGCCTATAAATTACATTACGACATACGGTTTTAGCCAGCGGCTTCTTTCTAATACTTATAGCCGTTTTTTTATAGAATGATTTAAGTTTTTGCTCCCTTTGTTACAAGTTTCAATTCCATTCAAAAAGTTGATTTTGTATTTAATGTAATTTTGTTTTTACTTATTTAATTCGAATCTTTGGATTGTTAAAAATAGCAATAAAATGTAATGTAATTTAATATTTAATGTAATAAATATTTCTAGTAGAATACACAAAGTAGATTAGATTCAGAGAAGTATACATAAATATAAAATACCAACTCTTCCTATAATAAAACAAATATACAAAAATATTTTACTTTGTTCATAAATAGGTTTCTAATAACTCCTGCAGATTTTTTTCATCCGCTCTTTCTAGTAGTAATAAGCACGTACGACCCTTGTGAGTGAGCAAAGAAAGTGATTCTACTTCATTCTCTCCCATGGCCGAAATGGCCCGATTTGAAGAGAACTACAACGAGTGGCGCGCTCAGTCACCACGGAACGGAGATCGCGCATTGTATCAAATACCTATGTGTCGTGATGTGAGTGACGGGGATAGCTGTTGGAACGGAGGAACACCTATGTGACTTTGGAACGTCGTTCCTTCGGAACGAGTCACGGTGATACTGTCTGACGGCGGATCATCGTGATTTTTTCATCGCGACCTTATTTATCACCCACCTCTATGGACTAAATAGTGGGCACTGTGTTATATGTGGTGGGCTGGTGGGCACAGGTAGGCACAGTACGTAGCTGTCACAGCCAGTCATAGCACAAGTTTATTTAGTTTTCAGTAATTATGTATTTTCATATTTGAAGCTCTGCGTTTTCTTACAATATGCGGGATACTCAGCAGGATCTTTGTTCCCGGTACATAAAAATATTTGTGGTGGTTGCCTGTTATTGGTAAGTATCGGAAAAAGCAGTAGGTATTTTCATTATGCCTTTTCATCTACACGAAACGTATTTTTCATAAAAATGTATTGAAGGGTTCAATTGAACTTAAAATTAATGCTTTCGTGGCATAGTGCAATTTATTCTATGTCAAGGTTGTTACAAAAGATCAACTATATTTATGTAGTTGCGATTATTTGGATAACAAATAGGCAATTTCACGTTTAGATGAACTTGCTTGCTAGTCAAATATTAAAATTGTCGTCCTGTTCCCAACTGTACCACTGGTATAACAGTGTGCAAACTATTTATTTGCCAAACACACCTCATTTTGATACCCAATTATACCACTGGTTTAGCAGTGTGCAAACTATTTATCAAAACACGCCTTGTTTTGACTGAAGCCGTCACTGATGGTTGTTTTTATCTTAAAAATGCGCCACCAATAACCCAAAAGCAGAAAATTCACAATTACTTATAGTATCATTTTTGTAGCACTTCAGATACAATCAGGGCTCTGCAAGCTAAAGTCACTGGTTTTTTGCTACACCTACATATTGCATCCCTACAGAAGTGAGATATAAGTGAAAACCACGAAATATAATGTAGCTGCCTATATAAGTAAATAGTGCTCTGTATTTTTCTTTATGTAGACATTAATTTAGATTAATATCATGATGTTATCTTGTTATTATCACATTATGAGAACACATATAAGTGAGCAGTGTTAAGTAGTAAATATAATTTTAAAAAATATCTATTCAATTAAAAGTGTAACTCCCATGACTGAATAGACACTGGCAAAATTTATCCAAAAGAAATGAGAAATTTAAAAAAATTAGAAGTTCTAACATCACCTACCAATCAAGATCTTAGGTTTTAGCATTTGTTGTATTTTTTTTTCGGTTTTAAATTACGTATATTATTTGTGTTTTTGAACGCCTACCAATTTTCAATGGATTTACCTTCATTATAAGAACAGACCGTGACTGTCCCATTGTTGGGCATAGATGTTTTGCACTTGTTTATTCTACAGAAAAAATATAGAATAGAATAATAGAATAGAATACATTTATATATATTTATATATATAAGAAATATCGACCTATTGGAAATCTGTAGACTATATTTTCATTAAATTAAATATTCTCCCTCGCCTGAGAGCATACCCTTATCCGTCAGTGGGATGTATAAATGGGTTGTTGATGAAGATGATGATGAAATATTCTAACTGTACCGTCAGTGCATTTTAGAAATAAGTAACTTCATCAATAGAAACAACCATAATTTTGCTACATTTGCAAATATTACCTACACTCAACTATTAAACCTCAGAAATAAATATAGACTGGCTCTACCTAGCTCGAAATTACAAATGTACAGCACAGGACCATTTCTAATGACTATTAAAATCTTAAATAGAATGTAGAATCGTCAAAGAAATTGCGTCCCAAATGCAGTATAATTAATTACCTTTAAGCACATTTGATAAGAAAATATCATTATAATTATTGTGCTATGATTGAATTGAATGAAGAAGTAACCTGTATAATAAATAAACAAGTAAACTCTTATGTGAAAGTAATAAAGTAATTTATTTTTACATAACATAAAGTTAATTAGTTAATTATTGTTTTCGAGCATAATAAAACAACATCGTAATAACATAAAAATTTAAATTTAAAAAAAGAAAATTAAAATAAATTTTTATATCTATATGAAGAACATTTTGTTTATTAATTTTGAAATATAGTATGTATTTTTTCATTTGTTTTAATTTGAATTAGTCCAGAAGGCTAATGCAAAGAGTTAAAAATGTTGATCTATAAAAACCAACCAGATATAAATCAACTTTATAATTTCAGGGTGGTGTCAATAGCAACTGTATTTGTTAACAAGGCATTACTAAGTAGTGCGACTGTGGCACTGGAGGCGCCGTTATTCATCACGTGGTTCCAATGCATAGTGTCATTCACAATTTGCTCTACATTGAGCTTGACTGGAGGCATACCGGGCATCTTCACCTTTCCTAAAGGTACACCATGGAAGATAGATGTCATGAGGAAGGTAACATCAGATTGTTATCCTTTTATTTTATTATGATAATCAGACAATTTTTAGTTGAGAATCTAGTCAATACACCTTGAATTAGCTAATAAAATGAGTTTCATTGAAGTGAAGCTGTAGGCCGGTTATTTTACTTTTTTTATTTTAGGTCTAATTGAAAATAAAAAAAATGCTGTAATAGATTTCATATTATTGGTCAAAAGAACACATTGCAATGTGTTCTTTTCAACCTTGGCGGAATACAACGTTAGCAGAATAATAGTGGAAAATGATGGAACCAATATAAAAAATTTGAAATTGGAATTCACTTGTTAAACTGTTACAATACTTATATAAGTTTTAAAACTAAAAAATATTTTTTCTTACAAAGGCAGGTAGGTAGTTTAAGGCTTTGCAAGGTCGATATTACGAGATGTTAATTTAATTGTTAGTTTATGCCCAATTACTATTGTCATTATTTACTGCCTCTGTGGCCGAACGGTTAAGAGACCCCAGGTTCGATTCCCGGGCCGGGAGAAATAGTTGTATGACCTAGATTTATTTCTCTCGTGAGTTTGAGTGTAATTTGTGGTTGTCTATGAGTATGTCCATGGCACCTGCGATACAGGGTTTCCCTAGTGCGGGGCTATATTGAGTGTGTGCGTTATTGTTATTATTATTTATTTAAATATAAATGTTACTGTTTTATATTCTCAATGTTTTTTGTTCTACTAAATATTAATACAGTTAGTCTTAAAATGATCTGAGTGATCAAACAATAAATGTGAACCCGTCATACCCGTCATTTGCAAAGCTATTCATGAGTTTAGGGGGAATATTGGGCATATAGAGCGTCCAACACAAACAGCAGTATGCTATCAATGATAGTTAAATGAATTGTTTGTTTCATAAATTTTTGTGATTTTTTTCATTTATAATGAATTTATGACTTGGTTCATTATTTAACGGTTATTGTTTTATAAAGCAGACGATCCCCCAAAGTCGCCGATCCTTTTTTCTAAGTATGTATCTAATCGTCTGTGCTATGATTTAGTTGGTTGTTTGTTGTAATTTACTTGATTAGTAATGATCTCAGTATACAGAGAAGTAAAAAAAACCTAAGTTCGTGGAATTGCATCTCTTTGCCAAGTTTTATTCAAATCGGTAACTAGAAAGTGCGCGAAACCGGATTCATTCCCTAGTATGTCACCCTTATTCTTCAAAATTAAATGGGACCACTACTGACGATCCCTTTTTCAAATAAAAAAAGAATCATCAAAATCGGTTCACTAATTATCGGAGTTATCGCGTAACATACATACATAGAAAGAGAAAAAATAAAATAAAAACAAAGACAAATTGAGAACCTCCTCCTATTTTTTCAAGGCGGTCAAGAAAATACTATTTTTATTGCCAACTTCTTGTAAAAATAAATAAAAAAACATACTTTTCAAAACATGTGAACAAGTAGACTTCAAGTTCTTAAGTTTTCGCAATTGTTACACATAGGAAATTAAACTATTTTTCCGGATTTAAATCACCTATATTTGTTTTTTCAAACAAACCAACGTTTCGGGCCCTTTACAGGTCCCATGGTCACGGTTGACTCCTTGGGACCATCCTGAAATCCGGAAAAATAATTTTCATTTCCTAAGTAGACTTCAAATTTTCACCTATGTTGAAGGACTAAAATAGACTGATAATGGATAAATCTATATAGCGATCCCTCCTACGTAAAGTTGTAACCCCAAAGTAACACCTTTTTAGGGAAACGTTTTATCATTATGATTAAAATGAACATAACACCTGAGATTGTCGAGGTCATTGCTATGGAATTTTGATATAAATGCATTATTTTTCATGCTTTATAATTGTACAGCTATATGTATTAGGTAATATCATAAAAATGAAGTTGTTTTTGTGACTTATTATAGATTACGTTGGTGGAGTCGATATATCGCACCCCTCATCGAAGAATGGCATAAGTGGAGTTACGTCAAAAATGTTTATTGCTCCATTAGATACAGAAAAATATAACTCACATCCTCTCCAATTCTTGTAACTCTATCGACTAATATTGTACAAACATTAGCAAACCATCAACAGTGAATCACAGCGCCATCTTTTTTACAATTTTCTAATGACGGTTTTATTGACGTTTCAAACCAAATTTCATGTTCAAAAATAGTATAATCTTGAATTTCACATATTTTGAGTTACAACACTATTGTAATAGCAGTGCGATATGTAGACAACCACAAATGACTCCCAAACTCACGAGATAAATAAATGTAGGCCACATAAATATTTCTCCCAAACCGGGAATCGAAACCGGGACCTCTGCGTGGCAGTCCAGCATGATAACCGTTCGGCCACAGAGGCAGCATTGAAGAACTTTATGAATTTTTACTGCTTTATTTTAATTACTTACTGTCGTGGTTGCCTGCGATACGACTTTAGCATCGCATTGACTTGTATGGAGTCTCTTACAATACGACAAAGTCGCATCGCTGAGTCGCATGTTAATGCAACACTGTGTGTGATGCTGTGAGAACCAATAACCGAATCTAAAGGCTGAGACAATATGGACACGGCCGGTACACACTCGTGAGGCCAATGCTCGCCACCCTTCATGCACGTCACAGGTTGTCAAGGGCTTAACCCAGATATAAGTGTTTGTCAAGAATTCACACCATACTTTGTGCGCAGCTGATTGGCGCTATGTGGCCAGTTACACTTACCGGCACGGAAACTTGGCCACACTTGGATTTTGCGATAACTTATATTAAAATACTATTTTATTACCAAATAAAGTCTAGTTACACTCAATATGCGTTATTTTTGTTTTTTTACACTTTTATAGTGTTTGTACACCAAAAAACAGTGTTTTTTTTAAATTACACACTTTTACGAGAAAAACGATTTTTAAACACGAAATTCTAAAAAATTGAAAAATTAAAACTTAGCCAACTTTCTTTATGTTCATACGTTTTAGTACTTGGTGTTACCTCCTCTTGCTCTAATTACAGCCTGCATTCGATCTGGCATGCTTTGAATGATATTTCTGACATCAATTTGAGGAATGTTTTCCCAAGCGGCAAGAACTGCATTTCGGAGCTCATTAAGTGTTTGTGGCGGGTTGGGAGTGGACTTTACTTTCCTTTTAAGCGTGTCCCATATGTGCTCTATTGGATTTAAGTCCGGGCTACGAGCTGGCCATTGCAATTTTTGAATACCAACCTCTTCAAGATATTCATTCACACAACGTGCGATGTGCGGGCGTGCATTATCATGCATTAAAAGAAATTGGTCGTGTCCAATGAACTCCGAATACACGATAACATGATCCTGGAGTATTTCCTCGATGTATCGTGTGGCAGTCAGCCGATTGTCGACAATCACTAACTCCGTGCGAGCGTCAGAACTTATTCCTCCCCATACCATTATGGAGCCCCCGTGAAAGCTGACGGTTTGTGCGGTGGTAATGGGTAGAAACCGTTCACCTCTTTTTCTCCACACTCGTTCTCGGCCATCTGGAGCACGTACAGCTATTCTGCACTCATCTGTAAACAGAACTGTAGCCCATTCATGTGTCCAGTTAGCATGTTCCCGTGCAAACCTAAGTCGAGCTACTCGGTGCTGTCTGAGAAGTTCTGGACCTCTTGCTGGCCTACGAGCTTTTAAATTAACTTCTTCCATACGTCTTCTCACGGTACGCTCGCTGACATTTACTTGTCTCGCGATTTGGAGCCGATTGCGAATTTCTACAGCGGTAAGGTAGCGGTTTCTCAAAATTTCCAGAACAATGAAACGGTCATCCCGAGCCGATGTGCACCTAACACCACCACTGCCTGGTCTGCGAGTATAGTGGCCTGTCTCCTGGTATAGTTTTAAGGCATACTGCATTGAAGAACGTGGCACATTCAGAATGATAGCCACTTCACGTTGTGACAGCCCTTGGTCAATTAAAGTTACGGCCTGTGCAACTTGGGTTGGTGTTAAGGGCATTTTTATTGACAAATTTTCTCTTTTAAATATGGTATTAAACACTCAAAAACACAAGACGTCGGTAACTTAACAGTACACTTTGCAAACCTTAAACTTTTATCCCACAACCTTATTGCCCAAATGACCCGATTCAACTAAAACTTAAAAATTGTGTGACAGTGCACTCAAAAATAATTAATTGCCCTCTTGAAATGAGGGTAAACATTTTTTCTACACACCTTCATGAGAAGTGCTTATTAGAAACACTTAAAACTTTTGCAAACGCGAGATTAGTGCTTGGCCAAGATTCCGTGCCGCTCAGTGTATATTAAACATTTGCATAATAGGTACATAGCGCTTTTTCATCACATCATCATTTTATTTGTTTTTAATTCAGTCGACAAAACTTTGTCACCAAATAACTAAGCTTATACGACGACCTTCGAGTGGCTTGCACACCGGTTTGCATGTTGGCGCCATCTCTGAGGTTCCGGGTTCGATCCCCAACCGAGTCAATGTAGAAACTAATTTTTAAATATTCTCTCGGGTCTGGGTGTTTGTGGTACCGTCGTTGTTTCCGATTTCCATAACACAAGTTTATTTACTTTGGGATCAGAGCACGTATGTGATGTTGTCTAATATTTATACTATTAATCATGTATAACAAATTGGTGCGTATTTATGGTATTATTTGCGCGCTATTTCTAAAGAATCTTTTTGAAGTGTTGTTCAGTGGAATTAATATAATTTTGGTTGTTTCAAACCATCTTCAGCGTTATTGCGGACAATATCGAGAATAATCTGGAATTTTGTACAATGGTGTAGGTCACAAGGTTATCCAATTACCAAAAATGTGTTTACTTAATATATTTAGGTACATACTATGTTGAGTGTGTGTATACATAACGGATTATTCACTATTATTATATCACATTACGAGTATAGGAGGAATATCATAACTAAGTTATATTTTTACTTATAAATGACAGGTAAAATAGACTTAGATCCTAATAACAGTATCTAAAATACCAACCATTGCATCGGGATCTTTCTTTGTTTTGTTGATTCTGTACTCAATGAAATGTATTTGACTTGAGATATAGTAATATCGCATGATTCCGCAGGTATAATGGCATGCGTCCGTTGTTCTTTATAAACTGTCAAAGGCATTGTTTATTAGATTTTTCTATGTATCTAAACAGTACTCATTGATCGTGCCCGGCTCTATAAACAATAGTGCCAATTCTGTGGCGCACATTCTTCTGACTCTACAGGAATTCCGCTAGCAGAATCGCCTTGAGCCATCTTAAGACAAACAATACAAACACAGTTTTGTTCTAGAAAGATTCACAGAACTGTCTTGAGCCAGAGGGAGAATTAGAGAATCAATATAAACTCTTAGTCCAAGAAAGTTTCGAAAGCATTTGAAGTTGCTATGCTTCAAAAATAAATTCTCTTCACAAAAGCCGTCACTTACGCGTGACTATTGTGCGTTTCCTGTTATGCCTTATCTCTTTCATATAAAATCTACTTTTATTTGATATTAGATGTTGAAACACTGCGAGTGTTCTTAGAAACACTGCGAGTGTTCTTACAGTTCAAAATGGTCCTACTTATTGATTGCTACGAAACACGTGTTTCTGAGTGACGATATCACTAATAATGTCCCTTTGATGAACTAATTTTAACAAAGTCACGCGGTTAACAAAGTAACAGTCGGATTATATGGGTCAGTAGATATTCTTCTTATATCATAATGAATACAAAATGTATCGATTCGTTGAATTTCTAGAATACAGGCATATCTCAAAAAACATCTTCCTCCTGAACAGAAATTGCCAGGTCAACTTGTTTTTAATTAAGTTGCCCTAGTAAGGATAATTTCTTCGGGTGGAGATTTTCGGATGGGGGTTTACTCTCTATCTCCGTCCGACATCCGTTCGAAACAATTACTGTCAAATAAGTAATATTCGACAAAATTAAAAGACAAGTATCAAGTATGAAGCTTCATTTGCATCACGCGTTTTTTCATTTGGTCAAGTATTGCTTATTTGGCAGTAATTGTTTCGGATGGATGTCGGACGGAGATCGAGAGTAGACCCCCTGATCCGGATTATTAGTGCGATGCGATTCAAACGATGGTACAGTCACGAGCACATCGAGCTTGACACTTTGTATTTTGGACCGTTCTTATCGTGAGCGGCATAGAGTTGGATTTAAAAGTCTTAAGTGTTTGACGTGCTCTTGACCCTGTACGTACACCTGCGAGTCTTGGGGATTTAATGGCGCCTACTAAAGCGGGAAGAGGAATGATTAACGTGACCATTTTTTTAATAAATGTTATTAAAAAAATAAAAAAAATTTAAATTAAATTATTTATTAATTAAAAAATTAAAAAAAGACTAATCTTGTGTAGTCTGGTGGGCTGACTTTATATATTTTTTGATGGTGAACAATTTATTTGCTTTAATATGATGTCAGGTTTAGTTATTAAATATTAATGTAACTATGCCATGATTTTTAAATTTATGTGACGTATATCATGTATGTCAACAAACAGCTTGTTGCCGAATGCGGAACTTTTTAAAGTATTTTTTAACAGCGGAGCACGAAACTTAAAAGCGGGACTGTCCCGCTCAAAGCGGGACGTATGGTCACGTTAAGGATGAATGATAACTATAAGTAATATAATATACTATTGTTGTCAATTTCCAGGTGCTGCCTCTGTCGCTAATGTTCACGCTCATGATAGCAACAAACAACTTGTGTCTGAAGTACGTCGGTGTGTCATTCTACTACATCGGGCGGTCGCTCACAACTGTGTTCAATGTTATATTCAGCTGGGTGCTTATTGGACAACTGACGTCGCTTAGATGCATATTGTGCTGCTTGGTCATCATTTTCGGATTCTATCTTGGAGTGGATCAGGAGAATTTATTAGGTAATTGTGTCGGACGGCCTAAAGGAGATTGCGAATGCATATTTCAAAGTATTTTATAATTTAATAATTAAAAGGTAATGCCGTAAAAAAATTACAATCCTTTAAAATTATTTGGAGTTTCATGTTTACTTATGACAGTATTGTATTGTATGTATCCATTTTCAAACGAGATTATGAATTTATTGGTGCCATTTAGTAATTTTTTGAACTTTCAAGTCGTGTTTTCTCAATTCCATCATTTTTGAGTTACGACAGTATTTGGCTTCTTATGCGAAATATTGCAATAATGCAACTGTTTCTTCTCTTTATTTCCAGGATCATTTTCATTAGTAGGCACAATCTACGGCGTACTAGGGTCTCTGATGCTATCTCTGTACTCGATTTATACAAAGAAAGTGCTGCCACATGTCAATCAGCAAGTTTGGCTGCTCTCTTACTACAATAACGCCTACTCCATACTTCTCTTCATTCCGTTGATAGTGGTCAATGGAGAACTTACTATATTGGCTAATTATACTAACTTTCACGATCCATACTTTTGGTTCCAAATGCTGATTGGTGGATTGTGCGGATTCGCAATTGGATACTTTACTTCCTTGCAAATAAAGGTAACATTTTGCAAACATATTTTTTATTGCTAGCCTGTACTGTTGGACAAAAACATTACCATTCAATCAATCAGTTTATTTATTTGTCGGAATAAGGGCGCTTTCAAATTAGACGCTTTAGTGGCGCCACTATGGCGCTGCAGCCGCGCCACTACTAATTTTCATACAATGTTTAGAAGCGCAGTTGCAGCGCCAAATGTCGTGACATGCGCGCGCCACTTTTGCAGTCACAATTGGTGAACTATTTTAAAAATTACTGAAGCTCTACAGAGGCGCGGCAGTCACGCCACTGCAGCATATCTACAAGCGTCTAATATGAATGCGCCCTTATTCTGTCATAGTTGGCATGCAAATATGTATGTTATTCAACTTTTCCTTTCTATTTTTCTCTTTTCATTGCCATTCCCATAACGTTCAATTACTTTTAAACTCATCTATCTCATCTCTCCAATTATTCCTTCAAAAACCTTTTTTGCCACATCGGTAATTCTTATTAAGAACGAATCGTAGAATTCCAGACACAAGGCTGAAATTTATCTAAATTTATTTTTACACCTATTTATGTAGAGCTCCCTGTGAAAGAGTTCGTCCAGGGAAGTGCTACCACCTTACCTATTTCTGCCGCCAAGCAGTAATGTCAGCATTACTGTGTTCCGGTCCTAAAGGGCAAGGGTGCTGGTGATATTACAAGCACACGAGACTTATCAACTTACGTCTCAGGGTAACTGGCACAGTGGCAATGCCCCTGAGATCTTTGCGATTTAAAGCTCTGTGTGGCACTGCAACTGTTATGGACAGGCGTGTGGCTTACCATCAGGCGCACGACATGTTCGTCCCGTCACTTTATGTTATAAAAAAACAAATTGATCAAACACAAATATTTTATTTACCAATCGGGTCGAAGGAATTTTTCTTTGTGTTTGTTCAGTTTTTCTATCAATAATTTATAATAATTATAATAAAGAATGCCTATTCGTTGTTTACACAAATATACGACTATTCCTCTCCATTTTGCTGGATAATGGGCCTAGTTTTATCTTATTATTGTTTTACCAAAGCTATTTAATATTTACTAGGCCCAGTGGATAAATAAGATGTGATTGTATAAATCCGTCCTGTCACTTGATATTATAAAAAAAATGTTTGGCAGTTTGTTCTTTTGTAAATCAGCCAGTGAACAGATTAGGGCACATATAGGACGGATAACTGATTCATGTGAAGACCAACTTGAGGCTTGCCCTGCGGAAAACGATACAGTTCTTCGGGCTCACTGCCGAGCTGAGTGGGCGAAAATAAGAATGTTATCAATCGGCGATTTTTCTTTTCATTACTTCTAGTATCTAATATTTCTTTTTCGGACCTTAACGTTGGCACAAATTTTACCACCTCTAAAAAGTTAACTTTAAATATTTACAGGTGACGTCACCTTTAACGCACAACATATCAGGAACAGCCAAGGCCTGTGCACAGACGGTGATTGCGACGCAGTGGTACAGCGAGACCAAAAACTTGCTATGGTGGACGTCGAACGTCATAGTTCTCTGCAGCAGTGCTTTATACGCACGGTTCAAACAAATTGAAATGGAACAGAACGCCCGAAAAAGTAACAATGAAGAAAAATCTTTAGTCTGACTTTTGAATTACTGTGTCTGAAGACTTTAACCATTGTAACGTTAATTTATAACATTTTCGAACTTTCTAAGTGTGATATAGTGTTAGAATACATAATATAACATTGAATGTCTGTATTAATCATGTATTTTAACTAAACATGTATTTATGTGTCCTTATGGGTGTAATATGTTATTTTGTACTGGTTGTAAAGAAAAGTAATAGCGCACTATAGATCAAATCGACAGTTGAAAGGAAAGAGGGGCTAAACGCACTTAAGCTGGCCACATACAGAATTTCGAAACAGAATTCCGACTGTATGTGGCTGGCCTTAGGTTGGTAATTAACTATACCTATACAATTCTTTTTTCACACGAAAGAATTTTCAGGGTTGCCATTATTTGCAAAAATTTTAAATAGTCCTGTAGTTGTTTGTCAACATTTTTATCGATATATTAAAACGTAAAGACTTATCGCCTTCTTACTTCTTATTTTGACAGTTGGCTCACTGATATCGATATCAATTCGTGAAGTACCGAGGCACAATTTTGTTGTTCCTAGTTTACGTCCATTTTTTTATTTTTTTATTTTATTTTATTTATTTGTTAAACGATATAATTTATAATATTTTACCGTTTTTTACGTCGTAAGTTAACAAGTCCCTTATGCCTGTAATTTACCTGCAAATTCAAAACTAGAACGCTTGGCGGTAAAGTGAACAAGCTGTTATGGGATTGTTATTTAATTGATGGTTATTTAATTTATGGAAAGCCAAAATTCTAGTTACGACCTGTCTAAATGGACGCCCTATTTTTTTTTTGCTGACGTGGCCCTTTTGTAGGACGGAGTGGACAACTTGTCCTAATAATATTTGTCTGAGCAAATTGGTCAATTGCTCAATGTACTCTGTCAATTTTGGTCAATTTTGATAGTCACGCACGTCACATTAACTATTTTAGTAAACCACACTCTGTTCATAAATTGTAGACGTATATTTTAGGGCTAGAGAACGGAAAGTTAATACAATTAGATAAATAAAACACTAAGTATACTAAACAACGTCATTTTCAATTTTATTAAAAGTTTTAATGATTGATTTGTGTATGCATAAGTTTTAAACAATAATTTGATAGGTATTTTATATCGTTATGCAAATATGTTCTAGTAATCACAATTATTTAATGTAAGTATTACATTGACTTACAAATAAATGGACGACGAGTCTAATACAAAAACCACGAAAAAAATGTCCCAAGTCAACCTATTCGAAATTTAAATTGTAATGTCATCGCAGTATCGCGCTGTCAGTAGAACAAATGAAGACTAAAGCGGAGTTTGGCGCTCTGTATACGATTTTAGCGCCTTACAAGTGCGGACACTTTTTAGCGCGGACCCGACGTCCATATAATTGTAAGTCAATGAAGTATTACGTGTTATTTGACCATGGGACAATAATTTACCTACCGAATAATTGATGATCACTTATAGCATATGACGATCAGTTTACGTCTCTAGTGTAGACCATTGACATTTGTTTACTTGATATTATCTATATTATGTTTTCTGGATGGCGGTTCCCTTTATCACGGAACTGCTGGGCCTGATTAAGTTCACTGTGTGCAACTTAATCCTATGTGTTTAGCGTACTTTACACATGTTCGAAAACTAAAGTGAACATTTTCCAATGTGCAAGTTTCTGTGAATTCAGAATTGGTTTCAGTGAACTACGTGTCGATAATGACTCGGTGATAAAAGACCTCCAAATACCACACCTGACAGTAAAACATATTATGACAAAATAGCTGGATTGTTTGTGAGATACGCGAAATCTTTTTCTTATTTTTAGACTAGGAGAATGTTGAGTATGGAGAATTTACATTACGTATTAATTTTTTTTAAGTAACCCGTAAACAGCAATCGTATAGGAATACCATCACTACTTATTTTTACAACCAGTACATTTTTTTAAATCTAAATGTAACGTAGATAGAGATTTGGACTGTCCAAACTAAATTGTTAGTTGTCAATTTTCAGTGGCTGTAGTGTTATGTAATAAGTTTAATTTAACAGGGTTGTAGAAATAAATGGCGTGATTGAACGCCATCGAGTATATAAATATACTCGATGTTAAACGCATACTTATTACCAAAGGTATTTAAAGCGTAGAACTCCTCTGGGGCTTACAGTGGATATGGAAACAAAAGACCCGCTGTCTACCACAACGGAGCGCAAGTGTTTCAGCAACCAATGGTATTGCCATAGTATAATAGGATAAGTAGTTCAACTCCTGCGTGTTCGGCGCGTTAATGCTTACACTTCACTCGGAGCATAGGGTTGTCACCCCTCACATTATAATTTTAGTTGTACCTACAGGTTGTAAACATAATTTTAAAAAGTTTTCATCTCAGTATTCTCGTGCTAATTTGAAATAATCGTTGTTAAATGTCTGTACTTACATATTGATATTTTTGTACTAGGATGGTGGATTGGCATCTCGATTATGGGAGTATGATTATAAAGTATGAACCAATACATACATGAGTAAAAGTAGAAATTAAATGCTGAACGCTTCTGAATTTGGGGCACTCTTGTTCAAACAACAATAAACACGTCTACGATTTGATGTAAAATTTTTAAACAATGAGCGAACGCTTCTATTTTATAATGATTGGTGCGTGCGACTACCCGCGCTGTGCAACTCGAGTGCCCCGCGAAATGATACACTCCTTGTCTTGTATACTTTGTATTACGCAATACAAATAAACAAGATGGCCGCCATACAAATTTCAAAGTCTTCTATCACGGCAACTATTAGAGATAGGTAGGAAGGAATGTCATAGAGGGTAACAGTGATCAACTGCCTGTGTCAAAAAATTCAAGATGGTGGCTGAAGAAAAACTTGCTTCAATCCGGTTAAAAATTAATTAAGTCTTTAGGAGTCCTTAATCATAATTTGGGGTCAATGGTTTCTTTTCGCCATTTTTGAATATAGCTGGCATATAAGCGTTTTTCGTTAACAATGGCTGCCAAAAAAGGCTTGCACTTTGTTTAGATTTATGTGGTATTGCGTTATTTTGTCATTTCCGAACATCAGCCAGTAGTTCGTTTTTTGGACATTTCCACGTTGTAAGCAATTTGTTCGTTATTTGAACTGAGCAGTTCGAGATTTCAAAATTTCGAAATTATTCCTCTATGGAGATGCCAAAATAACATAATACAATTGATTACTGAAAGCGTTTCTCCGCTCCGCTTTGGTACATAATGGGCCTAGGGGTTATGTACCTACCGTAAGGGTACATGTGCGTTGCACTATGTCCTCACGTTTTATTATCGTTGAACGACTGTCGTGTCTAGCCTGTTCCCATATCACGACTATCTGTCATGGACGATTTTCATCGTTGAACGATTGTCGTGACTAGCTGTTCCTATATCTAGATCGTGACGACAACTTATCGTTTCACGACAGCCTCCTTGCCCATCTCTGGCTACGACCCAACGCTACTGCAAAGCGAGCAGAGGGCGCGGGGTACGAGAGGGGAGGGCAGGGAGCAGAATACGTGCGGACAGCGATAAATAAAACGTGACGACAATAGGAGCTGCGACAATCTGTCGTTACGTTTTATCGTGACGTTTTTTTATCGTCTGACGACTGTCGTTCTAGCTGCTCCCACTGTGACGACAGTTTGTCGTTGTAACGATAAAAAATCGTGAACGACAGTTAATCGTGTCGTGCTATATGTGAACAATTTCATTTAAATATACAAGCCACGACACTGTAAACTGCACGACAATCTGTCGTCACGACATAGTGGGAACGCGCCCTGAGCTGCGACATTTCATTTGTAATACAATTATTCCTCAAGTTAGATAATTGAAAAATTAAAACTTTAAATAATTTCGTAACTCTGCGTCAAGGAGAGTGTGCGACGGAATTGCATGAATTAAGTTTGTCATACCCTTTCCACCATCAGGGGACAAGAATTAGTTTGGGGTACTCTTTCTTGTGGGCATCGAGAGAACTGTTTTGCCACATCATTACTGTGACTTTTTTAATCCCAAAACAATTAACGACATCCGTCAATTGTTTCACTTCAAATCGACCAGTTTACTTGAGCTTTGCTATAATGGACGACAATTGCAAAATTACATATTTAATATTTAATTACCGATGAAATTTGATTCCGTTTGTTTAGTAATTAGATGTTTTGCTGTTTTTCCCACAACACCGAATGGAACAGCACGCCATTGTCAGAAATATTATCTTTATTACAACAATACAGAATATTTTTGGAATATACGGAGACGTACAGACTGGTCAATTGTTAGCGCTGTACTATTTCAGCTTTCTAATTTGTAATTTCAGTGCAAACCAGATTTGATTTTTATAAGTGATATATCACTGATGAGTTACCAGGAATATATGGCCCTTATTTCGTCTCTATTTCTGGTTATATACTCGATGGTTGTGGGTGATCCCAGGATTCTCACGAAACGTTGCGCTTCTATTTTTATGTGGCGTAGGATTAAGGAGTGGAATTCCTTCCCTAAACCTACGCTTTTTCAAGGTGTGATACAGTGGATAGGCATTATACTATATTTTTTAAAAAGAAACCTTTCGTGCCAATTTTATATTTCGGTCAACGATGCGTAGTACGTATTCCGTTTTCATGAGCGAGTTAAGATTAAAATATCTAGCTTATTGTTTAAAACAACGTGATAAGAATTCCAAATTCATATAAATACGAATTTACAGACACACAACAACATGATATAGAAATGTAAAGCATTCATAAAACCCATTATCCTCCAAAACGTGGAGCAGGGAGTTGTGTTTAAGGAACCGATGGTGGTATTGTTTAAGATAAATCTGAAAATAAGGAATTCTTTGTTTTTATTGAACAAACACAAAAAATTCCAATCGGGTCGAAGGAATATTTCTTTGTGTTTGTTAAATTTTTCTATCAATAATTTATAATAATTATAATAAAGAATGCTTATTCGTTGTTTACACACATATACGATTATTACTCTCGATTTTGCTGGATAATGGGCCTAGTTTTATTTTATTATTATTTTACCAAAGCTATTTAATATTATCTAGGCCCAGTGGATAATTAAGATACTAGTGGACTGTATAAATTAACTTGTAATTCGAAAAATAGGAAATAAATTGAATTGCAGAAATTAGGGACACGTGTGACGGCGTTTCGTGATCGATGTGCTTTTTTCTTTTGATTTTATGAGCCAATGGCCATCCGCGAGCAGTGTTGCTGTGTCTGTGCTAGATAAATGTAAAGGATATTTTTATACTGACACGATAGGACTTTTTCGCACCTATTGAGGCAGTTTAAGTCAGTGAATTTGTTAAAATGAAACTTCCCGCACAAATGTTATTGTTTTAATGAACTTGTATTGTTCTGCCTCTTAATGATACAGTTTTTTTATTTATTTACAGACACATTGTGAGTATGATGATAAGAGAAGGATGCGTTATGGATCGTGAGTGCTACCATTATTCGAATATAGTTGGATGCTCGTTTATTTCTTTTGCCAACCGTACTTAGTTTATGAAACGAAAGTATATGATGTAAGTGGCTGTCATTTCTGCATTTAAAATAATTATAACTTACTACCTATGTAATGTATTATATTTTGTAATAGTCTTTTATAATTAACAATAATGGTGAATTTTCTATAACCCTGTTATTTATGATGATGTCGCGTTTATCCATTGTTCAAGAGCTTAATGACGGCACTGTTCATTAAAGACGATTTTTAGTAAAACATTAATTGCAACCTACATTTAAGCTAATTGCATAATGGAAACACGCTCTAAATGTTAAACTAAGTAAAAAAAGTTGTCACTAAGTCAAAAAACTAAAACTAAGTAAAAAACAATTCAGCAACTTATAAGTTGCTTTATGATCGTTTCAATACATTTTTCAAAATATAATAATTACAAATTTACATTTTGTTTAAATAAATTTTAAACATCACCAAAATGACATGATTTGTTGCGAACATTTTTAAATCTCTAATTCGTAAGGTTTAAAAATATCGCCTTACGTAAACCATAGAATTAAGGTATACAGCTATCGAAAATAATAAATACTACATTAAAAAATAGACATAAATTGATCAATAAAGTTAAATATAAAGTCATAATCTTGATTCGTTGTTTGACAAGATATTTAGTAACACTGGTTCAGAAATGAGCAGTACCAACGGACGTCACAACCATAATAAGCATACAAGCTATACTATGCATGATAGTCTATTGTTTGGAAAAGACGGGCGTGGTGTTACTTGAGATAATTATTTATTTCTATTTGTTTAAACTTTGAATGAATTATTGATTGAATAAATGAATGTTAACCGGAGAGTTGGGTTCAGAATTAATTTAATGTAATTAATATCGAACTTGAATTTCGAATTAATTTTCGTCATGTTTATATGAGTTGATCATCGAGTAAATAACCATATACTAGTCGGAGTTGATTAAGCATCAATCGAATAGCCTATATTTAAGGAATGGCTTGGTATGGTATGTACTACCTACTGACAAGAATGTCTTTTTCTATAGTGACCTTACAATAATTTGAACCTAAACGTTAGCGTACGAAGGTTTACAACAATCTAAAACTTTAATGTCCACTATGCAAGCGATTTCTTCATTCTCAGCACAGAAACTAATTCAAATGTACTCAAGTTTCTTTTGTATAATTTGTTGTATCAGGAGGTAACCCTAAGGGCGCGTGTCCACGCTAAGAAAAGTCGATCTATGCAAGAATTCGTGACGTTTCTCCACACGAACTGTGTACACTGCCTCGGCGCCAGACAAGAAAAAAAATCTTGTCTACCCCCGACACGACGCACTCTGCCGCTATTGTATGGGCGGGGTGAGGTGTATTGTCAGTAAACGAACGTTTATGCGCGTGGACGGGTGTTGCTCAGTAGTCAACATAATACAACAACATATTTCTTCCCACAGTCCGTAGTAAAACGACAGCTACCTGGAAGAGTCGTAATGCACTGACACATTTTACCCTACACACGTCTGTCCGAAAACATTCGTATGGTGTATATACTCATTTTCTCGTCTGCAACAGACACGACATGTTTTCGTGGCTAGATCCGACAAAGTTCTTGTCGTGTACAAGACTATTCTTATCTTTTCTGTAGCAAACACGTCGAATTCTTAGCATGTACACGCGCCCTAAAACTTTTAATTCAAATGTTACCTTCGTTTTCTAATAAACTAACGACAGAGACAAGCTGAACTATTCTATTCCTGTAGGTCTCAAATAGGGTATGTCGTCTATGTCAAGTCTCAAGTAGTGTTTGAAGATGCCTCAGAGTTTACAGATGTTCTAAAGTAACTGAAAGACATAACCGTGATGTTTGCTTTATTTTTTATTTTATATTATGTGTTGTCAAATTATAACACGTGTTATAATTTGTAAATTAACTTTAGTGAGGTTTTGAGAGCCAAAATATTTTTAAACCACCCGTGACCTTAATTGTTTTTGTAATTTATATTTTAGAGATTTATATTCTGGTTTCAAATGTACATTTTCTGTTTCATATGGATCTAATGCGTAATCGTATAATTCTGTGCCAAAATTTTTATGCCACATCTTTTTAAATGTCATGCTATTAAAGCCGATCCATTCCGTATATCTGAAACGCTTTGTTCTTATACTGTATCCCATTATTTTTATATCCTTCAACTTCGGTTCATCACTATTTATTTGTGGAATTTTGCTGGGTCTAGGATATTGGCTAATTGCATACTGTGCTGATGGTTTTGTGTCCCCTTTCATCATACGTACAAGGCTTTTGCCATCAAAGCATAAATCAGTAACATTCTCCAACGATGCGCATCTAGGTACTTTCCTATGGGACAAATGTGCAAGTTCCACAAGCGTAGGAAATATGTCTAATAATTCCACTGGAGAATCAATAAGCCTTGGTTCATAGCCGGGCGCGTGGATTATGAGCGGAACCTTGAGAGCGAAATCTGAATTGCTGTATTTAGCCCACATTCCATTTTCTCCTAAGGACCAACCTGAAAATTAATTGCGCATTTAAGTTTACAATTTATCTGCCGCGGTTAGCGGACTAACTAAAACGCGGCAAAGTGACAAAATATTTTTTTGAGGTATCATAAAAAACCATAACCCAGTTTTAAAATATTGAAATTGCTTAATGATATTGCAGCTATGCTTCGTTAGGGTTAGTTCCGATAAGTCGAACACTAACTAATTTTAACTGTTTTTAAAAGATAATTTTGTGCTTTATCTTTTCCTATTTAAAACGGATATTTGATCATTGGTCACTTAGCCCCGTTTTAGGTAATGGACGGCAGTATGGGACACGGAAGGAAATATTGTACGCAGGATATTTTGTTTTTAAAAGTAGGTTATACTGCATTCAAAGATACAAAAGTTGCTTGCTTCATCTCCGAATAGAACTGATGACAGGTGAAAAAAATCTTGTATTTTTAAGATGTCGATTATAGGAAAATGAATTATGAGGTGTTTCACTGTCGATATTCGTACTTTGAGATGGGGCTTCGGTTCGTACCAGTTGGAAAACAGCCGGTGTGCTTCCTTAATCTGGATTAGATTGGCCGACTTTTAAAAGTTGTTGAATGCAATATTACTTTTAAAAAGAAAAAGTATCCTATCTGTCATACATAGTAATTTAAGTAGTTATTTGTAAAATACTAACAACCTTGCAGGGCTCTATTACTTACATCATAAACAACAACTTTTATTTTACGACTTTTAACAATTCATTCGATTTTACTTTCGTCCTCTGACACTTTTTAGATCTGGGGGTCTACTCTCGATCTCCGTTACTGCCAAATAAGCAATACTTGACCAAATGAAAAGACGCGTGTTGCGAATGAAGCTTCATACTGGATACATGTCTTTTAATTTTGTCGAATATTACTTATTTGACAGTAATTGTTTCGGACGGATGTCGGAAGGGCATCGAGAGTAGCCCCCCTGTATTGTAGACAGTTGTTTAAAGACTCCTTCTGCGGGGTTTCCTTTGCAACCGAACAGAGTTATCACTGTTTAGAGCGATCTATTTAAATATTTTTATTTTTACCCGAAAGTAAAATCTGATAAATGTCATGGAATAAAAGATATCAGGAAAGAAAATTGTTGTTTATGATGTTAGTAATACAGTCCTACAAGGTTGTTAGTATTTTATTATTATAACAGAATTTATAGTTAACATTTTTGGAAAACTGGTAACTTTAAAAATGTACATACATGGCGATCAAATAAGCCATATGACTGTCAAAATAGGACTTAATACAATTGGATGGAAGAATATATTTATGAGTTTTATTTCGTATGTTATGTTTTAGTATTATTTCATTTGTCAGTTTCCCAAAAATGTTAGTTTTTGTATGCGTTTACTTTATTATTGACGGTGTGATATACATAATAAGGTATCGTATCGTGTCGCTAGAATGCTGTTTGATTACCAATGAACCGTTTTTTTATACTAGTGGAGTCCACACGTCCGTGACACGTGTTACGAGGTTCCTCAATAATTAAAATTGCGTTGAGACGTGTTATAGGGTCTGAATAAATTAATTTCAAATTTTCTGGTAACCCTTTTGCGTCTATTATTATTAGGGGTTAAAGTATCAAATTGCTATCCTAAACTATCCTAAGCTAAACTTCTGGCTAGGTATTTTGAAATAAAATTGGTGTTTAGTGTAAGATTCAGACCAGAATTTATTTGAAATAAAATCTTTAGGCTTTTAAATTTAGCATTTTTGCATTATTCATTTATTCAAAACGAAATTTGGTTAATTATGCATTCGCTTTGAAATCAAACATAGATACGCTACATTACTTCTAGTGCAGCGCAAACTGCTCGATACTTGCCTCGTGTTTGATCGAATACAACATACCTACGCACTGAGCGTTTTAGTTTGCCCTATTCCGCAGTGGAAATTTAAATCTAGCAAATTGTTGCTCCAGTCGCGAAGTAACTCTCATAGCTAATCCTTATTACGAAGAAATACGGACGATGATAGGCAAAGCTTGCAGACGAACAACTACTCCGTGCACTGTGTTTTCAAGGTGTCATGCCAGTGCTTTGCCACCACTGGCATACCTGAGTCATTGACCTTAACGAATGACACGGAGCAAAAGACTGTCACTGACAAAAGTTCACGATCAACAGATAAAAAATATGGCGAAGACATCAATCGAAGATAATATACTGATGACCTCCGGCCTCACTGCAAGGCCAAGTTATTTATTCAGGATTACGTTAGTGTGTGACATTGTACGTAATAAACATCAAAAGTGAGCAAGTTTAGTTACAGATTCATTCCGCGAAAATGAATCACATCATATCACAAATGACGACTAATATAGTTTATCTTTTTTTTATATTGTTTTTATATAATACCAAGTCGTCACTTGGGGACGAACAGGTTATGCACCTGATGGTAAGTTACACGTCTGTCCATAACAGTTGCAGTGCCACTCAGAGCTTTAAATCGCGAAGACCTGATGGGCACTGCTACTGCGTCCGTCACCCTGAGACGTAAGTTGACAAGTCCCATGTGCCTGTAATTTCACCAACACCCTTACCCTTCTAAACCGGAACGCAGTAATGCTAACATTACTGCTTGGTGACAGAAATAGGTAAAGAAAATACTTCCCTGGACGAACTCTTTCACGAGGCACTCTACTGCTACTAAAAGTTAAATAAAAAAAAGGTTAATCCAAAACTTGTGATACTTTATCTCAAAAAAAAATACAGGGTGTAAATTTGAGACGGGGCAGCAAGGTTATACCTTATTATAAACAATAGGTAAACAAAGTGGGGATGTGAGAAAGTGTACGTGTTTGTTTATCTCCTAATTTTATAAATGATTGTTCAATTAATATCCGTGTATGGTCTTACCATGGTCACTAGTTATAACAACAATAAATCTTTTGAGATCAACACGTCTCAAAAGTGCTCCTATTATGTCGTCAATGTATAAAGCAGCGGCGAAATAACTCTGCTTGATTCTGAATGTCCATTCCATCGGCATTATGCCCATTGGCATTGGGATATCCAATCTCGCTATATCGTCCCTACGGCGAACATCTACCCAGGGATGCCAAGCCACCAACGGCATACCTGCTGGCTTATTAGGTTGTAGTGGTTGAATAATTTTTCTAAAGGGAACCTTCTCTGTAAGTGAACCAGATTATATAATTGTTAGTAACGTGATCCTCAACTGCAATCATTTCAAATAAACAACGATGTAAACCGAGTTATATTATGTATACAGTTGATAAATATTATGAACCAAGGTAAGCATACAATTTGTAGGCATTTATTAAGTAGGTACTACTTGGGGCCCGCGACTTGTCTGCGTCGATTTTTTTTATAATACCAAGTGACGGGACTAAGAAATCTTGCGCCCGGTGGTAAACGACACGCCTATCCATAACAGTTGCAGTGCCACTCAAAGCTTTAAATCGCAAAGATCTAAGGGGCACTGCCACTGCGCCCGTCACCCTGAGACATAAGTTGACAAGACCCATGTGCCAGTAATTTCACCTAATAAGTGCTTCGACTAGCCTACTGTAGGTATACTATAATAATTTTCATAGTTTTATTCGTTTTCTGTCTTTCATCCCCTATTTCACCCTCTTTATAATTTTTTATTTTTTTTGGACAAAACGTAGCCCTTCTATCTCTCTTCTATCTATACCAAAATTCATCAATGTTGGTTCAGTAGTTTATTCGTGAAAACGTAACAGACTGACAGAGTTACTTTCGCATTTATAATAATATATATAATATATATAAATAATAAGTCTCGATTACTAATAAAGGTCGGTACGTACTTAAGAACTCTTTTGGAAATTTTAACGGTATATGTGGCTTCTGTAATCCAACAGCAAGAAAAATCGGTTGCTTCTTTAAAGCTTTGTCTTCAAGAATGTCGACAGCGTAATCTAACGACTCCAAGTCCGGCAAAGTTTTTCCAGGTTGATGATCTACATGAACTGGGCATACTAAATTTCTTTTACGTTTCTTTAATTGGCGATCAGGGCAAACAGGAGCATTCTTGTACTTCAAAGTTGGAGGATGGTAAGGCTGCTCGGACCAGCTGTACGGATAGTCATCGGTGTAGTTTGAGCTAATTCCGGGATGGAATATTTTACCTACTGAGAAGGTTTTGTAGCCATGAGACTTGAAATACTGTGGTAAAGTTACGAAATTGCCGACTTGTTCGCGCCAGTAACTGTGTGCGTCATATAAATGCAAGGAGTCAGGTCGTCGACCCGTAAGAAGAGAAGTTCTACTTGGTGCACACAGAGCTTGCTAGAACAGATAAAAACATTTTGTAAAAAAAAGGTAAACTATGAATTACTTTACCTGTACATACATACCTTAAACACCTCGTAGTATCCATTTTTTCAGATTGCATGTATATTAATTCATTTATATAGTTTCTCTAAACGATTTTTTATAAACTTACCTGTGCAAAGGCATTTGTAAAAGTAACACTATTTCGCGCCAATCTTGCGATATGAGTTAGATTCACTTCTTTATTCGCAGTAGCCCGCAAGTCATCAACCATAATAAACAAAACGCTTAATTTTGTTGAATTTTTGGCGAGAACTGTACCCCATTGGCAAAAACTTAATAAAATTAACATTACATGAAACGAGTTCATTGTCGTCTCTATTGATTGAACCGTCTTGCCTCACTCAAGCAAGTTTAGTGCCAGTCAGTACTACAGGTTTGTAAAATATTATTATGTTTGTACGTGCGAGCACTCAATGTTACATGATGTTACTCTCTCTTGTGTTGTTAACATATTATACATCCCCCTTTGCAATAACGTTCGGTGTCTCTAATATTAGTTAATGTTCTGTGTGTAACGGAGCGCAGTTCACACTCACACATCAGAAATATAAAATGGAATATTGTCAGTCAATACTTCAAAGATTCAAAGAAGAAATAACTGAGAAATAGGCAAAAATCCATGATATTTACAAAATAAGTATTTGTTGAGTTTACAGACCCAATAATACATTCACCAAACACTAAATGCCCATTTGATAAAATAATGTTAATAGTAACAGCCTGAAGCAGTATTTTGAAAAGTGACTATACCAACTTTAAACTTTGTAGTACATACTGCAGTAAATGCCTTATGTTATGTCATAATTTTTGTTTTGCTACTAAAAGCAAAACAAAAATTATTAGGTTTTATTTATAATTTTTTAGCATTTCTTTATGATTATTTATTATATTATTTATTTATTATTATATTACAATTATAAATAGGGTTATGTAGTTACTTTTTATTTTAAGAGCATTATGGAACACATGAAAGCAATAAATACTTTGATTTTTTCACACCTCTGTATTTATGCTTGTTGATCTTTGCGTTGTACTTTTCCACACAATGACATTAGTTTGTATGTGTACGTTGAATATCGTGTACATGCAAAGAAATAGGAACTAAGTACACACACTACAAAACGAACAAGTGGGCGTTGGGTATTGTCATTCAAATCATCTGTTTTCGTGAATTGTTGTATATTTTGTATATAAACTTAATTTATTTCCCATTTATTTATTAATGAGAGTTAAAATTAATTAAAAGCATCATTTATGGTTGCGTGAGTGAGAGAGTAATGTTTGTTTGGGCTCCGTAGTTTTTATTTGGTGTGACGTCATTGTTTTCGAGTGCCAGTAACAAACGACGCAGTTTCAATTTATTCGAAAATGGATTTAAAATGAGAATTGTTTTCGCAAACAAGGTGAGTTTGAAGATAACACGCATTTCGTTTGTTTGTATTATCGCTGTTAAAGTTAGTTTGTGGTCTGGTTTCAAGAGAGTAGTGATTGCCATCGATTTCCTTTGTCCTCGGTGCCCATACACAAAGTTACCGTATCTACATACTGACTCGGACAGCTGTTTCACAACAATATTGTGGTTGTATTTTTATCTTGTCTGCTCGCCGAATTTTTGTTATTGTGAGGTAGGTAATAAAAATAAAGTTATTTTGTGAAATTATGTAATATAGTATGTATTACATACTCTGCATCGAAGTAGTGTAATACATAATGTAAAGCTACGTTATTTTCGCGTTGACTCATCATAATTCTCTTAATTACTTTGTTTTGGTACACAAGAGTCAATAATTTATAGAATAAGGGTAGTCCAAACTAAAACATAATAATTCCTCAATGCATGGTATTTTTTGCAAATTCATCTAAAATATAAATAAGTATAAATATATGCAATCACACCAATTTCTTTATGTTAGAGAATTATCTGTACTACTAAGTCTTGGGCACTACATAGCATATTTAGACCAGAATAAATTTAGACAAGCTTGTTACCCAAAATGGTTCCATAAAATCTAACCAGGGATGTCCTCAGGTTAGGCTCTTTCACTTTTTATTTTTATGGCTCCATCAATATGAGAACTGATGATTTTGCCATTGTCACAGTTGAAAGAAAAAAAACGAAACAAAAAAAAAATTTTCGCTAAGCTCTAATAGGACATTAACCGGTGTTGGTAAGTTGGACTACGGGAGTACTCAGTTGAGAATGTAAAACAAAACAGCAAAACAATATTTATAAATATATGTTATTTAAGTGGATAAATTTACATAGAGTAACAATATGGGGGGAGAACACTAAAGTTAAGAGGTTGTTTATGTTAATGGGGCGGAGGAATTTTGGAGAAAGTAAGTTATAAAGTGGAACAGCAATATTAGGACAATTGAAAAAAATGTGTTCCAAGGTACCGTCTTCTAGGCCGCACTCGCACAGCTCTTTAATACCTGGTTTTGATACAAAAGAGCAAGTAATACAAAGAATAATGCATATGAATATGTGAGTATGCCACAAGGCATGATATTATTTGTTTATTGTATATCTCTGCCATCCACTAACTAAAATGCGGCTAAGTGACAAATTGTCAAATATCCTATTGTATATAGGAAAAGTGTGTATATTGTAAATAGGAAAAGATAGATTACAAAATTCTCTTTTAAAAACAGTTAAAATTAGTTAACTTATACGTACGTTAAATATTTTATCACTCAGCCGCATTTTAGTTAGTGGACGGCAGATCTTTACTTCAGACAGCAGGGTCCATAAATTGGTTAGGTTTAATTTTACTTAAGGTCTACATTAGTAAAAACATAATTTTTTTAATTTTTTTATGCTTGTCAGAAAAATTTAAGCCTTTTGCTTACAAGCACCAGAATGAAATTGCACAATCTCTGATTAATGGCAAAATGTAATTTATAAATTTAATGAATCTACATAGTAGCAAAAATTTATCAGTAATAAATAATTATTTTTTAATCTAATGGCTACTATTAAGAATTACTAAGCCTGAAAGTAAAAACCAGCAGAAGCTTGATTGTTCTCAGTATGTACTGATTTTCTAGAATTTTTTTCAAAGATATTAATTGTCTGCTCATTAAATTTTCCAATCTGAGAGTGACACTAGTTTCCATACTTTAATTTGCACAGACAACAGCACATCAAGCTACACATTGACAGATCTTGTTCCATTGCATTGGAGGTGATATTTGAACAAAAACATATCTCTAGATGTGCATTTGACTGTACTAAGTGAATAAAAGCCACTTTTTAAATTTAAAGTATTTTATGCTGTTAGTCGCTAATTAAATAATATTTCACAAGCTTGCAACAGTTGGGCAGAATAAACAAAACAATTGATAATCTGATCATTCAGATAACTGCAAAGTAAAGTATAATAATTGATAGTTTGATCATCCAAAAGGCCGCAAAATAAACTAAAACAATTGACAATCTAGTCATTCAGAAAGCTTCAGAATAAACAACAACAAAATGCTAGTATAGTAATTCAAAAAGCTTGATTTGATTTTAAGAATTGTGCAATATTTTTTTATTCAACGTAATATGACTATGTAACGTGATATGGCTACGGATATTTATGTAGGTGTAATGTGTCGGTATTTGATATTTGAAAGGCTATGTATACTACATTATAAATTCTTCTGCTATAGTTGATGAGTATACAAAACTCTCTCCTGGGGTAAATCCAAGACAGAGGAATTGAATAAACCTTACAAAATCATACATTTTTTAACTCTTTGGATCATGGATTGCAAATATTCTGTAATCATGTGTAATCATGTTCATAATAGACCACTGGCTACTGTCATATAGGGCCTGAAATGTCTGGAAATTACCTATAATAAATTATGATAATAACAAATAATAAATTCAACTTAAGGCAGCGGGATTACTGTGGCATGTTGCTTCCAGCACAAATGCAGCAAGTGGGGTTGCTTGATAAGGCACGTATCATATGACGGCTTTTGAATTTGGACCTGTGACTCTGTCCGACTGTGCTACTGCCTGAGGAATGAACCATGGGAAAGGCGAGAATCTAAAATAACAAATAACAAGAATAACCAATAATAATAATAACAACAATAATAATAATAATGCATCACACACTTGGCTGTTAGCTAGTTGCTAGTTGTTATTATCAGTTGCATGTTTTGTCATTGTCATTCATTTCAAATTAAGACTTTTAAATATAGAATAAAAATTAAAAAGTAATTCAAATTTGAATTAAATGCAATCATCACACAAACTTATTGTATTGAAATATCATGGACTTTTAACCAAAATCATTTTTGCTGGAAATGAAATAATTTATTGGACCTAAATTGTGTATAATTGTTTTTTCAAACAAACCAGCGTCTAGGGTCCTTTGCAGGTCCGATAGTCACAGTTGATTGTTTGTTTTAATCTCATAGTGATGGTGATGTCATCTAGCCATTGAGGTTAATCTAGTGGTATATCTAGTTATTAATCCTTTGGGCTTCACTGCATATAAGAGTTGATACAACTTCAAATGGCTTGGGTTGATACCACATAACAGTGAAAGTGTTGAACCTATCACATTGGAAAAAATATATAGCAAAATTGAGGACATACAGTGTGAAAACACAATTCCTAAAAATTTTTACGATAAAAAAAACCATAAAATTTTACAAGAAAACCAATGACTTTTTATATCAACTGAATAGAACTAAATATAACACGTATGTATACAATATTCATTTTTCAAATGGCTTTCATTTCGTTTCTAAAAAAAATTAATTCTGAAATAAAGCCAGTGTCCCTGCCGCAAAATGCAAACAAGCAAAATGAACTATATTAGTATGGGCAAAAATTTGGATTCGAGCTGAGGTAGTGTTGACTCTCAAGGTATATAATAAATCAGTAAATGTTCACGGCTATAAATAAATGTAAACTAGTTATTTGCTGATTATTTTACTGCAAATTACCAATGTTTAGAAATACATACAAATTTTGTAAGCTTCTTTATAACCGTGAAGGGCAAATTGTAAACATCAGAAGATTGTTGAAGTTACTTGGTACTTGGTGCAACGGGCTGGTATCCGCAAGGTGTAGGGTCCTACTCGTGCCACCCAAGCTCCTCCAGGAATCTCAGCAGCAACCTTGGTTTGCTGAAGACTTTGGGGAGTGACCTTGTCACTCCAAGGTACTTCGCCCTGTAGTTGGCCACGCCGGAGCACTGTATGTAGGATGTGCAGCCGTTTCCTCCCCCTCCATGCACGCTCTGCATAGAAGGCGGTCTGTGATACCTAAATTGAAAAGGTGTTTATTGTATGGACCATGACCCGTTAGGTAGTTAGAGTGCGAAGCTCTTGCCTTTTAAGTTTAATTAATATTCGAGATAGACTGGCATTGAGCGATGGGAGTGCTTCCCTCGCCTGTCTACAAACCGTAAGGGTGGTCCATGTATTATTATGTGAAGATTTTGTACTTTTGTGTATAGTTGTTCTGGACCATTGGTAGGGGAGGGTTCTGGTCCTACATCGACCGTCTCCGACCATTTTTTGGCTAGTTCATCTGCTGCGTCATTGCTACGTGAGCCGCTGTGTCCTTTAATCCACTGTAGAGTTACATGGATTGTTGAAGTTTTCCTATCAATGTTGACATCTTCGTATATTTGATGCTTTATTGTAGCCTAAGAGAGTCACCACACTTATTGACACGGATGCGCATTAAGCCGGTCAAAAAGAACTTTATGTCCGCATAGGTGATCCGCGAGGGAAGCGAAACGCGCGACATCTCATTCACTCTTACTGCATGGACATAAAAGCTATTCCATGTGAATAAATGTGGTGAGTTTCTAAGATTAGGTAATTTCGTTTATCACGAGTGATTCCACCCGGAATCGAAACTGGGCGGCTACCTCTTATGTCTATCTTGATTTTTATGCGTGCGAGCAATAGCGGTCAAGAGTTACATCATCTTTGTATGATAAATAAAAATACATAAATAAAATTTTTCCTAAAAAAAAGGCATACAAAACAAGGAACGGAGTTAGCTACAATCTGCTCTTGCAACTATTGTGGAACTGGGAAGCTTCAAATTTGTTGATAGTAACTGCTAAGCATCAAGGATATCAACATTTACACTTACATATCAACATTTACTTATATTTTATATATATGGCTTATATTTTACACCAGCATTAAAACTTCAATTCTGGTTATAATTATTGTAATATGAACTTATTTCCAAAACCATATCTAGATAGTGTTTTGGTTAAAGTTGTAAACTTCATTAGTTTGCAAATGTTTTGTAAACTGTGTTAAAAAACATGAATGTTTTGAGAATCATTCGAGTTTTTGTAAATGCATTAATAATTTTAGGAAGTGCATTGACTTATTTGAGTTTGAATCACATGTCTGAGTTTCTCGCAATATTTTCTTTTAGTAACTATTATTCTAAACCCTAAGCATTTGATTACGGCTTATGGCAGAATATCAACGCCGGCTAGGTAGTCCACAGTCTGCTATAGCTGAGTCATGGACCTATTTGACATAAAACAAACAAAAATTTGTTATTAATTGCTTATTAATTTGTATTTCTTTTTTTTTATTGTAATTTTATTAAGTCATGTCATTTTATTATATCAAAAATTTTTTTGCCTGTACTCTGTAGGCTTTTTGAAATAATACATTTTATTATAGCGAAAGTGTCACATGATACAATTATTGCAATAGGCGACAAGACACCAAAATGTCAGCGGAGTCGCCGCGGCACGCGCGGTCTGGTGGCCCGCTCACCGTGCCCTCGCAGCCGCCCAGTGACCGCAGCATTATTGACGCGGTCTCCGGCTTCATCAATGACGTCACACTCTCCTCCTCCTCGACAGTCGATCCTAAGGACGTCATCCAATGGGCAAGGTGAGCGACGCGAATTCCAGCTTCTTTAATACAAATAGATTATGACCGACGCCATCGTAATAACTGTAATAATACAAGTGTATTATTACAGTACACCTCTCGACGACGTTCGGCACGTAAATGTCTACATTTCGCTTGAAGCGTAGGGTTGTCACATTATTATTACAAGTCGTATCCATAATTTGAAAAAACCTTCACCTGTCGTGACTGTGTCGTGGACGTTTACTTTATCGTTGAAAAACTGTCGTGTCTAGCTGTTCCCACTAGATCGTGACGACAATTTATGGGTTTACGGCAGCCGCCTTGTCGTTTGCACGACAGAAACGTTTGAAGTTTGAAGAAGAAGTGACGTTTTATGTATCGTCGGATGACTGTCGTTCTAGCACTTCCCATTGTCACGACAGTTAACGTTACGACGACACGTAATATCAAAAAAGGCGTGAACGACAGTTAATCGTGTTGTACTAAGTACATCAAATGTGGACAACTTCATTTATATATATAAACCAGCCTCCGTAGCATGGCTATGCTTGATAGTCACGACACGCGCGATAAAATTGAATAAGCGCGCCCTATTGGCTATCTAAATTAGATCTGATTGAGACGGCCAATAGCGCGAATTTATCTGAATTTTTTCGCGCGCATGTCGCGACTATCATGCGTAGCCATGCTACGGGAGCAGGATGCTTTAAATTGCACGACTATCCGTCGTAACGACATAATGAGAACGCGCCCTTAATATGGAGTTTCTATACTTGTCTTTTACTATGCGATCGTAGACGTCACTTGATTGTAGCACCATCAAGGCGATCTCCGACGGTATGACATCATCGTTGTTTTTCAGAAGTATGAGTAATCGAGTCATAGACGCCAATTAATTTCAGAAGGCACTGGTGCTGAATGGTCATACCACCTATAATAATATATGTTAACGACGGTAGCTCCAAGAGCACCAGCTATAGGAATATATTTTCTTTTCAGATTCGAAACAGCAGACATAAACGAGCCCACACCAGAAGGAGATAGCGACAATGACATTTCTCCACTATTACTAATCTTGGGCTATGGCTCAGGTGTCCAAGTTTGGCTGATTCCTCCCACAGGAGAAGCACAGGAGGTGTTATCCTGGAGGCAGGGTCAAGTGAGGGTGCTCCGTATACTGCCCACACCGCAGCACGGCGATTGCTTCGCGTCGAAGAGGCCTCTCATTGCCTTGTGTGACTCTGCTAGCCCGGGACCAAGTTTCTGCTCGCTTAGTTTTATTTCAATTAGAGGTGGTGAACAGGTGGGTGAACAATTTAATAAAGTATTTTTAAATTCGTGTTTATTCTAGACGCTGAAGCTTCATTAGGATATTTAACCGTACATCACAACTCGCCTCAAATCTAGACTACTGTTCAAGTTCAAATTATCATTCATTTATAGTTGAGCTAAGTACACTTTAAATCACAGGTTCCCAAACTTTTTGGCTCACCGCCCACTTAGGCAAGATAAAAAATTTCAAAGCCCACCACCACAAAAAAATTGAAAACACGTATTTTTTACATTACTTCAACCAAAAAAAATCTTAAGGCAAAAATTATATAATATACGTAGTGTAGTTTATATATAGATAATATACTTTTTTTTCAACTGCGGTATCACCCTCTGGACAACATCAACTTCCACTCCCCAATTGCTTCCCCTTAGGACTCTTCAGCGCCCACTGGGGAGCGGTAGGGACCACTTTGGGAAATTATGCTTTGAATGTTTAAATTGATTGAATATGTTATATGTATGTACACTACTCATTCTTCTGAAAATAATGGTGGGTCGCTCTTTGCAATCATTATTTGTTCACAATTTATCTTTCACAATAATCATTTTAAAATATCACAACCTGAAAGAGCTAAACGTATAAACTGTACCTTTATATAAAGTATACTTAACCTAAAAGTTTATTTAGGCTCAATTTATATTGCGGCGGAACGGAATGAAGCGAATTTTTGTAAAGATATTATACATTGCATAATGAACTTTATGGTCGATTTTGTAATGAAGAATAGAATGCTCGCTCATTCCGGCGGAATAAACGAGCATTCTCGAGCATGTGCAAGAATTCTTAAGAAGAAGGAAGATTTTGGCTCGTATCTAGTTCGCACGTTACACAATTGACTATAAATTTCATTATGCTATGTACATTATCGTTACAAAAATTCGCTTCCATTCTGTTCCGCCGCAATATGAATTGAGCCTTACTGTGCCAACCTGCCACCGTGGCCGAACGGTTACTATGCTGGCCCGCAGAGGACCCGGGTTCGATTCCCGGGCCGGAAGAAATATTTGTATGGCCTACATTTATTTCTCTCGTGAGTTTGGGTGTAATTTGTGATTGTCTACTTGTCTCCAAGGCACCCGCGACACAGGGTTTCCCTAGTGCGGGGCTATGAGTGTGTACGTTATTTATTATCAACCTTGAGTGGTGCTGTAACTCAGAAATTTTCAGGTAAGTTTTTTGTACTCAATTTTGGTGTCAATTTTTATTATTTAATTACTCGAATATATATATCATCGTGATATATTAAAGAATATTTCAGGTTACCACACTCGAATATTAAATAATACTTCATGATGATATTCTATAAATATTTGAATAAAATGAAATTGTCACCAAAATTGAGTACAAAAAACTTAACTGAATATTACCCAACTGTTGTCGGTAGGGCTGTCGCTTACCTACTAGGCACACTACTTGTTCATCCCGTTACGTGATTTCATAAAATACAAAAAAACCCAATATACAATGTCCTCTAAGGACATAGTGTATGAGTTTACCCTAACACAACCTTATAAGTATTTTTCTTAACAGGTGAAAAGCATAAAATTCAAGAATCCCATCCTAGATGTGTTGGCAAACAAGCGTTCGGTAGTTGTATCCTTCTCTGAGCGCTTTGCGGTCTTCGATGCGGCCACTTTAGAAGACCGAATGGCTATAACCACCTGTTATCCTTGCCCGTGTCCGCTAGGCGGTAGTGCACCTATTAATCCACTGGCGCTAGGAGATCGCTGGTTGGCGTACGCGGATAAGAAATTGAATCAATCTAAGAGAAGCAGCGGAGGATGTGAAAGTAAGTAATGCTGTATTTAATTTTACAATAAGATTTGACCGCCTATTGTATATTGGTTATATGTATAATATAATTATTTCTTTCATATTACCAATGCTACAATATTACCATTTAAAATATAATGTCATAAAATAAATCTTCACTAATATTAAAAATAATATTACCTACTATAAAAAATTGAAATACTAGTGTTGCAACGAATAATATATTCGGCTAATTTTCAGGTTAGTTTTCTCTACCAAATTTCGGTGGCAATTTTTATTATTTAAGTGTTAGAGTATATTATCTTGAAATTTTAAATAATAATAGTAAATAATATTATTAATCATAAATAATAGTATTAATAATTATAACAAACTAGTGGAGTAATTTCACAGAAAATAATTGAATATCATGGTGGTGAAACATCCTGACATTCAATAAAAACGCTTAATTTTAAATAATATTTCAGTTTATTACAACCTGAAAATTACCCATTCGGCCTTTGGCCGGATTCGAGTTTTTCGCCAAACTGTTCGGCCTGATTAACACACGTACTAACAATACTTCAAGTCGTATGGCATAACAAAAATGGCACTTGAATTGTCAAGTTTATAATTTAAATTTATGACTTAATGATGATTTACTTTCGAAAAACATTATTTTTTTAGTTTGCAAATAATAAACTGAAAAATCCGAGATTACTTGATTGATTTGGTTAGACTTTGTTTAGTAATAAGTATACATACATAGATAAATGGAATAGATCTGAAATAGTTACGTTTTCAATTTACTTTGTTTTTCTTATTTCGTCTTTCTGGCTTTAGGCATTTGGTATGCGGCCGAATGAACCCAATAGTAACCAATATTCGTAGCTCTAGTAAATACAAAATATTGTCAAAAGACAATGACCTCGAATAAAAAAAATCATGATTGTTTTTGCAACAAATTCCTCTTCACAGTAAAGTTCATTATCCAATAAAGGGTTCCATTTTCATTTTGAAAATAACTTACATGCAGGCATTGACTTAGTCAATGCATACAGGTCTTAAAGGGCTTCTATGGAAAAATCAACCATGTGGTGGTATGCCAGCTGATATTGTATTGAACCAACACAAGGTTGATTTTCCAATACAGAATTGTAATTCAAACACTGTTTTAACTTGATTGATGTAGAAACAAACAAACGGACTTATTAGTTAAGACGCTAATGTCAATACATTAACGTTAACTGATGCTAGCATTAACGATTTTCCTCATTGACTTACAAATAAATGGACGACGGGTCTAATACAAAAACCACGAAAAAATGTCCCAAGTCAACCTATTTAAACGTAGTGACATGTAAAGGAATATGAAAAAGCTAAAACGTTGAATTTAAATTGTAATGTCATCGCAGTACTGTCTAATTTTGCTTGCTTCGCCGTCAGTCGAACAAACGAAGACTAAAGCGTGAATGACGCTTTGTATACGATTTTAACGCCCTATAAGTTCGGACATTTTTTAGCGCGGACCCGACGTCCATATAATTGTAAGTCAATGATTTTCCTTTATAAATTATATAAATTACTACAGAGTGAAAATGATCGCGATCCAAAGGTTACTTATTATTTGTACGTCATTTATGACAATTCTTTAAAGTCATACTATGCAGGGTGTAATCAATAAGAGTGCCCAGGCGATTATTCCGTACAAATCACAAAAAAAAAAAAAAAAAAAAATATCACACAGCGAAAGATCCGGGGAGGCCAAGAGTCATATTAAATGGCAGCGGTTAATTTTAAAATTTTGAATATATCTGGTTTTATTTAAAAAAAAGTTATTGATGCCGCTTTACTAAATTAGGTAACGTGCTTTCGATATCAATTTAAAGGTTTTTGATGTCTATGTTTACGGAATCGCCTGGGCATACTTAACGATTACATTTTGTATATCAGATTTGGGAAAATAACTTCTAAATTAGTTTTGGTCTGGGTGTTTTAGGGAGTGCCCCAGAGCAAATTCCATTGTTATGTTTTCCATGTATAGGTTATTATGCTAAAGCGTTGTGTACAGAAACGATGTAAACAATGACTCCTATCTGTACAGAAATCGAGTAACAACAGGTCCCACATAAACACAATTTTAAATTTTAAGTTAAATAAAAAGAAGTAACTTTACAGGGACTGCCTTTAAACTTTAACATATTACTTAAGGTAGGTAATAGTTGATGTACACTCCACACATCAGCCTTGTGCAGTAAGCAAATATCTACAAGTGAAGACTGAAAATCAGCAATGCTGACTCTTTCTCCTTTTTGTCCACATTACATAATTCTATTGTATATCCGTCTGTAATCATTAAGAATATATGAAGATATTTTGTGAAGAAATTAATGTTTTTTTATTTTTTAATAAGCTAATTTGAACGAGGTAATTAGTGTAGTTGTCTGTCACATTATTTATTTATACACGTAACGAGTGGCATTAAAGTAAATATCTTATCAAATACAGCAAATAGGTTCATTTATTGTCTTCACTGATAAGGGTTGACTCACATTTTATCGCGAGACTATTGCCTTGGTTTACCTTGGTAGTTGCAAAACAATGCATTCGCGGCCAATGCCGCGTGTGTGAAATTAGTTCATGTTATATTATGAACATATAATACAATGGATATTGTTTAATGAGTTAGTTCTTATGTATTTTTCTTTAGCGCCTTTATTAACATTGATGTAATATAATTGTATTGAGAAGCGAATAATTCACACTGTTAATTTAACTACATTCATTAAGGCAATAAATGGTTCGATAAACAAAGGGAATGTAATAACTAAATATAAAATGCGAGTATCTTACACCGATTGGCAAATCCTTTCGCCACGATGGCAAGCATTATCTATGTATGTCGTCGACAAGAAGAAGAATATAAATTATCACTAATAAACAAAAACTATCACACATTTATTTATACACATTTATTTATATGTAAAACGGATAACAATCAAGTAACATTAATAAGAGTTAAATATATATAAAGTATAATATATAAAAGATAAGTTCTGTACTAGATTGTAACCCTATTTATGTTGACACAACATTATAAGGTAACAAAAAAGATCTGATGTTCATATAATTTGCTAATAATTTACTTACTTAATTAATATACCCACTTATATACTAAATGCAAAAGCGACATGGGTTTGGGTGAATACCTATGTTATACTTATATATATAATATAGTCCACAGCTTTGTTGTTTTATCGTACTTATATATAACATAATTTTCCTTCATGTCATCTATATACCACACATTCTCAAGAAACACTTGCTTGATCCTTCCAGAATCGTATGGTAAAAGAACACACTGCTGACATTTGTGTCCTTAAACCTACAAATGGAGCATAATTAAAAAAAAGGTTTATGAATTTCAGGCGAAGGAGTAACGAGCTATACAGCTACTGTGCTCCACGCAGCCAAGTCTTTGAGTAAGGGGCTCCGGGGTCTCGGCGAGAGTGTGGCGCATAGCTTAGCAGGGGGCCGCGGGGCCTCGCAGTCGCCCTCCCCGCCCAACGCCGATCTACAGCAGCCCGGCGTCGTCACTATACTTGACATAGAGGTATTATTTACTGAAAAAAATAAAAATGGTTTAGGCTGAATATAGTTGGCTTACAAATAATGAAAGTATTGAGATTATTTAAAGATTTTAAAATTTTCCTTTCCTTTTGCTACTGTATTAGTTCCACGGAAGAATAAAACAATGGAAGGGCCTAAAGGCTCGATTAGTATCAGAATCGCCGTCACCAAAACACATACTATCATAATGTTAAACACTATGATATCTTGATAATGTTTGGTCGTAGTGTCTTATTTAAAAAGATGTAACTAATTCTGGACTGTTAATATGATTCATACTTTACCCTGTTGGCATATCTTTGAAAGTTCAATGCCTGCTATTGCAAGTTACGATTTGATTTTATATTGAAATTTCTGAAGTTCTGTGTTAAGTTCGATTAGAATCCTTTGATTGTTACAAAGGCAGCCAAAATAGCCGACGCGACGTTAGTGTGCAACCTTCCTATAAACAACAACGAATCGAAAACATTAATCGGCAACTTAAAAATAAATTGAGGTGATAATTTGTTGTCGATACGTAGTAATTACAATGACGATAACAAATCAATTGTTTTATTTGATATAACTTCTTAACAAACAGAAGGAGCGTACTGCGTTCTTTATTGTCCACTTATCGTATTGCAAAACCTGAACAAACAGTATCGGTCAATGGCAATCATATTTACAAAATAGAACAAGAAATGTTAATAGAATGACGCAGCTTTTATATTTAAAGGATTGTTCAAAACAGTTGCTTGAAAAATTGTTATTTCTACAGCTGTGGTATGTAATGCGAAAATGTGTCTTTTTAACCGACTTCAAAAAAGTAGGAGATTTTCTAATTTTTAACGCGATTAGATCGACTGTGATTGTGAATCGATTTCGAGGATTCTGTTTTTGTTGAAAAAGGGAGTACCTCACTAGTGGTCTCATTAGAAAGTAATATTTCACTTCTAAGACCCGTTACACACGGCGACTTTAAGCAGCGATACAAATCGATGCAATCGCTTATAAATCACTCTAAGGGCGGCAAACAAGGGGATGAATCTGGTTTATTGGATTTTACCCACTTTCTGTTAACCGCTTTCAATAAAACTTGGTAAAATACATGTAATCCCACAAACTTTTAAGGTCGAGGAGTCTAAGGAGTTTCTGTTCGGCGAGTTAATACATACACGTCACTCGGAGCGTAGGGTTGTCACGTTACTATTTTAAATTTTAAACATAATTTCAAAAAAATTAAGGTTTCGTCACAGTATTTTCTTGTTAGTCAACTTATGTCTCAGGATGACGGGCGTATTTGCAGTGCCTCCTAGATCGTTACGAATTAAAATTTTGAGCGGCACAGCAACTATTAAGGCCCACGGTTGTTCGTCAAAAAAAATAAAGAGAAAAAGCAAAGTTTTTTCATGAGATCAGAATCCTATTAAAATTGCCTTCCTCTAGTTAATAGAGCCTCTAAGACCTGTCCGTTCCACACTCACTAAGATTGTCCGTTTTTTTTATCCGGATTCCACTTCAGAATTTAGTTCAATAATTGAATGCATTCCTAGGGCAATGAAGAAGAAGACGGACAAGACAATGAAGAGTCGTACGATCCAATCGTAGCTCACTTCGTAGCGCACTCGGAAGCCATCATTGCCCTGAAATTCGACGCGAGCGGCATGCTGCTGGTGACGGCGGATAGGCGCGGACATGACTTCCACGTGTTCCGGATCAACCCGCATCCTTGCGGGCCCAGTCTTGCTTCCGTGCATCATTTGTACGTTCTGCATAGAGGGGACACTACAGCCAAGGTTCAGGTGAGATATAAAGCAAACTTTGAACTGCAAATCTGTAATTTTTGTAGCAGTATAGCTCCTTGTGAAAGAGTTCGGCCAGGGAAGTGCTGCCACCTTACCTATTTCTGCCGCGAAGCAGTAATGTGAGTATTACTGCGGTTCGCATTTGAAGGGTAAATGTGCTGGTAAAATTATAGGCATATGGAACTTATCTACTTACGTATCAAGGTGACGGGCACAGAGTGGCACTGCAACTGTATGAATAGGCGTGTTGTTTTATTATATGTATATAAAAAAAAAGTTGAACCAGAGTCTGTTGCCTTACCATGGCTACCGCTCTTACCAACTGATCGAGATAACAGATACAGATAGATATACAGAGATAACAAATTGAGTCTGCAGATTTTACGAATTTTTCTGTGCTTATTGTACTGTGAAACCTGATGAACTGTGAAACACTTTTACAGCTGTCAGAGACTCAAGGTCGTATTCCAGAACTCTACTCAATGTTTAAGTCAGGATCTGAGTATGATTTCAAGCACTGGAAATACGACCCTAATGGCAGGGACTTGAGTATGATTTCGAGTGCGAGTACAGTCGGATCTAAAGAATTTCTCTCTGTATTTCTTCGATTTTTGTATCACTAATAACTTTTTATTACATGGCATTTGTATGACATACGATCTTTGTATCTTCGATTACGTTTATATTCCATCACATTACAGGACATAGCAATATCGGGAGATTCTCGATGGGCAGCTATATCAACATTGCGTGGAACGACACACATATTCGCCTTGAGTCCGTATGGCGGCGCAGTTGGTGTGCGCACGCATACTGCACCGCGAGTGGTCAACAGGCAGTCGCGGTTCCACCGATCTGCCGGGTTGCCCATACACCCGCATGCCCATGTTCATACTTCTGGCAGCCCTGTGAGTATACTCATATTGATTCAGATGACGTTGCTTTATCATGTTATCGTTTTACTGACTAGCTGTCGTAACTATACTGTTTTATCATTAGACAGAAGGACATTTTGAGTGTTTTGTCAGGCGCTATTTCATTCGGACATTTTGTAAGCAATGCAATTTAATAATTGCATTGCTTACAAAATTTTAAAACACATACACTACCTTTATGTAATTATTAGGGTTTTTTTAATTTATTAATAATATTCATACTTAATCTATTTCATTATAGGAAAACTTAAAGAAACAGAAGTCTTAAATCCTAAACGGATTACCGTGTTATTTGTAAATATCATTCGTCATCAATTTTCACGTTATTTTCCTTTACTGTGATTTGTTGTCTGAAGAAAAAGGTTTATGATCCATGCTTCTTTGTATACGTTTTTACTAGTTCTAATAAAAAATAAAAAATGTTTTTTTAATGTAGGTAATCTGAAATATTTATTTGTATAAAAAGGGTACCGTGTGGCGAGTTCACATTACGTATGGATACACAGTTGCTATCGGAGTTACGATTTAAAGCAATTATTGCATGTGGTGGTGAATTATATTTTATAATGTGGATTTTTTGGAATAAAGGGAATGGTTGTATTTCTTTGATATGCTTCGAAACATTGTTATACAATATATTATATTTGGTACCTTCGTATCGATCTTCGTAACGATATCGGATGTAATTTAAATTAAAATGAATTATTTACTGAATGGAACAATGTAACTTTTTTCCGTCAAAATTTGTACGTTATATCCATTCGTGCTAAAAGAGATATGCCGACGGCATGGAACGAACGCAAGGGATTACTGTATAAGATGTTGTTTGCTCGTAACCAGGTATCGGAGGGCGGCGGCGCCGGCGCGTGGTTCCCCAACCCCCGTCTGCCGCCGTTCCCTCTGCCCCTGGCGGCACCCCCGCTGGCGCAGCTGCGCCCCACCGCCAGCCTGCCCACGCACACTATTACGCGCACTAGCTCCGGTGCGTATCACCTCACCGATGGCAATGAGTATCCCTAGATGGCGCTGTCGGCAGCGACGCCTTCTCTTGCTTGCACGGCAATCATGGCTGACGACGTGCCGACTCTATTTGGCATTGTACTGACTTAATTTTGTTATTGATACAAAGTTGGAACATAAAAAAATTCTGGTCCAGTTAGATCGAAGGGATTTTTCTTTGTGTTCGACCTTTGTATAAATAATAACAACAAAATAGTGGAGTATTTTCGCAAAAAAATGTACTGAAACTAATATGGACTGGAATAAATATGGACTGAATTTTGTTAAATGTTAGCTTTCCTGATCACATGCCAATCCTTTTAGTTATCTTTGACACAAAGTAGTCTAGTCCATTTATGAAAAAAACTATGTGTCAAATAACAAAGAACTACAACAACGTTTTAGGCGGCGGTTTTTCTTGTGACACAATTTCCTAATATTTATCTCTTTGGCAGGTCGCCAACGTCTCTCATCTCTATCAGAAGACTGCAACACAGCCCCACTGCTGGCTCGAGCCCGGTTTGGCCTGGCACCAGTGCCACCAGCTGCCACCAGTACCACTACTGGGTCATCTCGACCGCCACCAGTGGCGGCCCTTTATCTGATGTCTGCTAGTGGCTGTCTTTCACACATTGCGCTGTATCCTAGACCTGCCCGAAGTGAGTACCAAATCATTAGTCACCACTGCCATTACTGAACTATTTAGTAGGGTCACCAACAAGTGTCACCGGTGACCTTGGGTGTCACGTTGCAGCATTCGAGTAATAATTTAAGTTCCATTTCAAAAATATTTTTTGATAAGTTTTAAATAAATAAAATGATCTTTATTGTAACAATAAATAATGTGTCAAACAACCATACCCATTAACTGATCTCAAGTTAGGAAATTCCCTATACTATCAGAGTAACAGAATTCACTTAGGGGCACTGCCCGGAACATTCAGACCAGAATCAATTTAAAAAGTTCATCAACTCCTTATCCACCGTCCATGGTACAAACCGTTGGGCCACTGAGGTGATAAATACAAAAATTGTGTATTGCCACCATTGACCTACCAACAAATTGCCACAATGACACTTTTTTGGACACAAATAACATATTAAGCAAAAAAAAAACAGTTCGCCAAACATGTCAGAGGGCAAAAGGAGGTGTCATCTTGTGCTGCCTGGAGCAGTTATTGTCGCAGACAGCGCTGTTTTTCAGCGACTTTCTTGTCCCGAAGATCTTAAGAATGCGACGGGCATAAAACAATTATAAAATTTGAAACACTAATTCAATGTCTTCGAGAGGTTGTTGATTTAAAATTATAATTTGTCATCTTCACCATGTATGAAGTGGCGGGCTATTGCTATTATTAAATGAAATCTTATATGCACAGACGTCCCAAAGGAGAAGATATGCGATGAAAGCCCCATCGAGCTGGAGGTGGAGCCGATCGCGCAGTGGCCGCTGCAAAGGCCACCCGCCGCCGCAGACTTGCTGGCGCCGCTGCCACCCTCCAACCCGCTGCTGCAGCCGCTCTCCTGCCGCGTCAGTGCCATCTCCTATAAACACATACACCGCACTATCCAGTATTATTTTTGATTAATGTGAAATTTTCTAACCCTGCACTCTTGTTGTTAAAACAAACAATTTGGGTTTTACAACTTTCAAAACACTACGCGGGTGCAGTTGGCGTACTATCGGTAACAAGTTGCATTAAAGCCAATAAGATTTATAGTCCAAAAACTCTGTCCATGAAATCGCGTTTTTGACAGGTTGTTAATTAATCATAAAATAGTTTTATCGAATCATTGATGTCCATTGCTAAAGGTGTGTCGTCCTTTACAGCGCTGTGCAGATATGTGCATGAGCGAAGAGGAGCGCTGGCTGTCACAGGTGGAAATAGTAACGCACGCCGGCCCGCATCGGCGGCTGTGGATGGGTCCGCAGTTCGTCTTCAAGACTTACAACTGCACTGGGTACGTTACACAGTCATTTATATACAACGGGCCATTTATGTCACTTATCCGCACTTATATTATTATGTACATTATTTCACCGTATAACTTTACGCATAGTCGTTATGTTTTTGCTTGTAAATAATTATACCCTCTTGTTGGTCCTCTTTGAAAACAAGCGCCTTAGGAAACTTTACACAGGGTTTCCCTAGTACGGGGTTATGAGTGTGCGCGTTATTTATTATTATTTATTTATTATTATTATGACAACAATGTTGTGTTTAATGTGTATTTGTTAATCAAGTGCTTATCTATCTATTAACACTTAAAGGACTTTTCTCAAACATGCTCAGATATGTAGCATTATTAAAAAAAACACAAACGCACAAAATGTGTCACTTATGGAGCGCGTAAATTTTTGTTGGCCTAGGCCGCTAAAATTATTATGTAAATCCATTTCTGTCCGCTGCTCTAAACTTTTAATTATCAAAGAGCTATGAAAAGCGACTAAAGGAAAGCTGTCATACAGCCTACTGCTTACTAGTATCAGTGTGCGTAATTGCGAGAATTATAAAAATAAAAAAAGATTATCTGTGGTATTATTTATTTTGCGTTCAATCGTGATGCACGAACATACCTGCACCACATACTTTAAAAAAAGGTGGCAAAATAAACGACATTACTGTGAAGTTCTTTTGTGTTATTTCTATTTTTTTATATTTCCTCGCATTGTTTGAGAAAAGCACTATATATACCTCGGCGGGAACGGAGATTGCACGACCCGTATAATAACTCAAATTCGTCCGGTCATCCTTTACTTCCCCACATCTGCAATAGTGTATTGTTAATAAAATCTCAACCTGTAGTATATTCATGGTTTTTTAAGGTCCAACTCGTCCCTATCGGAAGCAGAGACTGTGGAAGTGGACACGAGTGCGGCCCGCGGCGTTGCTCGCTCCAACCCCGTGAACATGCCTGGAGTTCGGCCAGTCGTACCTGTACTAATCGACTCGGGCTCGGCCAGTGAATGTAAGGCTGACATTTATAAAACGAACTTTGATTTCAACTAAGCATAAATGACGGGCTAAGAAAGTTTGTCGTATCTACAAAACGTAGATGTTGACGTTGGCGTTGAGTTTACTACGTAGTTTCTTGCTTAAATTTAGCTTAGACCCGTTTCGCTAAGTTGCTAACGTAGCTAAATTACATTTCGATCGAAAATGAATCTTATGTGTCAATAATTTGGATTTATTTTTCTCTGTCAACATGTCTAGTGCCTCTACGATGAGATTACAGTGGCAGCTAGCGACTGCGTAAAATGTTTGTATACAAAATATTGTCTCTTGTGATCGCTAGGGGAGCTGTATAATTTACCATACAAAATTGTGAAGTAATTTGCGCGATCGCTGCCGACAACTGTCACAGTAAACTCGTGGTAGAGGCACAGGTCGAATATCATCCAAGAATATGAGCACTTTTTTGGTGCTTTAGTTGATCATTGATTCGCCATTTTTTGGTGGTGCTAGGTAAGTAAGTAAGGTGCTAGACCATCACATCGCCTTGGTAGTTCTACCAGATTCTCTCGAATAATGGAAATCCCTGAACCAGTATCCATAACGCCAAGCACCAAAAATATATTCACTTAGGATCTGGTCATTTAACTAAAGTTGCTGTTGCTGGGCCATCTAGGTTTTCCAATGGCAGCTCGAAGAATTGATAACTGACGAAGTAGGAAGGTTATTGAGTTGCAACTACGAGTTCGAAAACGGTAATGTAGGGAATTTTTTTTCAGTCGACATTATTTTATAGCGATCCATCCTTTAGAGAAGTAGAACAAGATTAAATAACGCAAACTGCGATGGCAAACAGTAATTTAAAATTCAAATTTTTAGGTTCACTCGAGCATTCGCCATCAGATAACTTTCGCCGCAAATCGCAGCTCGCGGAGTCAGGTCGTGCCACCTCCGTTTGCGATGTCCAGTTGAAAGAGGATTTGGCTGAGGCTATGAAGGAAGACCATGGTAAGTTGTTTCTGTTACTTTGTAACGGTGGTTCATGTCACACCGGGCTTTTATTGACGGGACGGGACTGTTTTACAGTGAAAAGGCTGTTAGAAAGGCCTGCACTAGTTAGTGATTTTGCTCCAGTAAATAACCGTTTAGTACTTCAGCAAATTCTAATTAATTGAAAACTAAAAAAAAATCTGTATTTTACGACATGGAAAAAACAAATTGCATGGGACTTGCTTGTAAAAAGAAAAATACTCGAATAACTATAGAAGAGTAATTTGCTTTTAAACACGAGCTTTCGTCTCGTAACGTTAACAGAAGCGTGAACAGTGCTAATACAGTAACAAACGCGTACCGCGACATATTCACACGGCCGCTTGAGAGTCGCGCGACGACCACGTCGCGTCGCACGCGAGCGAAGGAGGAGATCGAAGAAAGCATTGCATCGGAAGCGCCTACCGCCGCCCGACCTATACCGAAGCCAAAGGCACCCTACCCGCGATTTTGGCTCCCGATTCGCCGCGGTCAATGTCATGCTTTTTTCTAAATCTCCTCCTCGACGCGAGAGACTAAACGGTTGCCTTCGGTTTCGTGTAGGCTGGCGCGGCGAGGCGCAGGCGGCCGAGTGGGAGCCGCCCACGAGGCGCAGCGCCGTGGAGCGCGCCGTGGACCCGCTGGGCACCGTGGTGGTGCCGCTGCCGGCCCGGCGCCCGCCGCGGGACGACGCCGACGCGCACACGTCGTCCAACGCCGACGAGGGCACGTTCCGGCCCGTGCTGCGCGCGCCCGCCGCGCTGCCCGCGCCGCCGCCGCTGCTGGTGCGCCCGTTGCCGCGCACTACCACCATCCCCGTGCAGAGCGTGGCCGCGCCCCCCGGCCCCCCCGGCCCCGCCAGCCCCGAGCCCGCGCCGCTGGCCACCACCGTTCTCATCCCCGCGGCGCTCACGGCCGTGGCGTGGCGCGCCGACGACCTGCACCTGCCCGACTCCAGCCCCGAGGCCGACCCCCTCGTCCGCGCCCCGCCTTCCCGCGACGTTCCCGAAAGGAGCGACGCTAGACGGACGGAGTCGCCCGCTCGCGTTGACGACCCGCCGAGAGGTAAAATCGCTTCCGCCGACAGAGTAAAACGGAGCGCCGCGTCCAAGCGTGAGGGATCCACCGAGCGGAGGAAATCCAAAGCCGACCGGGCTTCCGACCGACAGGCTACGCCGGTAAGAACCGATACGCCAGCCGATGGGAGTTCGAGCAAACCCCGCAAAGAGAAATTTAACGAGCAAAAGGATACCGCACTCCGGAACGATAAACCCGCTAAGCAGAAGACTGTCGAAGAGACGTCTGGAGCTAAAACTACCGAGCCCGCAAGACAAGCCGCTGACAACGCAGCGACCTCAGTAGACAATAGTAGCGTAGAAATTAAGCGATTCGATGTAAATAAAGATCTCAAGCGTCAGGAGCGTGATGTAAGTAAGGATGATAGTGCGCGTGATAGGGGCTCGGCGGAGTGTGCCGAGCGAGAGAGTGACGATTCTAAATCACTGCCAAAACCGAATCGGTCGTCGGATGATATTCAACCGACGACTCGAGCTAGAATTAAGAAATCTCCCACCCCGAAGTCAGTTAGTGATAGAGATAGTGAGGTTAGCATTAAGGATAACAAATCTAAACATATCGAAAAACCTAAAGATGTGAAAGAGCCAAAAGAGATTAAAAAGCAAAAAGATATTAGGGAGTTCAAAGGCAACAAAGAACTTAAGGAATCGAAAGAAGTTAAAACTAACGATGAAAAACCAGTAGGGGACGCTAGAGATTCTATAAATGTATTAAAAGAGGATAAAAAAGAACGTATTGTAGCTATTAAAGATGAACCAATAACGTCAGTTACTTTGAAATTATCCGTTAAAAAAGAACTTGAAAGTTTGACTTTACGGCACGTTGAGGATGAAATAAAAACTGAAGAGCAAGCTTGGGACATGCTCCTGAATGAACCGGGAAAACCTGTGATTTCGAATGTCAGTCCGCAAGTTACTATCGGTGAAAATATAAAAAATGTCGAAGACAAGCCCAAAATTAAGAAAAGTCGGAAGTTAAAGAAGACTCCAGAGGAGTCGCTATCAAAGGAAGACGACAGTTTTGTTGAAATACACGCCATTGAAGAGAAGCAGCAGTGCAGTGGAGATTTAGTTTCGATTTCAGATCCATTTGATGACTTGGAATCTTCAACTTACCTTGCCAAAACAAAGAAACGCGGATCTAAAAGCTTTACTTTCGAAAAGAAAGATGATTGTGAGATATTGCCTCCAAATGTTCTGTTACAATATGAATCAGATTTTTACAAACCTAGGATCTCAAAAAAATACGACGACGTATCTGACATTGAAGTTTTGCCTGATACCAGTTCAGCTCAATTATCTTACAGCAACATGTTGAAAGTTAAGAAACATGATGATGGTACTGCTAGTGAATCTTCGTCATTCTTTGCTAAAGAGTCATCAAGACCGTGCAAAAGCAAGTCATTGTCACCATACCCCGATTGGCGCAAATCAGAGAAACCTGTTGAACGAGCTGAGAGAAGTGAAAAAGATGTGTACGTGATCGACACCGCTGAAGAGGAGTTCCCAGTCATACAGATAACTAGAGGCGCTAAACCGCGCAGGAAATCTCCTCAGCCAAGCGGGTACAAAGTACAAGAAATGGAACCGGTCGTTGAGAAATTAGCAATCAAATCCTGGAGCTCTATAGCGGCTTCAAAAAATTTTAAAAAAGATGAGGGAAATGTAGAAGTATTAAATAAGAAAGTTGAAGATGACGAAAATAATAGTGATGACGACGACAATCCGGTGTCTTCCACGTCCGTTTCGCTGCAGGACAAATTGTACGAGCTTTGTAAAAGAACTGATATTATGGTTGCTGAATGTGATGCCCCGACCGAGTTGAACTTTGTTGAGGAACACCATGCTGTGCTACACGATCTCCCACCTCTGGAGCCGCTGGATTTTGGTTTGGACGATTTCAAACTCGAAGTTATGAGAGATAGCCTTTTAGATGTCAATGATACTAAACTAACCAGTCCCATTTGCAAGATCAGTATTGATGATATTCTATCGTCGATCAAGGAGACCACGAGTAAAGTGATCGAATCGAGCTCGTTCAATTTGATTGATTTGGAGAAAGTGCCTGCGAAGAGAGAGAAAGGATACAGTGTCATTGAAAGTCATAAGATAACGTCTTTGGAGGTGAAACTGGATGATGATACGAAGGATGAAATGATGGAGAAGTCATCGGATGACGACAATACGTCGCCTGTCACCTCCACCGATAGTGACAAGGAGGACAAAAAATCTGCTGGTGCTTCTAACTTAGTTACGCCTTCTTCAAAGCAATCAGCTAAGTCTAAGAAATCTCGTAGGAAGAAAAAGTAATATCAATAACATGTGTTCAAAATTACTTCAATTTTTTCTATTGGTGTTTCATAGAATTCAATACTTAAAGTGTTTGCTGCTGTTGTTGTAGTGAAATAATTTAGATAAAGCAATTTAATCGTATGTACAGTCAAAAGACAAAAAAAAAAATTCAATGTGCTAATCGAATCTTGTCTACGAATACATTTTTATGTCACTAGCATTAAAATAAATAAAAATTAATTAAACAAATTAAATTCTCTTGGATTTAGGGTAACATAATACTGTCATAACGAAAAAGGAAAATAAAAACATAAAAATCTAGGAAAACTAAAAATATTTGCGATTTTTTATGAAGACAACGGTTTGTGTGCGTACATAAAATGATAAGCATTAATTAACCTTTCTTTTGTTATAGTCATTTCTGGTGCGAACGAAGAAAGTGATATTCACTTTTGTCTTCATGGAAAACCATTGCTATTAAATAACAGATTATATATTGACATTTTAGTACTTACTTTTAGTTAACTTAGTTATATCTTTAGTGAGTATGCCTTTTTAACGAATGGACGTTATTTATGAAATCGTTTGATTATAAAAACATGCGTTGACTCTGTGTTAACAACACTTTGTATAATAATTAGATAATTAAAATGCGTGAGAAATAAATAAGAAATTACAATTTCATAAATAATGACCCTTGCTACTTCTTTGCGATAACTTGAACGATATCTGCAAGGTCAGTAAGATTACCCCGCGTTTTAATTTTGGCTCGCTATCATCTTTATGTTCTCTAATTATTTCTATAGAACCTCGATGCGCTGTTATCAACTTGTTGATATCCATAATCTGTGGCAGATGTTTCACACAAGCGACATTCGAACGTGTACGCATTGTGGTGTATCAGACAGCTGCACTAATATAAAAATATCAAAATACAATTTTTTAGCGTTTGTTTATTTTTAACTACATAAAAATGCTAACTTACCTCATTTTTATACATGCATAACACAGTTACATATTTATTTGTATATATAGTTTCATTAGGCTTTAACGTAATAAGGCGCTCTATTATAGAGCTTGTTCTGTTATTTGTATAATCCGCGTGCAACTAGCTGGCTGCAGGTTATATCGTCTCTTTGAGTGTTATTATACACAATTTTCAGGGCTACACGCTTTCGGTTTGCCTCTTCAACTGTGTGAAACTCGTTCTATTGATCAGTTAGTTGTATAAAAAATATTAGTTTTGGCAGTTGGTGTTGAAATAGGCAATGTATCGATGCTTTTCTAGAGTAGCAACCTATTCTTTTTTCATAATACCAATTGACGGGACGGACAAGGCGTGGACCTGGTGGCAAGCGGCACGCTTGTTCATAACTGTTGCAGTGCCACTCCGAGCTTGAAACCGCAAAGACCGGAGGGACACTGCCACTACGCCCGTTACCCACAGACATAAGTTGACATCCCATGTTCCTGTAATTTCACCAGCACCCCTTAACGCAGTAAAGCTCACATTACTGCTTGGCGGCAGAAATAGGTAAGGTGGCAGTACTTCACTGGACGAACTCTAACAAGTTCTACTGCTACTAAAAATATACAATTCTCCAGGAAGACGATTTAAAAAAAAGAGGCATACGTAGCACGCGGTCCACTTGTTACGCACAGGTTTATACAGATAATGAATTTCCCGTTTCGAAAATTCAACATTGGTACTAACTTCTATCTTAATTTGGTATGTAAATTATTCTACGTGAATATTCTGCAGTACCAGTATCTTAACAAATACAGTAGAAAATGCCTAAAACATTTTCGACTTGTAGATTTGTAATACCTATTTTTCTAACGGCTGTCTTTATGTACAAATGTTATGTAATTCTATTTTATTTGCCAAGTATTATATTTAGTTGTAATATGTTGATTCATGACAAATATTTATTTTTTTATATGCAATTTACATATTGTTGTAAGTGTTTTATGTTTAAGATTGTCGCGTTTGATTCATCAGTTTTGTGTAGAGACATATTAGTTAATGCATAATATTTATAATCATCGATACATATACAAGAACCAGTAAATCAAAGTCTAAACAATGAAAAAGTTCATAATTTGAAAGTTTTCAAAATACTTATAACACTTTTAAAGTGAATGGAGATGGAAACAATTTTAAAGCTTAAAATTCGTCTTGTAAAATAGTCTATATATTATTTTCTGTTTACTAGGAGCTTAATACCCACTACAAGTGTGAAAAAAGGCGAGTAAAATTTCATCACTTTTGTTATCTTCATATCGACCAATTCACAAAGTTCTCATAATTCTAAAATTCAATCGACATTTTTCGATAACATAGTATATAAATAAACAGACCTATTAACTTACATAAATATGTTAAATAATATAGCAGTTTACTTAAATATTAGATCACCTTTGCCTTAGTAGGTCCTTGAATTCAATGTGATTAAGTTTAGAGACCGAAACTCGTAGATTGTAATAAATAATTCAATTACAAATTTTTTTATGTGGTTGTACATTGGATGGATTTTTAAGATTTATTAGATCTATCAGCTAAGACGCGCTACAAGAAGAGATGCTTGGTCCTCTGTGACCATAGCTATTAATAGCCTTGTAGAATAGACTGCAATAATTTCTTTCACATTTTATCTACGTCAGAATATTACAATAAAAAAAACCAGTGTCAAAGAATAATTTATGATTATTTTGTTTTATATAACTAAAATAGTTTATATACAACAAAATACTAGAACGAAAAACTGTATATTAAAAAAAATAAAATGACAATTTCTTCCAAAAAATTTAGACTGTAGAATTCAAACCCAGTATTATCTTGATTAATGTATTACGTTATTCTTTACTACAAAATCATTAAGTATGTACAGTCAACAGCACATCAAGCTACACATTGACGTATCTTGTTCCGTTGCACTGGAGGCGATTTTCGAATAAAAATGTGTAGTCTGATGTGCTGTTGTCCGTACAAATATTACTCGTCTCTCAACTTCCAATGTACGCAAAATTACTCAATTTTCAAAAAGAATGTTCTAATCTACATTGACGAAGGATGTATATAGATAGTTAGTTACATTTTGATTTAAAAGTTTGGCCTTCGCAGTACCTGCATTGTAAAAGTTAGTTAAATTTTAACTTACAGTATTTTAGTTGGTAACAATCTTGTAGAAAGGCAGCTTAGGGTTAATGTACAGGGTGGTTATTGGTGACCGGAATAAGGCGTTTTTAAAATTTTGGCAGCCATGTTTTAAAACAACTTTAGTTTAAATTTATTTTGAAAATTAGTTTTATTTTTTAAGTATTAAAGTACATGTTAAATCAATGCGCATTAACATGTATATAAAATATACACTTTCCTTGAAAAAACAAGAATTATACAATTTTAGTATGTATTGTAGCGGTCACCAAAATCACAAATAAAAATATATGTGCTTCGTTTTTCGAAATTAATTCAAAATAACATTATTGGCTGTATGATTTAGTACAAAAGATAAATGTTCATAATAGTATTAAGTGATTTTTTTATTAATGATATTAATTGTCACAATGTGATACATATGGAGAACACTTGGAGGTAATAATACGAATTTTCTTTGTTACGAGAATACTAATAAAATTCTCACAACATCATAGGGTGAAATTGTAATTAAATACTTTTAATTACACAACACAATTTAATATTTCGCACATTTTGCCCATACACAAAGTTATATTAAGTAGAACATTTTCATCTCGTTTCTTACAACATTGATGTTACTTACAATTTTGATTAAAATTTTTTCATCGAACATGAACTTCTAAAACATTTTTCGTCAAAATTGTATATTGCATTACATTTGTTCTAAAGAGAACGCTCTAACCGACCTGTCTGGGGTGACCGCAGATTTTTAAAACGATTATGATTTTCGAAGTAATAGATGAATGTATACTCATGCCGAATTTCTGCACTGGCGAAGTGGTCGTTATGATTGACCGCGCAATGAATATTATCTAGGATATTAATGATGACGACTTTTTAATTTCACCAAACACTGGAATTAAATATAGAGTTATGAAATATAGCTTTACACAATATAATAAAATATCACTATATATTTTTACAAGTAGTGTTATTTCTGAAAGTGTGACAAAATATCAGAAATCGCAGTTTTAACACCTTCAATCACTAACTTATGAATGCCGTAACGATAGGGCGAAATAATTTAATATTATATTTTCTATGAAAATTTGTTGTTTGTGACGGAAAACTATTTAAGATATATGACTTTGATGTCGTCGGTCACACCGGTACACGGAACGGTGTATGGTGTTAAAAGTTAAAAAACTATTGTAATTATTAATCAAAATTGTTTGACAATTGAAAAAACATTAAATGCGGTACAATTTGTTTGCTCACACAATCATTTAGTTGATTTTAATGTTTTTAAACATACAGGTACACCACATTTAATTTTTACATAGTACCTAAGTATATAAAATTCTTGTATAAAATAGAAAATACGTAATATAAAAATCAATGTAACACATGAGCAATATTATTTCGGCTGCCTTATCACGGTATGATTTTGTTGATAATGTTATGGAGTGTTTTAAAATCGTATAGCATAATAATAAAAAATGGGATTTCAAAAACCGCAATTTTGTTATTTTATTTCATATCAAGCCCTGTAATTGAATTTGCCTTACGTACATTGACCTTTTGTTTTGTAGGTCAATGCCTACGTGGCATATTTTTTATTTTCCTAAATAAATATTTCTTTGGAAATAGCCAATATGGACTATTCATCATGTTTAAAAAAAAAAAGTGTTGGATCTATTCTTGGTTATTTGCATATCTTAGGGTGCTTAGAGGCATAGTCTAAGATAAGGTGACATAAAACAACCTACTTACGTCCTTTTTGTTATTGTTTCTAATATACACATATCTTTTTAAAATTGTTTTATAATAAGTTATTGCTCCGAACGTAAAATCTACTACCTACAGTACACGGTCCATAGTTCGGGACCTATAGTTACAATTTTTCTTTGTTCACATCTGTTTTTTTTTGTGTCTTTTGCGGTAAAGTTATTATTATACTTATCTATTCTATCATTATATGCTGAATTTTTATGTAAAGTATAACTATCTTATAACATGGCCACTTGGAAA